GCTCCAGCATCGCCAATCTGATTCTCACTTTAGACTGTACATCTCTCCATCAGTGAGCATTTGAATGTCATCTGCTGAATCAGTCACTTGTATGCTTCAGTCAAAGAAAGATGCTTTACTTGAGCCAAGTCAGGGTCTTGTTCACTTTGAGTGCCTCAGCGATCGCCAGCGCTCCAGCATTGCCAATCTGATTGTTATCCAGGCTGTTCATCCGTGAGCACTCTGAAAACCATCTGCTGACATCACTCATTTACAAACATCAGTGAACGTGAGTTGCCTTACTTGAGCGAAGTTAGCATCTTGTTCACTTTGAGCATCTCAGCAATCGCAGTCGCTCCAGCATCGCCAAGCTTATTATTGTGCAAACTGTTCAGTCATCAGTAAGCATTCTGAGCACCTCTGCTGACTCACATCAAAGTGAGATGACTTACCCGAGGTTAGCGAGCGTCGTGTTGACTTTGAGCGTTTCAGCAATCGCCTGTGCTCCAGCATCGCCAATCTGATTCCCATTCAGACTGTACATCCCCTCCATCAATGAGCACTCTAAATGCCTCCTGTTGAGTGAAAGTGACACCCCTTACTCGATCTTGATCAACGTCTTGTTCACTTTGAGTGCCGCAGAAAGTGCATGGGCACCAGCATCGCCAATCTGATTCTTCCATAGCCTGTCCGTCCATCCGAACCAGAACAATACGCCTAAATCCCTACGGGTTCCATAATGAATGGTAAAATGGTAATCATGAGATATCACCATAATCGACCCACCATTGTGATCGACTTGATGTGGCCAATAATAGTGTCAGAGGAGTGGCGGTGCTCAGATGAGCGGTTTTCTCAGAAAATCGAAAAATCAAAATGGCCTCGAGGCGACCGCAAAACAGCGCCACAAGCGTTCTTCCAGGACCAGTGCAGCAGAGCATCATAATCTTTGCTCAACTTTGCACCCCCCGCATTTTCGAGATCGAGCACACCGACTGCCTAGGGTGCATCGCGTACTATTACGGCGAGGAAGCGCGCAGGATAGAAACACTGTTTTGACCCCCAGAAGAACGCCACAACGCCGGTCGCCATTGCCGAGCTCGATTTCCGACGTGTCCAGTCGGTGTCGGACCGCGCACTTTTCAGGGGTGATTACAGATGATATTTACAACCGTTTTGGCTCAATGGCGGGGCGATCGCGGTGGGGAGCGATTTTGTGTGAAGCTGGATCTTTACCACTTTGGGCTGGATTGAGCCACTCTTTTCTGTTGTTCTTCAGAGCCATAGGTCTCAGGTCGATTCTTGTACTTTTCCGTCCTCACGAGACCGACCAGACCTGCAACACACACACACACGTCAAGCAATTCATCCAAGCATAAGAACCCGACACACAAGAGCCAGCGAGCGCACGAGGCGAGATGGAGGAGGACGAGGAGATCCAGCCGCAACCAAGCTACGAGACATGCAGTGTGCGGCTGGTGGTCCTTCACGACCTCGTTCCCGACGCCAGCCAGGATCGCTTCATGGATCTGGATGTACCTGTTGCCCAGCCAGAGGCGCTGCCAACGTACGGCGATGTGGAGCGAGCCTTGCAGACCCATGACTTTAGAGAAGTTGCCTTCCGCCCAAACCCTCAGTTTTGGTGTCCAGTCGTTGGCGTCAAGAACAAGTTCTACCCGTCAAACAAGACGATTGCACACCCCGAATGCGTTCATCTTTCTGTCAGGTTGCGTTGCCCCTGTTGCAAATCCAACATCCCGCGGTCGCGATTTCACAGCGCGAACAAAACTTGAGATTGTCTTCCGTGCAACCCGCGTCCACCGACTTGGCCGACGACGAAACTAGCGTAATGCAAGATGATAGGGACGACATTCTTGAATCTCTTAACGACCAAGACGGGCACGACGAAAACTGCCGCTCAAGAACGCCTCGGAAGCGCAGGGGAGTCCATCTCACCAAGGAGGAGCGAGACAGACTTCCGCAGTGGAGCCCTAGTACGACGCTCATTCCTGTTCGAACACGCCGTTGGTATTGCTTCAATAGACGCGATCCGTCGAGGCCGCCTACGACCGTGCCAGACACACCAACTCTCCAACAACGATTTATTCGCGCCTGCTCCAGCAAGAAGCGAGTTGACAACAACTTTCAGTTACGTCCGGAGCTCGGCGCCGGATCCTGCAGTTTCGGCCTGAGATTGACGGAGCTTGGCCAACACACGCACGGCGAGCTGCACCTTATTGGGTTCAAGCTCGAGCAGATGGGTCGCCACGACATGGCTTGCACCGACGGCTCGCTCGCTTTCAAGCAGCGCGCGCATCCTGAAATCAAAGAGTGGGTCATGGATCTGGTGCGCAAGGGGTGCTCGGAGGCGTCCATTGTAGCGCAGTTGGAAGGGCCAACTCTCAACCCGCCGCCTCGCCCTCTTTCAAGTTGGAACGTACCGTACACTTCTGGTCGCTGGTATCCCACCAAAGACGCAATTCGCATGATGATAGTCAACTCAAGCAGCGAGAAGCTACATGGAACCGACCAGCAGCGCATCGACCAATTTCTCGCGTCAACCTCGTCGTATGCCTGCTCTCACCCTCACTCGCTCTACCAAGATGGGCAGTGCCCCGGCGAAAGCCAATACGGCGACAAAAGCGATGTCATTTATCATCAATTTGTTCACTGCGACTGCCAGAGCTGCCTCGAAATCCCCCTGAGGGAGTCGAACATTCTGATTTTAATGACGCCTTGTCAGCGGGCAACGTGGGACGCCCTTCGTCCCAAGGTCCTGTTCCTGGATTCAACCTTCTCAGTCAACCGCTACGACTGGGCGACAACAGCACTCGTTGCTGCTGACGAATCAGGCGCTGGTGTTGTGCCGCTGGCGTTCATGATCTCCGACAGAGATCGCGAGCATGAATATGCGCGGTTCTTGTCCGAGGTCAAGCACGCCGTAGGTGAAGCGTTTAATCCGGTGCGCATCGTCATCGACAAATGCGGCGCTGAGCGAAACTGCATCAATCAGGCGGTGCCGGGTGTGCAGGTGGCAACTTGCTGGTTTCACGTCTGCCAAGCGGTGGAGCGCCAGTACCCGGGCAGACTAGATCTTCTCTCGTGTATGGCTAAAATGCGGTATGCCAGGAATGCACAAGAGCTGAAGGACGCGAGCAACAGCTTGCTCAATGCCGCCGGCGAGTTCCAAGGTTATTTTCTGTCTCAGTGGCTCAACGAACGAGATATTAAAACCTGGACGCTCTTCCACCTTGGCTTGGTGCGTGATGCGCTGGATCAAGGCCACACCAACAATTTGATTGAGCGGTAAGCTTGTGATGATTGTGAGTCGCTTGTCCCGTGCCGAACTTTGGAACCTTGTTGACATGTCATTGCGACTTGCCTCCCCCATAGCTTTTTCGGCACGTTCAAGTACAAGTTTCTGAAAGGTTACCGCATGCACGATTTGGCAGGTCTCGCAATCAGGATTGTTCGGGACACGAACCAGCACTTCTGTTTGCAACGCCAACGCCAGCTACTCGACAAGCCGAATGTCGCCTTCCTTCCAAAGTTCCGCTCCTTACTGCTTGAGAAAGAGATGCACGCAGAGAAGCTCGTGGAAACCGGTCAGGTGTTGGAGCTTCATCGCTACTTTGGTGTAGGACTTGTTCTGCCTCAGCGGACGCTTTCTGAGCTTGATCTACTCCAAATTCGCGAACTCGCAAACGCTCACCTTGAGCCATTTTATCAGACGCGTGGCATGCCCTTGACTGAGGGTTTGCAGCAGCTGCACGAAGCGCTGAAGCAACAGTACCCAGATGTTGTGGTCGTTGGTGTCGAGCGGCGCTTTTGCAGCGCCATGCACGATCACGCTTTCATTTGCAGCCATATCCGTGCCGTCGCGCGGCACTTTGGAGGCATCGAGAACTTTCGTCTTCAAATCCATTCTCTCTTCGAAGAGCCACCAGTGTGTCCCGTGTCCCGCTCAGCACCCGTCAATCCTGCAAGCGAAACTGCTGTGTCCGCAGCCAATACTGCGTATGCCGATGATGCCCTGCCGACTGGCGCAACCGACATGGCCGTAGACGATCAGCTTGATGCAGACGGACCTGCTCGCACCTCTGACATGGCCGTAGACGATCACCTTCCCTCGGGCCCGGATGCAGACGGACCTGCTGACCGCACCTCGGACCTCCCCGCCGAGCTCGATCCGAATCACGGCGCGTCACCTTCTGCGCGTAACTCCGATGATGCTCCAGAGCACAGCTCTGGACTTGTTGAGACGGTGGCCAGTCCCGACGACCTGGTGGACGAGCTCTCCAAGCTGTTCGAGAAAGGACTCGAGCGTCTCAAGACCATGGCTCAGGGCGATGAGTTGCAAAGCCTCGTTCGCCAGCTCACACGCAATTGCAGCAACAGCATGCGGAATGCGACAGGTCAGCGAGGGATTCTTTCATTAGATACCCGGCGCACGCGTGGTGCAACTCGTAAGGCTGCCAAATCTACCCGAGCTGCCCAAGCCAAGGCAAAGCGAACTGCTGCTGCCAAAGCCAACCGAGCAGCAGCAGCAGCATCAACATCGTCAGCCTCAACCGTTCTTCCAGGTAACGCAACTGCATCCGCAGCAGCGTCGTTGGCGACCAGTTCGTGGACACGACGCAAGAAGTCTGGAGTGAAGGGGCGGCCCAAAGCTAAGCATCGTGTTCCTGCTGCACTTACCCGAGAAGTCGCAAGATCCTTTTGCGCCAAAGACAGTCAAGCATTCGAGAGCGCAAGGGCGGCGGTGACTGCGTACAACACCCAACAATAGTAGTTTGTCGACTACATCCCGACTTCTCGCAGCAATCGCGGTACTCGAGATCCGTGGGGCGACACTACCCCTTCATTTGCTAATTCCGATCCCACATTTGGGAATGCGAGTGATGGTGCACGTTCAGCCAGTCGGAAACGACCTCGATTGGAGCCAGAGGCTGACCCGCAGGAACGGAACCAGCGCAACCAACAGAGGATTGGTTTGAACATTTTGCCCCTCAACTGCGGCCGCCTGGAGGGCGCTCAGCGGCCATCCGTGCGCGCGACACAATTCGACGGTTTTCACGCTACGACACGAGTCGGGATGACGATGCAGACGTGTTTGAGGCCCAGCCTGAGGAGATGGACGACGATGACTTCAGGTACACTCTGGAGGAGTGTGTGCGTGCTAGACGGCTTGAAATGTTTGATTCAGCTGTAAACCCAGAGTTTTTGTGAAGTTTTGTATGATTGTGTGTGCTTGGTGTTGTACTTTGGGTCATTGTGGTGCTGTCCTCCCCACTGTTTTCACAGCAGCGGCGCCTGAGAGGTGTCAGCATCCTTGACCCCATTCGATTTTAAATTTTGACACATGGATAAACTTGTCTTTGAAGTTTCGCGGCATAGAACGTGGCAGAAGAGCTTGAAAACAGCTCGACAGCGCAAAAAGGAGGAAAGCGCAAAAGGAGGAAAAAATTTTCTAAGTCCAACTTTTCCTGTCGCCCCCTTGATGCTCACTGCTACGCAGCCTGACTGGGTGACCCGATCCGCCCGCCCTTCGACCCCATGACTCAAACACCAATACCATTCCATAAATGCCCTAGTAGTGGGTTGCTGGTCCACCGTGGGGGTTGGTGGCTTGGCCGTTCCCTGCACGCTCGCGGCGCTCCCAACCATTCCCTCCCGTGCTCGGTCCAGCGCAGACTTTTTCACCGGCTCACAGTTGAAATCTACATTATCATTTATGGGCAACATGATGCTGGCAGAGAGAAGAGGCTAGATGACACTTTGAGATTCGGACCTGGAACCCGTAGTGATTTAGGCGGATTGTTCTGGCACCCCCGGCTTTGCTTTTTGCGATTGAGCTGTGAACTACCCAACTTCATCTGAATCACACAAACGCGTGAGCTGGCGCCTCAATCGGAGAACGCTCTGCGTCGAAATTGGAGCAACCACAAGTACAATTTTGCTGGAGTCTTCTTTTTTGAGCAAAAGCAAGAGCAATCAAACGCATCGAACTGATTTTGGATTTGGACTTGTTTGTTTCGATTCATTCCACTTTTTTTTTTTTTTTTCTGGTAAAGTTTTTTTTTTTCTGTTTCAAATCTCTTCTCCTCCTCCTCCTCCTCCTTCTCCTCCTACTTCCTTTCCATGCCTTCTGCGCTGCGCTTTTTCTGTCTTTTGCCTTGTGCGTGAGGCTTGGTCTTTCGCTCCCGTTCATGCGTCGCAGTGGTCGCGCTCAAGTTAGCCTTGTGACTTTTTTTTTTTTCCTTTTTTTTTCCTTTTTTTTTGTTTCTTCTTCTTCTCTCGTCGCGCTGTCCCCGCCTCTACTTTCTTCTATCTTTTCTCTTCTCTCTCTTTCGTTTTGGCTTGTGGCTCCTCCCCCCCCCCACCACCACCACCACTCTCCCGCAGACAGAGCGCAGGTTGAAGTTCAGCAAACAAAAAGCATTGCGATTTCAAACTCGTCACATGCTCATCAAATTTGCAAAATGACTCCAAAACCGTGACTTTGATCATCATCATCAACAAAAAGCAAAACCAAAGTCATCACTCAACAATCGAGATTGACGACGCGGAACACAATCATCAGTCAGTCAGTGATTCGTCGTGTGGCTGAAACCAAAGTGAGCAAGCAAAGTGGAGCAACCGCGCGCGCTTGTTGTGGCTGATAAACGACAAAAAAAAAAAAAAAAAAAACAATGTGCTCTGATGGGTTGTCTTCCACTCAGTCACCCTCGCTTCGGCCGAGTGCCATTCGACAGCGTGTGAATGACACTGTGCTTGTCCATCACTCTCTCTCTCTCTCTCTCTCTGTTCCTGTCTGATCGCCATCCTCATGATTGTGATTTGTTTGATTGTTTTTTTATTTATTTTTTTCAACTCCTTCTCACTCTTCGTCCTCACTCTTCGACTCACCTCCTCTCTCTTGAACTTTGGCGTAGATACACACAATGAAGGCCTTCACCGCCGTCGCCCTGCTCGCGCTCGTCGCCTGCGCCACCGCCATGCCGTTCGCTGAATGGAAGGCACTGCACAACCGCCAGTACGCGTCTGCCCAAGAGGAGGCTCTCCGTCAGGAGATTTACCTGTCCAACCTTGAGCTCATCAACGAGCACAACGCTGCCGGCCGCCACTCGTACACCCTCGGCATGAACGAGTTTGGCGACCTCGCTCACCACGAGTTTGCTGCCAAGTACCTCGGCGTCCGCTTCAACGGTGTCAACGCCACCAAGTCCTTCGCCTCGTCCACCTACCTGCCCCGCATGGTCTCGCTCCCCGACTCGGTCGACTGGCGCACCGCTGGCATTGTCACCCCCGTCAAGAACCAGGGCCAGTGCGGCTCGTGCTGGTCGTTCTCCACCACCGGCTCGGTCGAGGGCCAGCACGCCCGCAAGACTGGCACCCTCGTCTCCCTCTCTGAGCAAAACCTTGTCGACTGCTCCTCCCAGGAGGGCAACGAGGGCTGCAACGGCGGTCTGATGGACGACGCCTTCGAGTACATTATCAAGAACGGCGGCATTGACACTGAGGCCTCGTACCCTTACACTGCCACCACTGGCACCTGCAAGTTCAACGCTGCCAACATCGGCGCCACCGTCGCCTCGTACCAGGACATTATCACTGGCTCCGAGTCTGACCTCCAGAACGCTGTTGCCACCGTCGGCCCCGTCTCTGTTGCCATCGATGCCTCCCACATTAACTTCCAGTTCTACTTCACCGGCGTCTACAACGAGAAGAAGTGCTCGACCACCCAGCTCGACCACGGTGTCCTCGCCGTCGGCTATGGCACCTCCACCGAGGGCAAGGACTACTGGCTCGTCAAGAACTCGTGGGGCGCAACCTGGGGCAAGGCTGGCTACATCTGGATGTCCCGCAACGCTGACAACCAGTGCGGCATTGCCACCTCCGCCTCCTACCCCCTTGTTTAAAGTCCTATGCTATTCAGAGCAGAGGTTGAATTTCGAGTTGGCCCTTGCTTTGTGATGGTTTGTTCTGTTGCATCCAACCCGTATTTGCTCGCTCAATACACTTTGTATCTACTCAGGTTTTGTTCTTTGAGTCGTCTGTATGTTTTCTGGCTTGGTAACTTGTCCATTTCCTCGCGTTTCCCTTTTTTTTTTTTTTTTTTGTAATGAAACGGGTTTGTTCGCTCTCACAATCGTCGCGCTCGAATGCAATCTGCAGCTGTACAGCCTGCATTTGCGAAATGATGGTGTTGTTGTTCGTGTGATGTGAGTGTTTTTTACTGCTGTTTACCTGACAATCCCGCTGTGCGGTGCAGCGGTTTCGGTGCAGCGGTTTCGGGCACAAACAGCGAAAGTACTTCTTGCAGTTCAGCCCCATTCTCCTTTAAACCTGCTTCGCAAACCCAACAGAGTTGCTGCGATTGGGCCCTCGACGAGCTTTATCGACCAATTTCCTTATTGAATCTGCCCTTCGCAAACAATTCGAATCTAGAACCTCACACTGCTGACATTCAATGGTTTATGGCTGAACAATTTTGAATCAACCATCAGCAACAACTCAGGTATATAGCTCGTAAAGTGGCGAGAGCACAAAGGCATGCAATGCCAGCCACACACACACAACAAAACAACAAAACAACAACAGCAACAAACAAACAACAACCAAAATCGGACAAGCAAAAACAACAAGGTTTCGCCTCAAACGACCGACACCTTAACGCCTGGCAGCAGTGCGCTCAGCCTCCCAGGCCTGCTGCTTGCGGCGCTCGGCTTCAACCGCCTTGACGCGGTCCTATTAGAAACAAGAACAATTCAACGCAAGTGAGCGCAACAAGTGAGCGCAACGTTTCAAACAAAATAAAATAATAAAAAAACACCATCCAGCTCCCAACATTCTTACGTCTTTTTCGAATCGATCGACCAACGACTTGACCATGCGAGTCAGATTTTCAAGACGAACTTCAAGCGCATCCTCGCTCTTCTGCAGGCTCATGGCGCGGTTGATCGGGAACATTGAGGTATCGACTTTCTTAATCTAGCGACGTCCACGCGTCCAAGTATCAGCAGAGAGGGGGGGGGAAGGAATCGTCAGACAAAACTGAACAGGATTACAAAGGCACCCACAAACATCCCACTCTTCCGAAAGCCAACTCACCTTGTCCATGCAGTACAGTTCGAGCGCAGTCAAATCGTCTTGAGCCTTCTCATGAAGATGAATGGTATAGAACAGGTAGTTCCACTGTTTCCGAGCCACACACAACGACAAACCCAAACCAACAACAAAAAAAGTCAACACCTCAAAAAAAAAAAAAAAAGCAAACACCACACACCACCATCCCCTACTCACCATGTTGTGCTCATTTTTCGTGTGGTGAATAAAGCCCTTGGTGTACTTTTCAAAGTCATACGCCTTGATGGAGCAGATAAAGCAGTTGCCAGCCATGTCTGCCTCAATCTGCCACTTTTCATCACGAAGCTCAGAGAAGGTATCGACAATGATACCAAAGATGACGTTGAGGCCGATGGTTGAGATCAGCACAAAGAAGGACAGATCGTACAAGACGCGAAGACCGACGGTCTGCCAGTCGTTCACATCGGCAATGCCGACGCTGGCAAGGCCATTCTCAAGGCCAAAGTTGAGCGACGTCAGGAAGCACTGCCACATGGTGTTGCAGAACAGCGGAGCGCCATCGGCACGCGAAGCGTCAAAGTCGGCGCGGAGGAAGGCAAAGCTTGCAATCGCATAAATGTAAATCACAATCACGCCCAAGGCCGTCACCCAGAGCAGCGAGCGGCCGTTTTTGGTGACGGATTGGATGACACGTTGGAGCAAATCGTTGCCAACAACGACGTGCAGCAGATGGAAGCAGAAAAAGTAGCCGCGAACGGTAATGCCGGCAATGCTCATGCCGAGGAACAAAATGTAGTAGATGGGCGCCAAGGTCAAAAACTGTTGCGGACGGGTCGGAGGGTGCGTCAAGAAGAACTCGATGAACGTGCAGGCAGAGAGAGCGACGTGAATGCCGCCGAAAATGTACAGCAAGGGGTTGTACCAATCGTCCGTGTTTGGGCGCCAATCAGTGGGATCGGTCGGTGCCGACCACGAGACCAGGATGAAAATGTTCAGCAAGAGCGTCACCAGGAGCACGCCCCAGTAAAAGAATGGCGAACCGCGAACAAAGAAGGATGAGATCGGGTTGGACAGCAGCTGCTCCTGGTACTTCATTTCATCGCGAATGTCCTGGCACTGCGAAATAAAGTCGCGAATCTTGTCCGTGGGCGAGGATCGATCGACAGTCCAGAGCAATCTCTCTTTGGCCGCGGGACGGAGGGCATCGCGGTTGCGAACGCGGAAGTGCACCTTGCTCAGGATGTCATTGCGCAGCACTTCGATCGAGCCAGATTGGCCCTGAATGGCAGCGTAAGCAGACGGGGCTTGGACGTAAAGCTTGGATGGCAGTACCTTGAACGTCTTGGCAGCGTTCTTGTTCCCATGCGCCAATGCAGTCAGGTTCTTGGAGGACACACTTCCAAGTCGAACCGAGCCATGCACGGTGCCAGTGTAGCTCACATTAATCAGCTTGATGTTGGTCTCCAACTTGACCTTGTCCGACTTTGCACTGCCTTCGGCTTCGGGCTTACCACCCTTGGTCGAGGGCTTGACCGTGTACGGCTTGGCGTTGTAGTTGGTGGTGGTAAAGTCAGACAGGCTCGCCAGAATGTTGTAAAAGACATAGGCAACGTCGGCCGGCTCTGGATGCTCGGCAGTGTACCCGAGGTGCTTGCTGTGCTGATGCTCGTAGTGGTAACGAGTCATGTTTTCGTGGATGGCACGAATGTCGAGCTGTGTGTGCAGCTCCTTGCTCAGCTGGATGGCCTGCTCGGTTTGCTCCTCAAGCATGGTGAGCACAAGGTTGGCGGCGTGAAGCTTGAGCTCGGCAACTTGCGGGCACGGCATGCCAGTGTACTCGTGCTGGCGGAAGATGTGGTTGATGCCATCCAGGCACTTGGCGTCAAAGACGGCAATTTGGTTGTCGCCGTTGCCCTGGCAAAACTCGACGAGCGATTCGAGCACTTGGGACACGAGCTCAATGTTGTCCGACGACACATTGTGGTACAAGACGTTCAGATAGTTGGCAGTGTCGCTGACAAGGTTGTACGACTTGATATTGTCGCCTTGCTCGCGAATGTAGTTTTTGAGCACCACATTGTTGCCCTCGCACAAGAGCTGCAGCAAGCGCAGAACGAGCGACAACTCGCGTTCGCTCTCGTCCATCATGTCGTTCAGGGCGTCTTCGCCAGACTCGCCCGCAAGGGCGGCAGCAAAGCCTTGGTCCTCAATCGCCTCCTGCACGGCATTGCCACCACCTCCTTCGTGGGCGCCGTGCAGCTTTGTGAGCTCAATGTCACCGACGCCACTGCCGGCGGCGGCCTCGCCACTCGACTTTTCGTCGCCAGCAGGCGCCGCGGCATGTTGAGCGTGGGTCGCGTGGGTTGCAGTCAAGTCCTTGCGCTTTTGCTCCTCCTTCTCCTTCTGGGCAACGAGGGCGCGCTGTTCCTTGACAGTCGCCATGGACTTGACAATGCGGGAGCGAATATCAGCAAAGAAGGTCTCCTCGCGGCTCGTCAAAAAGAACTTTTCAAACGAGCGCTGGACTTCCTTGTTGCCACCATCAAGAATGGCCGTGGCAGTCGCCAATGCCTCAATCACAATCTCGTCGTCGTCCGAAACAAACATCTTGGTGGAAATAAGCGCCGCCTCGTACTTGTTCAGGGCAGACTGGACCTTGGCAATTTGGTCCCACGCCTCCTCCTTGTCCTCGCTGCTGGCGTCTGCCTTCAAACGACGCGCCTTTTCGACCTCGACAATGCCGCGAAGCAGCTGCAACGAGCGCGTGTCGAGCTTTTGCTGCTCCAGCAGCTCCTTTTCGCTCAGCGTGTGAGACGTCTTGGCAGAGACATCGAGGGTCAGAATCATGCGGCCAATGTTGGGGTTGAGGCCCTTGAACTCCTTCTTGCTATTGTACTCGGCAAACAGCTCAATGTGACGCTGGAACTCTTCACCAAGCGGGAGTTTGGCATCTTCGTCACCGAGATAAGGGCAGATGGGATCGGACTCGTACGACTGGCAGAGGTTGACGACCAACGTGTTCAGTCGCTCGTTCGCCTCACGCTCTTGCTCATGGCTGCGCAGATAATCCTTGACGGCGTCAGACAGACCAGCAACGCCGCTCGTTCCGTACTTTTTGTTCTTTTCCAGGGCGACATTCAGCTTTGCCTCAAAGTCGTCCGACAAGCCGGCGTGGCTGGAAAGCTGGTTGGAGAGCACGAGCAGACAGTCCGTCACGGACTGCAAGAGGGCAATCTCGTCTACCTGAATCGAGGCAAGCGGCGAAAAGGCCAGCAACGACTCGGCAAACTTGACGGAAACCCGGTTTTGCTCGGCGGTCGCGTCCTTGGCAGAGTACTGGGACTCGTAAAAGATGCGCGCAAACGGGACAATGCCCTCCATGATAAAGTCCATGTCATCTTCGGGCACAGGATCATCCAACACCTCCTCCTGGGCTTGCGGGTTGTTGGCCTTGCGATCCTTGAGCGCCTTGAGCTTGTCCTTGTGCTGCTTGAGCAGACCAGTGACCGCCTTCAAGTGATCCGAAAGGAGACCGACAAACGTCCAAAAGTCGTCATTGTGGAGCATTTCGGCAGTCGACACAATGTCAGTGCTCGCAGTCGCCAGGTAGACCCAGACCAAAAAGCGCAGGTAGGGCGCCTTGTGCAGAACGGGGATCTTTGGGTCGGTGAAGACTTGGAGCAGCTCCTCGGGCGAGAAGATGGTTTGGCACATGGACTCGATAAAGCGATTCTCACCCTCGGCGCACGTCGCGAGCAGATCGACGAGCTCAATGTGGTACAAGAGTTCGCGCGAGGGCTTCTCCGCGCTGGACTGCAGCAAGGCAATGCGCTCGTCGTTGTGTGCATCGTCAACGTTGATGATGGTGTCCTCGCGGTGCTGCATCATGTACTTGATGATGGCGCTTTGGTTGCGCTTGAGGGTCAAGTTGGCGTCCTCAACCTTTGCAATGTGGCCGAGCAATTGCAAGTACTCAAACACCTTGGAACCGTCCGAAAGCTCAGTTTCGGCAAGGAGCTCGACAATGAGCTGGATGTGCTTCTCCTTGATGCGCAGGCAGTTGGTTTGATTGCCCTTGAATACGCTCACGAGCATGCGCGCCTTGTCCTTCTCAGCTCCCTCATGGTTGAGCAAAAAGTCGAGACGGTCAAACAAGTAGTCCTGCATGCTCGTGTTGCGCCGAGCGAGCAGACCGAGAACCTTAAAGCACTGGCCAAACAGCTTGCAGATGGCCGCGTTCTTCTTCTCAAGCTCCTGGGCGGCAAGTCGATCGGCAGCCGAGCCGCCGCCCTTCTCGCGCTTGCCGAGCTCAATCCTGGTGCCCAGAATGCCGAGCAAGTCAATAACAATGCCAGCATTTGTCAGAATCGTCTGATTGGTGCGGTGAGGCTCGTGCGGATCGTCCTTCAGGTAGAGTAGCTTGGCAAGCCTGTCCAGCTCGACCGAAAGGCGCTCTGCTTGCTTTTCGCCAATCTTTGAGCGCGCCATGCGACGCACCGAGGGCAGCACCTGACGGATGATCTTGAAGGCATCGACAGACTCGGGCAGCGTCAAGACCTGGCCGTCGAGCGCCATTTGGAAAAAGTTGCGACTGGCAGAGTACAAGCGCGTGATGAGGTAGTGAGCCTGGGTGGCGAGCTTGGTGTAGCCATAGTTGGCGCAGTCCAACAAGACGGGAATGATGGGCAGTTCGGGGCCGAGCGCATCGATAAACTCCGTGTTCTTGAACAGGGCCGCAAGAACGGGCTTCAGGCGAGCTGCCGGGATGACAGTCTTGGTCAATGGTGCGAGCTCGAGCAACTCGGGCTCAAGACCGTGATTGTGATGCTTGTTCTTGCCAAAAGCGCGGTGCAGCGTTGCGTGGCCCTTGCCGACCAGGTCGTGAGACTCGAGCTGCTTGAACACCCAGAAGAACTCCTCGAGGCGTGCGGCAAATCGGAAGTTCATCATCAGCTCGATAATCTCCAGACCCTTGAATTTGAGATTGGCCACCGACTTGTTTTCGGGGTTTTTCAGCAGACGGTCGACACGAAGGTACTCTTGCTGCTCTTCCTTGTTGTCCTTGTTCTCGTTGCCATAGTCGTCCGAGCAATCGAGGAGGCGGATGAGCGGACACAGCAGTTCGAGCAGCTGCGTGCGGTTGTTGTACACGCCAAACGACACGAGGGAACGGGCCAACGTCAAAATGGCCTCGATAAACTTGTTCTCCTCAATTCGGGTCGCAATCACACTCGTCTCGTTGGCAATGGTCGTGTTAATCCAAGAGCGAAGCTCGGTCAACTCTGGCGGGAAGGAGTTTTGGACGGCCAGATGCGCAGCAGTGGTGCACTCGGTCGCACTCGAGTTTCGCTGCGTCAGAGTTTGTGCGTCAAACGTCAGCTGAATGCGCTCGAGAAGGTCCTCGTACGGCTCAATGTCGACAAAGGCTTGATGTAGCAGGTCGGCGTAAGCAATACGATAGACCGGGTTGAGCTCCGTGTCCTTGACTGCGGCAAACACTTCAGCCCACACGACGCACTTGAGCTCATCGCGGAGCAGCGGAATGGTGACCTTGTTGCGACCAATGCACAGCCGACGCAAAAAGTTGATCTGCTCCAGCAGATACTCGGCCTCGAGGGATTTGGCGTCGTCTGCGAGCTCGTTCACTGGAACGACCAAACCATCGCGGAGCAGATCGACGTGGAGCACACCGTTGCGCAGGCTGACGGGAAGGATGACAGGGTTGCCCACGACACCACCGAGCAGGTTTTCGCAAATGTAGCTTTGGATTTCATAATTGGCACCACCCTTGACGGCGCAGCAGGTGGCCAAAAACTTGAGGTAGCGCGACGCGCGCTGCTCCTTGAGCTTGCCAATGAAAAAGTCGAGCAGCGGAGGCTTGATGCGATTGACAATCGACATGTTGTCCGAGGCGAGCTGGGTCAGAATGTCGGTCGCTGGGAGACCCGAGCCAACTTGGCCGAGCATGAAGGGAATGAAGCGTGCAATGTACATTTCGCTCTTGCGCGATTCACCCTGGACATACTGGTTGAGCGCATTGTATGCCGCGGAGCACACGTCACGAACGAGCCGCTTGTCCGGAGTGCGCAGTTCGCTGATGGGGAAACCATCCGGGTTGTACGGAGAGAACGGCACACGGATGACCTCAATCAAGGCATCGACGCAGCGAAGGTGGCGAAGGACTTTCTGTCGGCGCTTGTTGGGCGTATCCTTGTCAACGACAAACTTGGCGAGCAAGTCCATGGCACGGCACAGGTAGGCTGCCGTCTCGGCCGTGAGTTCTCTCGGCTTGTCCTTGCTTGCAGCGGCGCGGAAGCTTTTCGCATACCACTTGAGCGCAGGAAGGATGCCGGCAACAAAGTTGACATTGTTAATGTCCTTCTGCTTGGCCTGGGTGATGGTGAAGGCATCATCGTAGTGCGACTCGCGGGACGCGGTCAGCTGCAGCAGCTTGGCCTTGTCGTACCGGATTTCCGTCATTGGCTTGCACGACTCGATGGCCGCAGCAGCCGCCGGCGATGGCGCGTCCGCACCCAGGGTGTCGACCCTGGACACGGTGCCTTGGCGAGCATACGACAGGGTGGCATCGCCATGCAGCCAGGTTTTGGTCAGAGGGTGCTCGATGCGGGTGAACGAGCCGTACTCAATGTTCTGGCGGTCGCGAATGACGGCATGCAAGCGGAAGACGGCATCGGCGTCACGATGGTCGGAGGTGAGGGTGACGACCGGCTCGCCCGACGCGGCGTCCAGCTTGACGGCAAGAAACTGGCGGGTGGTAAAGTGGCGCAGACGCACGAGCTGCTCCCAACGCATGCGGCCTCCACGAGCAGCGCCGCTGTCCATTTCGATTTGCCAAAACACGGAGGGACCAGACGGCGGCTTGAGCGAGTGAGGACGCTTGGTTGTGACGTGACGCACGCGAAGGTGGGGCACTTCAGCCACGCCAGTTTTGCCAAACGTGCCTTCCGCGGCAACGTAGGCCTCCAGTTCGCGATGGAACAGACGGATGCAGTCGCCAAAGCGAACAGGCACGACCGACTCCTTCTCGTCCTTGCCCTCCTCAATCAGGGCGCCCGGCGAGGACGCAGCAATCATGGCCCACGTCTCGTCCGGGCGCGAGTACATGAAGATGGAAAAGGCGGAGGGCGTAACGGACATGTTGACCTCGTGCAGACCGGCTTCAAGCTCGGCATCGTCAAAGGGATCGTGGCTTGCGTGCAAAAAGGACGCGGGGGTCTTGATGGACTCAAAGACAATTTGGTCGCCTTTGCGCACAATGTCGCCCTCGGCGCGCACCTTGTAACGCGGCATGACGCGGAACCAGCACAGCTTTGAGTTGTACTGGTGCAGCTCGACGCGCATGTTGGTGTCTTCAATCCACGCGGGATCGCTGGCACTGCCAGCCACAAACTTGTTCGAGAACGAGTGGTAGAGCTGGACGGTCATGCCGTACGTCAGGAACTTGCCGTTCTGGCGCGCCTGCTCCAGTGCATTGTCGTCCGTCTCGGCACTCGCGAGCTTCTTTTGCTGGAAGAGCGTGTTTTCCAGTTGGCGCGTCTGCGCCTGCAGCGCCTTGTTGGCCTCGCCCTTCTTGGTCTTGGCGACAGCCGGCATTTTCTTCTTGAGAGCCTGGTACTTTTTGTTGGCCTTGTACTTGTTCGGCACGAGAATTTGGAAGATGCAAGCTGTGTGTGGTTTGTGGAGCAAAAATGATGCGAAAAATAATGCTGTGAGACAAAACGACCACCAAAAAAAAAAAAAAAAAAAAAAAAAGCAGCATCTTTCTTGCTCACATTGAAAGTTGGGCACGTTGGGCTGGGTGCGGAGGCTGCTGCTGCTGCCACCTGCACCAGCTTGATGCTCGACGCCATGATCGGCGCGTCGAACAGTCAGCAGCGAGTCGATGGTACTGTTGGTGTCAACAAAGGAAGGAGAAACAAAAGTGTGAGAAACTGTGAGAAATTCGGTCGAAATAATGACAGGATTCGACAAGCAGCCTGCACAACAGCGCCACGCAAGAGAGAACAGCAAAGGAGGGAGGTGGGAAGAGAAAGAGAGAGAAAGAATCAAAGGCGACTCTCGATGCGAATCAAAGAAAGACACAAATTTTTAAGAAGAAAAATAAAAAAAAAAAAAAAAAAGAATCACGCTTAAAATAAATGCGAATTTTTCGCCATGACTCAAATTCTGCCAAGAGAAGGCCGATGGCTGCCGTCGTGGGCTGCTCTGCCGGGCTGGCCGGGCTGCCGGTTTGTGCGCTTGTGTTGCTCAGCAGCACAGACGACAGAGCAAGAGTTTGAGTTGGGCGCTGCTGCTGCTGCTGCTGCTGCTGGTGTGCGACATTCAAAGAGTTGTGAAAAAAGCCAAACCTGCAGAAACCCGTTAAATTTTTGGGGTTTTTTTTTTTTTTGAAAAATCGATTTGTTTTGGCAACTTGGGTTTTTTAGGTTTTGTGAAGGATGAGGGTTAGGAAAAGGGGGTTGAGCATCTCATCGCAGTCGGAGTGCGCACAAGTGGACAAGTGTGTCGTGGCATCATCCGAGGTTAGGGGAAGCATGGATGGGTGTGAGAATAAGGAGGACATGCAATTGTGGATGTTTTGTTTTGTTCTTTTCGGCTTGTTGTTGGGTAAACAACAAATAACAACCACAAAAAATACCAACATCAGCAGAAACTGCTAATGCAAGCATGCTTTGATGTTGGGTTTTTGGGGGAAGCGGTTGAGGCGAGTCACAATGAGGAAGCACCGCTTGGTGCCCTTGCTCCGTGCAATGTTCAACAACCATAAACATTGCAAGTTTTCGGTGACTTGAATCATCGAAAAATACAATGATAATGTAAACACTGCGTGTTCCTTTTTTCTTTTTTTTTCTTTTTTTTTTGGTTGTTTTGTTTGTTTTGTTTGGGTTTTTTGGTGGTCGTCAACTGAGGAGGAGGGGATTGCCGTGGGTTTGCAGCCTCATCCCACCATCATCAGGGGAGTGCAAGGGCGCATTGATGCTCTGTGCGACCCCCCGATTCGACCGCATGGTGATGATGAACGGATTCGTATGATTCTTTTATTTTTATTATTTTTTATTTTTTTATTTTTTTTCGCTTTTTGATTCTGCGATTGCTCTTCTCTGCCCATCATCGCAGCCGCACAGACGGTCGCGCTGGGGGTGAATCCAAGGGCAATCAGCAATCAGCTGCTCTATCTCGCGGTCTCTCACTCTCTGTCTCGCTTGCCATCCCCGTGCGAATGGGAATTCCAAAGTCAAGCCGCTCTCAATACAAACGGTTTTTTTTGTTGTTTCCCAATTATCAGTTCAGTAGCAACGTGGTTCACGGCAGCCACAGTCCGAGCATCTCGCTCCAAGCATGGCAAAGACACTCGGCTCGCGAACACAGAGCAGGGCAAGAACCAGTCGTGCATGCAGCACAAGCGAGATGATCGCACGCAGAAGGAAGAACGGAAGCGACAGAACGAAAAAAAAAACACACTGGGACGTGAAAATGCAAAAAAAAAAAAAAAAAAAAAAAAAAGGCGAAAGCAGGGCTGTAAACAAAAGGGAAAAAAAGAAAAACATTGGCCTGTTATGGTGCAAGGCGCGGCCCAAAGAAGGACAAGCGCGGAGAAGGGGAGCCCGCCATGTGTGTGTGGGGGGGGGAAGGTGATTGCGGACGGCAAATGGAGTAGTGCGGGAAAGAGGCGGGAGAGTCACAGCAGCAGAACGAACGGAGCGAACGGGTGTGAAGTGCAGCATCACAAGCTTCACACAAGGATCCAACCAGAGAGGGGTGTGGAGCGGTTACTTTTCAGAGAACAGGAAGCCATGCCGGTCCTCAGAGTACAGCGAAACAGAGTCTCCAATGCGAAGAAGCTCGTCTGCCATCGTAGTGAGAAAGCGAACGGGTTTGAAACAAAAACAAAAGAATTAAAAAAAGAATTAAAAAAAAAAAAGAAGCAAAAAAGACTGAAGGATGGATTAATTTGGGTTTGGCGGAGCATTCCATTTCATCTCGATGCGGTGCTGCGGTGCTGCGGTGCTGCGGTACACACGAGGTACAGTGCTGAATGAGCTCGCCCCTTCCCCTCTCTCTCTCTCTCTCTCTCTCTCACTCTTGGCTGGCTGGCTGGCTGAATTGGACCGCGGGAAGAGAAGAGGCCGCACTGAACTCGACAACAACGTGATCGCCTTAACTGTGTCAGCCTTTCATGCGTGTCTGGGTCGTTGGTTGGTTGGTGAACATGACAGATGGACATTTTTGCAACGAGTACATGTGATTTTAACAAAACAAAACAACAACAACAACGAAAAAAACCAATTCAGCAACAAAAGACGACACATTGTTCGCTTTGACGTCTTTCGCGCGTCGCGTTTCCAAGAATAGGGGGGTTTTTAACGTCGACGCGGAGGAGAGCGTGACCGTGATCGAGAACGGGACCGCGAGCGTCCGCGCGCTGTTCGTGCGCGCGGGGGAGAGCGCGACCGAGAGCGCGAAGGAGCGCCGCGACGTCCAGGTGGCCCGCCTGCACGGCGCACTGGCGACCGTGACCGCGAGCGAGATCGTGACTTGGACCGCGACCGCGAGCGTGAGAATGAGCGGCGACGACGACGAATAGGAGAGCGAGAACGGGAGCGAGACCGGGAACGGGAGCGGGAGAAGGAACGGCGACGACCGGAACCGCGGCGTGGCGAGCGCGATCGTGAGCGCGACCGAGAGATGGATCGGCTGTGAAAAGACATGGGCAAAAATATAGCAAAAGACATGGTGAATGAAAAGAAACTCGGGATGCCAAAACAAAAGCACCAAACACCATGCTCAAGCGTACGTACCCTCGACGACCGCGAGCGGCATTTGCCCCGCCTCGCATGCGACCGTTGCGAGCGCGGGAAATCTGTCGGTCGTTCTCCTTGATCTTTGCAAACTCAACCGGCACCACCTGGAGTGTCCCAGAGTCAAACACATCACGTCAACTGTCAGCTTGCGCAAAACCATCAAAATCAATCGTCGCAAAACATACCGTGCCATCGATTTGGCCACCATTCATGCAGTCGACCGCACTCTGCGCATCGGAAGCGTTGGTATAGCGAACCAAGGCAAAACCGCGATGGCCGTTGGGGCCGCGGCGTGGTACGTCCACCTCCTGGATTGCGCCGAAATGAGCGAAAATCTCGCGAATGTGTGCCTCCGTGACGTTGGACGAGAGCTTTCCAATAAAGACACGGTTGCGCGGGGCCGAAGGAAATCGCGAGGGTGAGCGGGATCGCGACCGAGACCGAGACCGGGACCGAGACCGAGACCGCGATCGGCCACGTCCGCGTCCACCACCGCCACCGCCACGACGCTTTGGGGACAGCGACCGGGACCTAGATCGGGACCGCGAACGGGAACGCGACACCGACCGGGACCGCGAGCGAGACCGAGAGCGAGATCCAGAGCGAGACCGGGACCGAGGCGACCGGGACCGGGACCGAGACCGCGATCGTGAGGCAGAGGGCGATCGCGACCCAGCGCCAGGAGGGCGGCGTTGTGATGCAGACTGCGACCGTGAACGCGAGCGCGAGCGGGAGGGCGATCGGGACCGGGACTGGGGCGACGACGACGACGACGACGCGGCTGCGTTGGCTGGAGCGACATTGGCTGCCGCTGCTCCTGCGCCCTCTGTCGGCGGGGGTGCAGCGCTTTCGGACGACACCCTACCGTGTGGTGGTGAGACATGGGCAGAGAGACAGTCGGCAGAGACAGAGTGAGCGACGTGGAATAGCAAAGTCCAATGCAAATCCCAATGCAAATCCCAATGGAAAAAAAAAAAATAAAAAAATAATAATAAAAAAATAAAAAATAAAAAGATCGCTCGTTTTTGAGATGATTGGAGTTCAAGTGTGCTCAAAAATCAGCCCCGCGATGGAAGAAGCGGCGGCAAGGTCAGAGCAAAGCAGTTCTGGTCCTTGGCATTCAATAAAGTAGGAAGGCGGGGGTCGGAGGGGACGGGAGGGCGAGAAACGACGTCGTTTTCAGCAGTTTACATTTGACAGAGAAAAATAGAGACTGAGAAATCGAGAGTTTGAACCAATTCGGACAGCTCCCACAGTTCGATGGCAGTGATTCCTGGGCAATCGGGAAACATGATCGCGGGGATGAATGAACACGAACTTTTGCTTGGCAAAAGCTGCAATTGTCCAAAAGCCGCTGTTGCTGCTGCTGCTGCTGCTGCTGCTGCTGCTCGGTACGTTCAACTAAACATGCTTCTGCAAAACATTAATCAGGGGGAAAAACAACCTCTCGTTTCAATCCAAAACACATACACTCATGAAATCGAAAACACAAAAACTCAACTGCAGTACAAAAACGTTCGAATGAACTAAGCGGTGAGCAGCCCGCGGCGCTCGTCATCGGCATCCGTCGGTTTCCCTCGGCGAGAAAACGAGGAAGATGCACCGTTGCTGCTGCTCATGACTCGGCGAGCTCCGCCGTGACCGCGGAAATGGGCGTCTCGGGCGCGCCGGGATTCGCGCCGAGCATACTCTTCCTCTTGAATCAGCTGCCAGTCACGGGGCCAAAACCACGCATAGACGACCTTGAAAACAAAGTCGGGCAGGAGAGCTGTGACGACGAGAAGAAGCAGGCCCAGCCACATTTGCGGCAGACCGGCAAGGTAGATTGCGGAATGGAACAGGTAGTAGGGCTCGCTGATCATGAAGGAGCTCCAAAACAGCATAAAGGCGCCCAGAACCACCAAGGAACCAATCAAGACAAACCAATTCAGCCACGTCACGTAGCCCTCCTCCATCAGGAGGCGAATGGTGACAACCACCAGCATGACACAGTTCATGTAGGCGCCCAGTGTAAACACGTCAATATCGGTCGTCGTTGAATGGTCAAGGCCCCAGGACGATGCAGCAGTGACGTTGCGGCCCACATCCAGCGTGAGCACGGTGGCAGAGCTCGAAGCAACGGCGCTCCAGCCGCCAAAGACCAGCAAGCCGCCAAAGAACACAACGAGCGCGTGCCAAAAGGACGATAGCATCCATTGGCCGAGTGCCTTGGACGAAATACGAGCGCTGGGTCCCTTGAGCGAGCTGTACAATCGCGGATAGCGGAGCAAGGAGCGCTCTGACACGTCTTTTTCCACCATGCCGTGCACCAAGGCCGGTAGCGAGGTAAAGACAATGTTGAACAGCATAAGCAGGACGCTATCGTAGATGGTCTGGCCCGAGAAGCCCGAGTAAAATGCAAACAAGAGCTCTGCGGCAATCCACGCCACGTTCTTGTAGAAGAAATACAAGGCCACATCCGCAATGCGAATGTACGAGTAGCGGCCATGCACCAACAGCAGTCGCTGGAGCGACCGGAACTTGGCAAACGCGTAATCGCTCGAGCACGCCGCCTGTCGTCCTTCTTTGCCCATAATTCCCACACCGACGTGAGCCTCCTGTTCAAAGATTGAGTATCACGTATGCCAAGCATTGAGTTTCGTGGTTAGAGCTCCATGGCTACGGAGATGCAACAAAGGACAAAACAATAAAAGGCTGGCTTGTGCACGACAAAAAAAAAAAAAAAAAAGTAACCCCAACAAACACGCACACACACCTGAATCATGCTGACATCATTGGCACCGTCGCCGATGGCAAGCGTGACTGGTCGCTCGGGACTCTCTTTGACAAGGCGGACAAGCAAGGCCTTTTGCATTGGCGACATGCGACAGCAAAGCACGGCAGCGCAACGCTGGCATAAAGCGAGCAACGCGGCGCTGTCGTGCTTGAGGGCAATGGCAAGTGTAGCGCCATCGATGACCAGAGCGAGCTGTGGCGGACCGTGGTGCGGCGCGGAGAGCTCGACTTCCAAAGACTCATCGGCCCTCAATGGAGAAGCCTGCGAATGTCCAGCGCTGGCTGATACCACGCTGCCGTACGAGCTGACACCACCGACGGTATTGGTTCCGGTGGTCTCTGGCTCTGGTGCAAACCGCTCACGAGCGGCATCCGTGGCCGCGTTGGCGGAATCACCAAAGCTCGTTGCATCAAAAGCGCCTGCTCGGTCGCTGGCGTACTCTCTGAGATACTGCCGGATGGTTTCCGAGCACTGACGACGCGAATGAGCATTCAGGTACAACACGCGCATGGACGACGACACGTGTCCGCAGGCCATGCTAATATTGATGGCGGTCTCTTGCTTGTCGCCCGTCAATACCCAAACCTTGATTCCCGCTCCGCGCAGCCGCTTCATGGTCAAGTCCACGTCGGCCTGGAGCTTGTCTTCGATGGCAGCTGCCCCTAGGAGGACTAAACCGTGCTCGATACGCTCATAGGCGGCGGCAAACAGGGCTGTGGCGGCAGCACGCAAAACAAAACATCCAGCGTGAGTGGCATCAACACACGCACACACCACCACACACGAAAAACAAGATCCATCCCATCCACTCGACACCATCGTCCTACCATCTCGATTATGCAAAGCCACGCTTGCTTGATGCAGACTTTCGCGGATTTGCGCAAACTCGTCATTGGACAGTTGCTTGGCCGCCACCAACAAAGTGCGAAGGCCACTCGTGGCAAAGCCGCCAAGATGGTCCATGGTGGTGGTCTTGATGGTCGACATGCGAGGAATCTCAACACCGGACGAGGAGGAACCCATGCGATGCAGGAAGGTGTGCTCGTCTGCCGAGAGCCTCGGCTCAATGACCGATTCCGCACCCTTGGTAAACACCCAAATGACACCCTGCTCGTCGCGCACAATCACGCTCATACGCTTCCTGTCGGATGAAAACTCGAGCACGTGCAGGAGCTCGAACGCCTGCGGCTTGCCTTGAACCACCAGGTGCAACGTCTCGACCGTGCGCCGCTCAAATACAACGCCTGCGCGCGCAGCCCCGCTCACCAGTGCTTCCTCGTCTGGAGACGATGCTTGATAATGGATGGACAGGGGCAATGCAGCTTGTTGCGCCTGCTGTTGCTGCGACACCACGGGAGTGCTGCTCTGGTGCTGATGGTGGTGGCCGTGAGGGACGCGTTCGGCAAACACCGTGTGGCACGCAGCAAGCGCAGTGAGATAGACACGCAGAGCCGGGTTGGATTTCTCGGCTTGCGCAAGGGAGCTGGACGCTTCTAGAAGGGAGGCGGGAAGGTACTTATCGTAATCGTCTTCGGACTCGCTTCCTTCGTCGTCGCCACCAGCAAGGTCTTGCTTTATCGCATCGGCAGAACGGTTGGAGTTGCGGCTACTCGCGCCACTGCCTCGACCTTTGGGAGAGGCGGCGCCTGTGGCGAGAGCGTCCGGATGGCCACCAACAGTTGTGTCGCCCTGCTCGGCGGGAGTCTCGCTTTGCTCTTCAGCATCGTCGTCTTCGGCACCAATCAGCGGGATGCGATCGCCTGACTGATTTCCACGGCGGAAGCTCAGCGCCAGACGGTGGAGAGGCGAGGCGGACGATGCTGTCGTGGGAACACTGCTGGTGGCACTTGTACTGCTTTCGGCGCGCGAACGCTGCTCCCTTTTGGCCATGGCAGCTGCATCCGACAGACGAGCTTGTGCCTCAGGATCGGCCTGCTCGACCAGACCGTCGCGCGTGGCCAGGTAGCGGCGGCCCGCAACGCTGCACTCGACAAACTTCATGACGTTCTCGGTCAGGGTGCCGGTCTTGTCGGAAAAGACATAGTCGACCAACGCCAGCTCCTCGTTGAGGTCGGACGTGTTCGCCTTGGCCATCGAAGGCTGCTTGTCGGAGGTGTTGACCTTGTCTGCCATCTTCTCGTCCCAGTGGATGAGCAGCGCGCCAAAGAACTTGAGCAGCTCAACCGTCACGTAAAGTGAAATGGGAATGCAGTAGTTGTACAGCAGCATAAAGGTGATAAACTGGCCCGCGTAGAACAAGAAAATGTCGCCAGTTTCCCCAGCGGCAGGCAGCCCCAGATCGCCCAGATACCACGCGACGTGGCGGTAATGGTTGTTCCAGGCAAGCGTGAGAAGCGTGGAAATCAGACACACGACAAACAAGCCGATGAAAAACACAATCAAAAACTTGTTCATCAGTCGCTCGAGCGACGAGAACTTGTGCTTGACTGGCTGCTGGTTGAGAACCATCTTGGTATCGCGTCCGGTGTAGACGGCGACACCATAGACAAACTCGGTGTTTCTCAAGCGCGCGCCTTTGTGCAGCAAATTCGAAATGTCGAGCGGCACAGCCGAAGAGATAGTACCCTCGCTGCGGCCAGGAAAAGATGCGCTCTCGGACAGCGCATCGTGAGGCTTGCGGAACAAGGACCAGCTGGCTGGCCAGGACGAGGTGGCGGGGGTGTCACTCGACTGCGCGGATGCATTCACGCTGTGCGCGAGTCTGCTGCCACCACTTTCCTGGTCTTGCCCGCCAGCGCGGCGGCGACTGCTTCGATCGGCTGACAGCAACGACGACGACGACGACGGCGACGAGGACAACGACGACGACGACACGCGGAAAAACGAGTCCGAGCTCGCATCTGAGAGCAAAACGCCAGAAAACAACCGCCCAGTGAATCGGTAAAGGTCGGCAGTTGGCAACCCGCAGTCGATGGTGACGGACAGGTTGCGCAAGGCGCCAAAGTCGCGGAGATGCCGTGTCGGCACGGGTGCGGAGCGCACCTTCAAGTTGGTCTCGCCGTCCAAGTTGGCAGTGATGGTATAACAGTGGCCGTCGGCATCCGAGGTCGACAAGAGCGTCAAATCGCACGGGAACTCTTGTCCGTCGACAATTCGCACAATGTCGCCAACGTGGATTTGCTCGTTCTGAATGTCCAGCACGACGCCCCTGCGCATGACCGTAACGGGCCGTGTGTTTGTCTCGTTATCGGCCAAGTGCCGCAGATAATCCTCGTACGCCTGCTTGATGGCCGTGACGCCAACGACAAAGACCAGCGGCAAGATGGACGTCAGCGGCGAGACGGGCGCAACGCCGGGAATCAGCTGGATTAACGCCACGCAGAGAAAGTAAAAGTTGGCCACTCGTCGAAACTGCTCAAACAAGTTCTTTGGCAGAAAGTTGAGCGCGGTGTACTTGGACGTGATGACGCGGTTGTCTGGGAATCTGTGTCAACAAACAAACGGATGAACGTGAGTGCAATGAAGAAGTCGTGTTGGATGGGGGGGGGGGGTTTTGTTCCAACTGGATGATGTGGATTGAAGGCCGGAGCAGAGGGAGTTTCAAGTCGAGGGTGTGGCTGGAATAGGCTGTGCGGTAAGTTTCTCAGACGCTTTTTCCGCTGGTTTTGAGTTCTTTTTGCCATCGATTCCCTCGCCCCTCCCCCCACACACACACACACTTTTCCTTGTGTATCCGTTGTGGATGATCAGTCTGTCGGGCTATGGTTCGTGGTTCGCAGGACGGGCGTTGAGCGTCGCTGCATCTTTCGCTTTCTCCCCCCAGGCACGAGTCCCAATGCACTTCTGCAAGCGGGATCGGGTGTTTGTTTTTTGTGAAGGGGACATTTTGGAGAGCATCGCTTGTGAATGCAAGAATCAAAACAGCAGCAGCAGCAGGGAACTGAACGCACGGGGACGGAGTGCTGCGGAGAGTGCGCTCGAGGTGGTCGTTGCTGCTGGAGGGCGAGCGGGCGGAGGATCCAGATCGCGGCGCTGTTGTTGCTGCTGCTGCTGCTGCGTTGTTGCCGTTGAAGTCCACTGCTACTGCTGATGATGATGAGGCTGATGATCCAGTCACGGCGGCGTCGCGGCCAACGACGCGAACAGTCCGCACTGCAGCCTCCGCAGCGGCCGTCGCAGAGTCGACTGATGCATCGGCGACGACCACAGTATTGGCAGTCGCATTCGCACTAGCAGGAGCAGCACTGTTCGCGCTCGCGTCTGCTGCTCGTGTCTGCTGCCGATTCCCAGCCATCGTTGCCTGTTCCTATTCCTATTGCTATTGCTATCGCTATTCCTATTCCTATGGCCGCTCCAATTGCTACTCCAATTGCTACTCCAATTGCTATGCTTTGTGCGTTGTCGTCAGCGTCGTCGTCTTTTGTTTTCAGAATCAGGCGCTGTTTGGTTGTTGTGTAGTTTTTGTTTGACTGAACTTCAACTCTTTTGATTTCAGAAGAGAAGCAAAAACAAATGTAAAACAACAAAAAGTGACCAAAAGTTGCAGCAAAAAGCAATGGACGTGCGCGAGCGCGAGCGAGAGAGTGAGTGCTGACCGTCTAAGCGTCTGAGCGTCTGAAATTGAGCAATCCGTCAAACCCCCCCCCCTCCACCCTTAGAGCCTCTCTGTTCCATTGAACTCTGATAGACCTGCACTCGGCAAACGCTCACTTGTACAAGTGTGAACAGCACTGCGAGTCTGTCGAGTGTCAGTCGCCAAAATTGACATTTCTGAGATTTTCCGGCGAAACGCCAGTTCTCACCAAAACAATGCGGCCACTGCTGGCTCAGCGACCAGCTGCTCGTCCTCCTACTCCTCGGATGATCATGATGATGATGATGATGTCAATGATCATGACAATGGTGGTGATTGCAACCCTGTCATCATCATCATTGGTCGCAGAGGCAGCAGCAGCAGCAACAGCGAGCTCCCGCCAACACGCACCGCAGTCAAAGTCGCTCGAGCGCTACCACGCAGGACTCTCCCACATTGCCGCTGGGCCCAGCGAGTACGACCAGGCCATTGCAGAGCTCAACGCAGCCATCGCCGCTGCCCCGCGGTTTCGCCCTGCGCGTCTGGCGCTCGTGGCGGTGCTCCGTCGCAAAGCGGTGGCAATTCAGGCACAGTCGCACGCTGCCACCCACGCCGCATCATCATCAATAGACTCGAGCGATGGTGGTGCAGGTGATGGCAATGCTGCTGATGGCGGTGGGACGGATCCGACACGGCAAGCTCGAGCCAAGCCAGCCTCCGATGCTCTGTCTTCGTCATCATCGAGACGGACGAGTCCTGATCATGAAACGATCAACCTCGATGGTGCTCCAATGTCAATGTCAGAGCTCGACGTTCGAATCGACCGAGCAAACGCTCTCGCCGAGCAGACACTGCGCGATATGATTTCATTGGATTCAACCGACGCTCAAGCGCGCTACCTGCTGGCAGGCCATCTGATGCTCGTGTCGTCGCTGGAATCGCGCGGAGCCAGTGCACACTTGAGCCACGACGACGACAACGACGACAACGACGAGGATCCCAGCGTAAACTCGAAATCACCGGGGGAGTCGGGCCACAAGAACCAAAAGAATGCCAAGAGTTTGACACGCTCGACCGCACTGCGCCTGAGCGAGGCCAAAACCCTGCTGGAATCAGCGGTTGCCATTCAGCCATCGCATGCAGATGCGCTCTACAACCTGGCTGTCATCGTATGGACGGAAGGCGAGCGTGAGGCGACTCTGCGCCCGCTGGCATTCTCTTCCCAAGCAGCACACCCAAATCCTCGCTATCAGGAGGCCGAGGCTTACTGTCAAGCTGCTATTCGAGCGATCGAGGTCATGGAAGTGGCGGCAGAGGATGGAGGGCACCGCATCTGGCAGCATCCGCATGTCGCGGCCGAATTGCTCCTCGGCCACATTGCCATGACCAGCAATGACGCTGCAAGAGGCGCAGACCGAGAAAGTTACACTGTGGATGGGGCGGAAGTGTCCACCGACTCCACGACCCGGCGCGCCATTCGCCACTTTGAAACGGCGATCAAAGACTTTGCCGCGGTGCAGCAGCTCGCCTGGCCAGACCGGTTGAGCAAGAACAAGCCCAAGATGAGTGATTCGCGACAGCGCCAACCCAAGAACTCGTCCCAACGACGGAAACGCTCTCGGAAGAGCGATATGGAGCGCGATCTTGCCGAAGAGTTGAACGACGAAGAGGAAGACCTCTTGACCAACCACGACCACTCGGACTCGGCGTTTCTTCACCACGATGACAATCACGACAACGACGGGAGCGAAAAGTACGTGGTAGAGACACTGCGAGAAACCCACCGCGACCTGCAGGCCACAGCACACTTGCCCATGCACTTGTTTTGGGGAGGCCAGCTGGCCGATCTCCGCGCAGAAGCGCACCTGTGGCTCGGCAAGACGCTTGCTCAGAGCGACATTTCGCCATCTGCCGTGCTTTTTCACACCGAATCGGCTGTTGCAGATGCAATTGAGCGCGAAACGCTGCTTCAGGCCGGCGGGCGGTCGTGGACGCGATTGGACCAGCTGCCAACGCGGCCTTCGCTTCGGCATCGCATGCTGGAGCAGCATTTGCTGCAATCACTACAGCTGGAAGCGCTGCTGCCCTATCCTTTCGCCATGGATCCGATCGATGTTGCGTTTGTGGCAGCACGCGTTTTGCATCACACGGCTGCAACGCCACAGCAGGCCATCCCGCACTACTTGTACGTCTTGTCGCTCGACCCAGACCTCGTACTGGCACTCGCGGGTCTTGCGAACGCTTACCAGCTCGTCGGCGAGCTTGACAAGGCGGCGCAGTCCTGTGAACGTGCCTCGGCGCTGGCCCCTGAGGATGCGCTCCTCGCAAACGACTGTGCCCTTATCCTGGCGGCCAACCGGCAGTTTGACTTGGCTGAAGCGTACTACAAGCGCGCGATTCAGTCTGCGCCCGACTTGTTGGAGCCGCGGTCCAATCTCCGCGCGCTGTACAGCTTTCTCGGCCGCACCGACGATGCCCTGGCCCTATTCCAGTCACCGGCAGAAGGAGGAGGAGCAGCAGGAGGCAAGGATGATGTAGCATCATCGCCGCGAGACTTGACCGAGCAGCAGCAGCATCGCTCCAAAATGGCGACGGCACAGATTGCGGTAGAGCGGGCCATGTTGCACGTTGCGAATCAAGACCCAGGCGCGGCAGAGGCGGCACTGCAAGAAGCCGTTGCGATTCTCCCTTCCATGTTGAGCGCACGTGTCAAGCTAGCCACCTTACTCGTCGCATCGAACGCGTCTCGGTTGGAAGAGGCATTGTATCATATTCTGCAAGCGCTTGATACGGCGAAACAGGTCTGGCATTGGGCGCTTTTTGCCAGCAACCGCGACGAGCAAGAGTCCGCTTCTTCTGACGACGGTCTTGGCGCAAAGCAGCAGCAGCAGCAGCAGCAGCAACAGCAGAGTCGGCGACGGCGGCGAAAGAGTCGCTCGGCATCTGCAGACGCTGAGCAGCCACAGCTCCAAGAAGCGGCGACCCACATCCCTCCTTCGGCCACGCCGCCGCCATCGCCAAGCCCCGTCACGGCGTCGGAACTGGCAATATTGTACTTTCACGCTGGCATGATTCTTGATCTGAGCGGCCACACGGCTGAAGCGTTGGAAATGTTCAATCAAGCGACATTCCACTCGCCTGGATTTTCACGCGCTCACATGCGCGCGTCCGTGTTGTTGTCGCGCCACATTCAAGAGGTTCAGGTGCAGGCGCAAGAGCTGAATGAACCGCTGGACAGCGATACCATCACGCACTTGCAATCTCTGGCAGCGCAGGCGTCCGTCCGCAGCCGCATTGCCCAGCGTCCGCGCTGGTTTGACTGGTACGAAGGCAGTCTGTTGCAGCAGGACGCCGTCTTTGTCTCCGACTCGCCCGTTGCTGGCAAGGGCTTGTTTGCCAAGCGCGATTTGCCTGCAGGAACTCTGCTTGGCTACTACAACGGTCCGCTCACCTGGGAGTTCACCCGTGTCGAGTGGATGTACACGGGCCTGCGGCCGAGCGCGGATTCTTCGCTCCGCTATGTGCTGAAGAGCGACCGACATGACATGACCGTGATGCCCATTCAAACAGTCACTCTCGACGAACCTGATGGCGGCACGCGAGGCGCCACGGCGTCGACGCGACAAAAGCAGCATTCGAGGCAACCGCGCACGCGGCAGGTGGTCGATGCACCTGTCAATCTCGTGCATTTTATGAACGAGCCACCTCCGGACAAGCAACTCAACTCTGTGCTAGAGTACGCCCATCTCGACCGCCGCGTCTTGAGTGACATCTTCCCGCGAGCGGTTGCAGAGCAGATGGCCGAGTCACTGAGTCTTCCAAAGTCTGCGCTCGCCTCGTTGTCTGAGATTGACGATACTTTTACCAACTCTGCCACTCGAGACAAACTCTTCCACTCGCAAGACATTCGGCGAATTGCGCTAGAGTCGTTAGCGCACGTTGGCGGTGAAATGGACGATGTGGCCTTTCTCAAAACTCGCCAGCCCGTCAAAGCCGGTGAGGAGTTGTTCTGGTGCTACGGGATGGCTTATTCGCGCGATTATGCGGTATCGGGCGATTGCCTGGGGTCGCCGCGCTGAGGTGGAATCGAGTTGAGCTCCTCTTTGCTTGTATTTTTGAAATTGCTTTTGCCTATTGTATCTCTGCTTTGTGTGTTGCGCTACGCTTTGTGTTTGTTTGTTTTTGGTTTCTTGGTTTTGAATTCCACTGTATTCTACATGAGCTAACAATTCGAAGACCCGAAAAGCTTTGTACTCCAAAAACCTCGAAATCGGGCGACCAATGCGAACAACACCCCCTAACAAAATTGACAACACCTTCGTGATCACCAATGATGACCACCACCACCACCACCACCACCACCACAAAACAGCCATCCGCTACGCATTAGGTGTGCCTCTTAGTTCTTGACGAGGTTCCTGGCGTACTTTTGCCAAAGCGACTCAAACTGGGCCGCGAACGCGTGCGAAAGTCGCGGATCGTCGCTAATCACGACATTCTCCTGGTTTTGGAGGACCGCCTGGCGTGTCCAGTTGAACGATCCGTTGAGCACGAGCGAGTTGTCGACAATGGCAAACTTGTGGTGCATATGCGAGGCCTCTGCGTCGGTGCGCGTCGGGATGCCCGCCTGTGCCATCCGGTGAATGTCCGAGCCCAGGGTGTCCTTCTGGTCGTTGTCTGAGATGACGCGCACCTTGACGCCGCGCTTGTGCGCCTCGATCAGCGCGTCCGAGATCTGGTCGCAGGTGATGGTGAAGACGCACACGTCCAGCGTCGCCCGCGCAGAGTGCAGCGCCTTGAGCAGCGTCGCAAGGCCCGTCTGTGTGTGCGCAAACTTGCACGACGCGCCGTGTCTGCACGCCCCTTGCTCCAGCCAGAACTTGCACACCAGGTTGGCGTCCGGGAAGAAGACCACTTGGAGGCGGTTTGCGCCGGTCGCGGTCGCAGGCGCCTTCTGGCTCGGCGGCTGCCTCTGCTGCTGTTGTTGCTGTTGTTGCTGATGAGGTTGTTGAGGTTGTTGCTGATGAGGTTGTTGGTGTTGACGCTGGTGCGACGACGACGACGACGACGACAGAATTTGACCCATTTGTGTTGCTTCCTCTTAGAAAATTGTGGAATGAACACCCTCGTTCAATCAAATCGCACTGCAGCGCAATAGACACCACTTTGGTCATAGTGATGATGTGTGCTGCAGTAGAATCGGATCAATGCACCAAAAAATAACGCAAACTGAGCTGTATTCCCGTTGTCAAATCAAAAAAAGCAAAAGACCATGTACACTTCAGATCAGCTGCAAGAAGGACCCAAAAAAATACGCAGCAAAACAAAAATAAACACAGGGAGAACAGCAGCGTTATAGATATCCCGACAATCGTCGCTCGTCTCTTGTTTGTTGCTTTGTTTTTTTAGACGAGGGGGTAGGAGGCAGCAGTGGCAATGCCGCACTGGTTGTTGGAGTTGCGGGTCATCCAGATGTAGCCCGACTGACCCCAGGAGGTGCCCCACGAGTTCTTGACAAGCCAGTAGTCGGAAGAGCCCGAGGTGCCGTAGCCGACAGCGAGGACGCCGTGGTCGAGCTGGGAGGATGAGCAAGCGGGTTCGTTGTAGACGCCCGACGAGTAGAACTGGAAGGAGGGCTGCGAGGCATCGATGGCGACCGAGATGGGGCCGACGGTGGCAACAGCGTTCTGGAGGTCAGACTCGGAGCCGGAGGCAATGTCCTGGTACGAGGCGACGGTGGCACCGACGTTGGCAGAGTTGAATTGGCACGTGCCGTCCTGGGCGGTGTAAGGGTACGAGGACTCGGTGTCAATGCCGTTGTTGGAGATGATGTACTGGAAAGCCTGGTCCATCAGACCGCCGTTGCAGCCAGCGTTGCCCTGAGCGCTCGAGCAGTCGACGAGGTTTTGCTCAGAGAGCGAGACGAGCTGGCCAGTCTTGCGGGCGTGCTGACCCTCGACAGAGCCGGTGGTGGAGAACGACCAGCACGAGCCGCACTGGCCCTGGTCCTTGATGGGGGTGACAATGCCAGCGGTGCGCCAGTCGACCGAGTCGGGGAGCGAGACCATGCGGGGCAGGTAGGTGGAGGCGGCAAAGGACTTGGTGGCGTTGGTGGCATCAAAGCGGAGGCCGAGGTACTTGGCAGCAAACTCGGGGTAGGTCAGGTCGGCAAACTTGTTGACGGCGAGCTTGTACGAGTGGCCCTCCGAGTTGTGCTTCTCGATAAAGTCGAGGTTGGCGCGGTAGATGCCGCGGCGGGCAGTCTCCTCGCCGACGGTGGCGTACGAGACGCCATGGGTGGCCTTCCACGAGTCAAAGCACGGGTTGGCAGCGGCGCAGGCGACGAGCGCGAGCAGGGCGACGGCGGTGAAGGCCTTCATTTTGGTTTGGAGAAAAGAAGAGAAGGAGAAACTGACAAACAAACAAACAAACAAACAAACAAAGATGAGTTGAAACGAGTTGAAGGTGAAGTTGAAAGAGTTAAAGTTCAAGTGAAAGTTGAATGAAGGAAGGCAATTTCATTAGTGAGTGAAATTTAGTAACAAAAAGCGAGCGTTTTAAGCGGAGAATAATTTCATACAAATGGAATAACAAAGAAAAAAGAAGGTTCTGGCTTTTTTGTTATTTTTGTTTTTTTTTTCAGTTTCTGTTGCCAACAACGCAGCACCGACCGCAGCACCGACCGCAGCACACGAGCGAGACAGCACAGAGAGAGAGTGACTTGTGTGTGACCTTGTGTGTCACATCGCAGAGTCGAAGACAGAAACAACGTAATACATGAAACAACAAACACAAACACGTTGCCATCATTATTTTTGATTTTTTTTTATTTTTTTTTATTTTATTTGTTTTTGAATGGCGGGTTGTTGAGTCTTTGTTGTTGTGCGACGCGACAAAGGAGACAGAGACAGAGAGAGAGAGAGAGAGAGAGGGAGAGCAGCGGATGGAAGCGATGAGGGAGGGTGCAGAGAAAGAGAGAAAGAAAAGAATGAGCAAAGTGGAAAGAAAGAGGAGGGGGAGAAATAATAAAAAAAACCACATCATCACGGGTTGAGAGCCAAAAAAAAAAAAAAAAAAAAAAATAGAATAATAAAAAATAAAGCACACCAAAGCTTACACCAAAGCTTACAAAAAAAAGTGAGACTGAGCCAGCAATTCAATTCACAAATCCAAAAACGAAAATCCAGAATCACAAACAGAATCAGCTGCGCGTTCCCCCCTCGACATCGGGTGCAGAAAGCAAACCATCAGCTATGAAATTCCGTCAACAAAGACTGCTGTGTGCGACAGAGGAAAGAGAGGAAAGGCAAAACGGCCATTTTTGGTCTGTTTCGCACCCCTCTTCTCCAGTCACGACCGTTCCAGGACTGCCTCTTGGATCAAACCCTGCTAGAATAGATGAAAAATTGTCGCGCATTCAGAATATGTCGAAAATTGCAGAGAAAAACGGCGGGATCGCTTTTCGCTTCAAAAAAGTTGCAATCTCAGGACATTCAAACCCAATTGTTCAAAAGTGCACTTTGCTAGGATTTTGTTGTGATCTTGAGCTACCGCCTCTATACTTCACTATTTCACGCAAATTCGCTTGTCAAATCAATATTTGCAGGATGAGCCACACAGCTCGAGTCTAGAGGCCCGACATGCTCGAACGCCGGGGTGGAATTTTTTCAAAACGCATTTCCACCCAATGACCAAGACGCCCACCCACCATCAGCAATGTGGAATGATGTACAACAATATTTCGCATTGATTCCGCGCAAATTCGCGGCTGTGGGTCTCTTGGATATGCCTACCACGAGCTCTTTGTTGATTGGGGTTGGAATTGCATTGATTTTGGTTGCTCAGCGCGCGCCTCGCCCAGAGCTCCAAGCGTTGTTGGTCCCATTGATTTCTGGATGCAATATGCGTGTCTGCTGACACAACAAAATGCTACGCAGAACCAAGCCACAGAATCGCACGCACGCACGCACGAACGCACATCAACAATGGCATTCACCCTATTTTTTTTTTTTCGAGTTATTTTTTTATTTATTTTTACTTTTGGTTTACATTTTTTTTTTTTTTTTCCGATTTCGTGAGTCAAAAAAGTGGGACTTTTCCTACCTTTGCACCATTTGCCTTGTTCGCAGGACTTTGCCGCGCTGACGCGTCCATGTCGGAGATGAGCCCATTTTACACTTCATTGTATTTGTTGTGTGAAGGGGGGGGGCGAAGAAGGGGGTGTTGGCGAAACAACAATGTGAATGTGTCGCATCGAATGCAAGATCGCCTGAACCAAAAAAAGCCCACATCATAATAAATGCATCACAAAATACAAAATAAAATAAAATAATAAAATAAAATAAAATCACTCCATTTTTTTCCTGCTTTTTTTTTTTTTTTTTTTTAGGATTTTTTTCATTAGTATTCGCTTTTTTGGCTGTACTCCGACAAAACGCCAATCGATCGACCCGTTCCTTTTGCAGCGCCTTCCTTCATTCGCTCCATACACACAACACTCAACAACATGGCTGAACAGAACGAACTCGCCGCCGAGCAGCAGCAGCAGCAGCAGCAACAACAACAGCAGCAGGCACAGCAAGTGCGAACGCAACCACAAGATGATGACAAATTATCCACAAACACCGCAGCAACAGCACAAGTCGAATGCGCAGCCGCAGCCACCGCCGCCGAGCCCGCAGTTGTTGTGGACACGACGCACTACTCTGTGAGCATGGCTGGTGGCTCGCTGCGGTCGGCGCTCTGCGTGCCAAACTCGCAGCCCGCCGTCACCGACCCCGAGCAATTGGACGCGACGTTTGGCATTGAGTTTCCATCGCCGATGCGCACGCAGCTTGTCCTCATGCGCCAAATGTTTGAGCACTACCGCGCGCAGCTCGACGCCCTCCTGGGTGCGCGTGAGGAGCTCACCAAGCTCATGAAGTCGGACGCCTTCATGTGCTTTGTGCGTGTGCGGGCTCAGCACAACCACAACCAGCAAACCAAGTTTGTCACGTTTGTTTTGCGCCAACTCGCGGGCGCCTTTGCCGCCTGCAACCTCACCTACCTCGCCTACCGCTTCGCCAGCCCGGCCGCATGCCACACCGCCTTCATCGAGGGCCTCGAGGACGCCGTCACGCGCGCGCTCATTCCCGACGACGACCTGCCCAAGCCCCACAGCGAACCAGCCCCATTAATGCCAAATTCGAACATTTCGCTCGCGCTCCCTGCCGCCGTCCAGCTCCACATGGACCGCATCTGCGCCTACGCCCGCCAGACCCGCCCTCAGCAGCAGCAGCAGCAGCAGTAACAACCCAGTGTTCTCTCTCTGCCACACAACAAGCGCGCTTCAACGCTTTGTTGCTTTTTGCTGTCGGTATCTGGATTTTTTTTTTTCGTTCGTGCGTCATTTTACGTTACTATTTATTGATTTTTTTTCCCCGTTCTTCCTTTTCTGATCGATCTTCGATCCTTTTCAACACTTTTTTTTTTTTCGTTTTTTTGACGTTGATTCGCTTTTTTTTTTTTCTTCTTTTTCTTTTTTTTTTTTCTTTCGTCCTTCGTCCTTCTTCTCGGTTCTTGTGTTGTGGTTTTCCCCGCGTTTGCGTGTTTCTTTGGGTTTGCGTGTTGTTCTGCTCTGGTTTGGCAAACAACATCAAAAGAACACTCAACAAAAAAAAAAAAAAAAAGAAAAAAAAAAGCGCTGAGCGATCTTTGACGCTCCTCTCCTTCCTCCCCTCCTTTGTCAGTCTTTTTGTAACTTGTACTTTTACACCCCCCACACCTCGCTTCTTGTACCATGCATGCCTTAATGTCGATTTTTTGCTGTTTTTATGCTCTCTTAGTTTTTTGCCGATTGATTTTTGTCTGTTTTTGTTTTTGTCCACCATAAACAAAAATTGCTGCCCTGCACACTGTTTTGTGTTTCCATGCTGCCACTTTTTTTTTTGGTGCAATTCACAATACGACATTTGATACGAGATAGAGATTGGGGGGGGAGGGATGGAGAGCAAGCACAACAGGCAAAGCGCGCGACGGAACGCCAGCACCACTTTTTTTTGTTTTTGTTTTTGTTTTTGTTGTGCTGCGTTGATTGAGGCACATGGCCATGCAGTAGGTGTGATTCCGACATGTAGCAACCATTGCACCTCACAAGCGGCTGCATTTTTTCTGGACAGTTTATTGCTCAACTCAAAAGTAAAAAAAAAAAAAAAATAATCACAAATCACAAATCACAAATTCTTGCTTCTCAACAACAGCCGCCTTTTTTTTTTTTTTTCTTCTGCTTTTCGTTCTCTTGTTGCCGCCACAAAGCACGCTCTCGCCACCCCCACTTCTCGCGCTCGTCGTTCGTTCGCTCTGAGTTGCTAGCATTTCTCCCCTCTCTCTTTTTAAATCGCGGTTGGTTGCCTGGCCGAGTTTGGCAAAAACCTTCATTTCATTTTTTTTATTTTTTTATTTTTTATTTTTTATTTTTGTAATTTTAATTTTTTTTTTTTTTTGATTTTCGCTGTTTTTGCTTTTGCTGCGACATTTTCGCTCCCCACTGTTTCGGTCGCCCCTTCGTCTCATTCGCTGCCATTGTGCTTATGGAAGAGGCCGCTTTTCCGTCCATGAGCAACGCAGCAGCCCCTGCCGGCGTTGGAAGTGCAAGTGCAAGTGCAATTGCCGCCATGCCTTGCACTCCTTCACCCGACGCCAACCCCAACCAGCCGCCCGCCGCTCACCCAGCGCCGCCGTCGTCGTCGTCGTCGGTGCCCACACTTCCAGCTGCGCATGCACGACCAAACCCAATCCTCTCACCGGCGTCGACGGCCATTCTGCAGTCTGCGTCCGGCACAAACCCAGCCTCGACCATTACGGCATCGTCAGCAACAACCCCCGCGTCCGTGCTAATGGCGCCTGCTGATCACCATCATCACCATCATCATGGTCATGACTCGCCCTCCTCCTCCTTCTCGTCGGCATCATCATCATCACACCATTCAGCAGCATCAAGCCCCGACCACAGCCACCGCGAGCAACACGAAGACGGCGCTGATGCTGATGCTGATGCGGATGCAGAGCGACCGGCATCCGGACCGCCGTCATGTGCGCTCACCCCGACCTCAGAGGCGTCCTCGGCCGCATCCATCCCCGCAGCAGCAGCAGCAGCAGCAGCACACACACGAGAAGCACCCGACCTCCATCTCGCTGCAGACTCGATGCGAGTCGCAAAGCAAGTTGTCGTAATCAACCAGCGCGTTCTCAGGCTCTACCCGCCGGAAATTTGCTTGGCGCTGGCCAGATTGCTCCAGCTCGTCGAGCATTACCGTGCCCAGCTGGACGCGCTGCTCGGAGCGCGCCAGGACTTGCCAAAGCTCATCCAGTCAGACTCGCTGATGCTCCTGTTCCGGCTTCGCGCAATCCGACTCCACAACTGCCACGTCCAGTACATCGGATGGCTTCTCCGGGAATTTGCCAATCTCTTCCACGAGGCCAAGCTGATCTTTATCGACCACCCGTTTCCAAACTCTGAAATATGTTACTTTGCGTTTATTGGCGGCCTCACGCACGCCCTCGAGTCGGCCACAATACTCGCCAGCCAACTTCCCGTGAGCTCGGTCGTCGCCGCTTCCGTGGGTGAGATGCCCGCGTCGTTTCCACAAGTGCTGCCTGGCTTTGCAGCGCCAGCGTTCGAGCAAGTGCGGGCATTTCTCAGCTCGTTTCAGCACCCCACCGCCACCGAGCCGGGGTCAGCGAGCAGAGCCGCAAGGCCCGCGATCAGTCCGCTTCAGCTCCCCTCCGAGCAGCAGCTCGCCAGTTCGGCGGCCGATCTCAGCGCGCTCGCAGGTGCACCATCATCCAGCGCTTCGGCTGCTGCTGCTGCTGCTACTTCGGCGGCGGTGCCAACCTCCCCCCACGACCTCCTCGTTGTCCCGGCTGACAGCACAGCATCGACCTCGTTGTCCCTGAGCTCCTCGGCTTCCACAACCACCACCGCGCCATACCTCAATGTACCAAGTGCAGCCGATGCCAGCGACATGGCCCTCTCACAGGCTGCGCTCGAAGCATTCCAGGAGATTATCGCAGAGGAAGTTGTGGCACACCTTCCCATGCTTCAATGCAACCAAGACTTGATCACCACCAGTGTCTAGTCTTATCCATCCTCCATCCGCTGTGTTTTTTCTTTTCGTTTGTTCATCTCCCTTGATTTCATTTTTTTTTTTGTCTTGTTATCTTTTTGAATTTTGGTTAGTTCGATTTTTTTTTTTGAATTTTGTTGTTGCTCGCTTATTGGCTCCGCCACCCCCCCCCCCACAACCAACCGCACGCATCTTTGTACCCCCAAGTTACACTCGTCTTGGGTTTGAACCATCGTTTATTGTAAAAATATCGTACTGTCGTTTTTTTTTTTTTTTTAATCTGCAGATTCATGCTCTTTCGCTATCCTCGCGCAAGCGCTGCAACCGCATGAGAGGCAATCTTCTCAGCTGCAGAGTGTGTCGATTCACTGCCACCAAGGTCCTTGGTCGTTTGTCCGCGACGAAGCGACTCTTGGATGCCGGCCTCGATGGCACGAGCCGCTTTGTCGTGTCCAAGTTGCTGCAGCATGAGCCCTGCCGCGCGGATTGTGGCAATCGGGTTGGCAATGTTCAGCCCGGCGATATCAGGTGCGCTTCCATGCACTAGCAAGCAAAGAGTGACACGCCAGACCAAAAGGTTGGAAAATACTGAGTTTAAAAAGCCATGTTTGGAATCTCAGCCTTCATCCGACACACCAACATACCGGGCTCAGCTACTACGAAATTGTTGCCCGAGTTTGCGCTGGGAACAAGGCCGAGTCCGCCAACGACGGCAGCGGCACCATCGCTGCGATTCCACCAACCGACAAGAAACAAAAAAAAAAAAAAAAACAAAAAAAAAAAAAAAAACCGAGTTTGCTCACGCAAGCTTTGGCACAAGGTCAAAAAAGGACGGCGACTTTACCTGATAATGTCGCCATACATGTTTGGCGCTACAAGCACATCAAAGCTCTGCGGATCAATGAAGGTGCGATACCTGTCGGACAGTTTTTCCTTCGGCCGATTAGTAAATGCCCAAAAATGCTCAAAACAGCTCACCAAAGCAAAACCCCAACGCTCCACCTACACGCAGGAATCGACCAACTGCTCTTCAACGATAATGTCCTTGTATGCGCTTTCCTTGGATACGGCCAGCACGGTCTCGCGGAACAGGCCATCCGTGATGGGCAGGACGTTGGCCTTGTGCACGATCGTCACCTTGCCGGGCCGCTTGAATTCGCGAGCTCGTTGCACTGCAATGTCAAACGCGACCTTGGCGATGCGTGCAGATGCTTCCTGGGAGATGCGACGCGTTGCCGTGGCCACCTTGTGTCCGCTGGCCGTGGTCGTCAGCTGCTCCTCCTTGACGTAGAGGCATTCGGTGTTTTCTCGAACAATCACGCAATTGATTCCAGGCAGCGATCGCGGCACATGCGGGCTGCTAATCACTGGTCGGATGTTTGCAAACAAGTCCAGCTTTTTGCGCAGCGCGACGATCGGCGAGCTGTATCCCTCTACAGAAACCAAAAACCACAATCAAGAGCAAACAAACAGAACAAGTGAGACAAAAACTGGAAAAGTATGGTGATTGACTTGCAGCACTTTGTAGCATGTTTGCTCATTGCCAGTACTTACCGACGCGGTGGGACGGAGAGCTAGATCACCAAATGATTAGACAAATTGAGCATCTTCACCGTCGGGTTGTCTGGTTGGAAGCAATTTGAAACAAAATCCGTTACCTCACGGCGCCAAACAGCGCACCGTCGCACGAGTTGATGAGTGTATCGACCGTGGACTGCGGCAGCGCCACACCGTGGCGTTGAAAGTACTCAAAGCCAGCGTCCAGCGAAATCCACTTGACCGGCACGCCAACGGCTTCCACGACAAGTTGTGCGGCCTGCATTCAGAAAGCAGAGCGACGTAGTTAGGAATGGTAACCCAGTACGACAGGATTGCAATCATCGTTTCGGGACGGAGAATCACAGTTGTTGGGAGGTAACTGTGGCGAAATTGCATTGTCTGGTTGGCGAGATTTGCTTTACCGGGACGACTTCCTTGCCAATGCCATCGGCAGGGATGGATCCGATTCGGAGCGTGTCTTGCAGACGGGTCTTCTTGCCTTGCTGGCCAGCAGCAGCAGCGGTGGCGATGGCGCGACGGGCGACCGCAGTGATGACGGCGAGGTTGTTGCTGGTGCTCGTGCGAGATGCAATTTGGATCATTCTGTTCAAATTCTACAACAGCAACGAGCAGAATGAGTTCTCTCGCGATTCCAGCATTCAAAGCGTTAACAAGGCGTTTTCGTGTTTGATGATGATGATGATGATGATGATGATGTCAGACTGCAACTCGAACGTCCGTGGAATCAACCAAGCAAGAAAACCTCACAAAATGGAAAACAAAAGGAGTGAATTTTCAACTGTGATTACCATTGGAGCTGAATTGCCGAAATGCGACGATTTCTCAAGCTCACATTCAAGTAGTGCAACAAACACACACACACAGACACACACACACACAGAGAGAGAGAGAGAGAGAGAGCGAGAGAGCGAGAATCGGTGTGTCACAGTGAAATTTTGTCGGACACTCGCTTCGCCCACAGACTCACAGTGATGTCCAAACGGCCCGGGGGAGTATTTGTCCTACCCACTCGAAATCACCATTTTCATTGTTAAAATTGTTTTAATATTCCTCTTCTTCTTCTTCTTATTATTATTAGGTTTCTATTCAAGGAAGCAGCCTCACTTCTTTTCCTCCAAACAACAACATCTCTCTCAGATCTGGTGAAGCATTCAACAAACTTCTGCACAGATCAACACGAACCCCCCCCCCTACAATTCCAAAATCACCCAAAAACCATGTGGAGTAATACGAGTCGCCATGCATGCAGCAGAATGAGTGGCAGTGGCGGGAGACGAATGTTGACGGCGGCTGCGGCGCAACTCCACCTCCAAACAAGACACTGCACATCAAGCATCACGACGACGACCGCGACCACTGCGACCACTGCGACTTCAACGATGATGACGATGATGATGATGATGACGCGAAACGCAACCACGTTCAGCGCTGCGGGCACAGCGGCGCAATCTCAATCACGAAGCGTCAGCCGAATTGCTGTCAACAGCAACCTCAGTCCGATTCGACCATCATCACCATCATCAACAAGTGCAACAGCAACAGCAACAGCAACAACACGGCGAGCATTCACAACGGCTGCAACTGGACCCACCTCAAACGCTCTCGCGACAACCTTGCCTGCGTTGACGGACGCGCGGCGCGCAGACCTCTCGCGCGTGCGGCTGGTCGACTCGACGCTGCGCGAGGGCGAGCAATTCTCAACGGCGTTCTTTGGCACCGCAGAAAAGCTCTACATTGCTCAGGCGCTGGATGCGATTGGCGTCGAGTTTATCGAAGTCACCACGCCCATGGCGAGCAAGCAGAGCGCCGAGGATTGCACCAAGATTGCCAAGCTCGGACTGAAGGCGAAAATTCTCACCCACACCCGCTGTCACATGGACGACGTGCGCGCCGCTGTCGAGTCGGGCGTCGATGGAGTCAACATTTACATGGCCACGTCGTCCATGCTCAGGCAGTACTCCCACGGCAAGGGCATTGACAAGATTATCGAGACGGCGCGCGACGTGATTGCCTACGCTCAGAAGCACGGCTTGCAGGTGCGTTTCAGCTGCGAAGACACATTCCGCTCGGACACGACCGATCTCATCAGCATTTACACGGCCATGAACAAGATGGGCGTCGACCGCGTTGGGTTGGCTGACACTGTGGGTGTAGCGTCGCCCCTCGAGGTCTACCAGCTTGTGCGACACGTGCGCAGCCTGATTGACTGCGACATTGAGTTTCACACGCACGACGACACGGGCTGCTGCATTGCCAACGCGTTCGTCGCTGTCCAAGGCGGTGCCACGCACATTGACACTTGCGTGCTGGGCATTGGCGAGCGAAACGGCATTACGCCTCTTGGCGGCTTCCTTGGTCGGCTGTACACAATCGACAAAAAGTACATTACCTCGCGGTACAACCTGCGTCTGATTCCGGCGCTAGAGCAGTACGTGGCAGGCCAGGTTGGCATTGACATCCCGTTCAACAACTACATTACGGGCGCCGCTGCCTTCACACACAAGGCGGGCGTCCACTCCAAGGCCGTCATGCAAAATCCGGAAGCGTACGAGGTGCTCAATCCGGACGACTTTGGCGTTTCGCGCCACGTCGCCATCGCCCATCGTCTCACAGGCTGGCACGCCGTGCAGCAGCGCGCCAACCAGCTTGGCATCCGCGTCAGCGAGGCCAGCGTCAAGAAGGCCACTACCTACATTAAAAACCTTGCCGACACCAAGTCCGTGACCACCGCCGACTTGGACAACATTTTGCTCAATTTCGCTGGTGAAGAAGCTGCTGCAGCGCGAGCAACAACGGCGGACTCGGACACGAGTGCTGCCAGCAGCGCGGTCGCCAACGCTACTGTTTCAGCGACAGTCGCTGCTTCCATGTCGACTCATTAGAGCCAAGCGCTTTGAGGAGAAGACGGCTGGTTTTGCTCGGGTTTCTGTTGACGGCAAGTTTGATGCATCGTTCCCGCTTCTTCCTGGTTTTTTTATGCGAGCCAAAGTGTTGGAGCACCTTGGTCTTTTTGTGTGCTTCCATACGTGTGCGTGTGTTTGTTTGTGGATGTGCCTCGATGTTTGTTTTGCAATGGGTGTTGTTTGTTTGATTTTGTAACTTTTTGTTGTTGAAATCCAGTTTTCTCAAAACGCGCAGAGATGAACAACTGTTTTGACTCTGTGGTTCGCTCAAGCACAGTCTGTAGTGTACTTGTGGCCAGGCACCAGCAGGAGGAGGAGCAGGAGGACGAGGAGGAGAGGGGGTGGCAATTACAGCCTGACTCTTGATGAGTCATCCTTTGCTGTACTTTCAAACTCAATCCGTTCTCGTTGCCCTCACCTGCTCGCTCGGTGGCCATTCCACGAGCCTACTTGCAGTGTCTCCATGTGGCTTGTGCCCTTTTGGTGCTCCGTTGTTGCGTTGACAGTTGCTTTGGTGTAAGACCTTTTCTGCTCGCGTGATTTGCGCAGATCATCGCTTCGTTCCCCTTGTTCTCTGCGCGTCTTCCCATCTCGTCCATGCACTCGATCGAGACATGTGTTGCTCGAGCACAGCGACCTGCCACTGGCGTTGTCATTGTCGATTTGAACAGCGAGGGGGGAAAACCCGCATCGGGCTTGTTGTCATGCTGGCCGTTGTTCTTGTTTTTGTTTGGCTTTTATTCGAGATCTGTTACTGTTCTGCTCACTGTTTGTCGATCGATTCGGCTACCATTCTTTGCGGTTTTTTGCTCACGAGTTTTTCTCTCCAGTCTTTTTTATTTTATTTTTTATTTTTTTTACTTTCAATCCCAAAGCAGTAGCAGCCACTCAACCCAAGCAACCCCAAAACGCCCAACCAACCACACTTGCACCCCTTGCTTCCTTTTGTCTCCTCCAAACACAACAAGCCATGCAGGAGCCCGACGTTGCGCTCGGGTTTGACCCGTTTGCAGACGACGCGCTCGGCCGCAAGGTGACCCGGCAGCATTCAGTGCGGCGGCTGCAGAAGCGCCAGTTCTCGCCGGCCGACCACGTCGTGTCCTCGGGCCATCTCGCGCCCCAGCACGGCGACGCGCGCACCAAGGAGCTCCAGCAGCAAGAGGACGAAGGTCGGTCTTTGTCGTATCGTATTTTTGCTCCCTTTGTTTTCAATTTCTCGTTTTTTTTTTTTCGTTTTTTTTATATTTATTTCTGCTACTATTCTCTGAAGCTTGTTTCTTATTTTTGCTAGTTGCTTTCGTTTATTTTAGTGACTTTTTTGATTTTTCGGTTTTTTTTTCTTGCTTTTGTTTCTTTGTCTCTCGCTTTCTGCTCATTCCGTGTCTGAGTGTGTCCAAGTTTGAGTTCGTTGGCACACACACACACACTCACTCACTTGGGGAAACTGGGGAACTGGAGCACTGGAGCACTGGAGCAATGGAGCTGATCTTGAATTGCCGCTCCATTGGCCTCGCTCCCTGCCGCTGCTTCTCTCCGAGCCCTCGCGTCACCTTCATGCTACCTCATTGCTTTCATTCATTCGTCATTCAGCACTCTTCATTTCACACTGCCACCACCACCACCACCACCTCCCCCCTAAGCAAACTCCCCTCTTCCCCTCCATTTGCGCAGACCTGCTGGAAGGGTGTCGCAGTTTCCCCCTTCCATCATCTCACTCACTCAATCTCCAACCATTGATGATTTGATTGCTCATAACAGACCGCGCCGCACAGCTCAAGGAAGCGCTCAATGACGCCAATCTATCAGACAAGGAACTCGAGGTAAAATTCAATCGCAGAGTCCAACTCTGACTCTCATCTCTCTCTCTCTCTCTCTCTCTCGCTCACCCCCTCTTTTTTGCTTGGACCTGCTAGGACCAACTCTGGGCCAAGGCGATCGACTTTGAGTCCTTCACGTACTTGCCGCCAAGCGAACGCAAACGGCAGGAAATCATGGTCGAAATCATTCTGACAGAGCGCTCGTACATTCGCGACCTGGAAGTCGTCAACGACGTGTTTATCGAGCCCATTCGTGCGAAAGAGCTCCTCTCCAAGTACGAGATCAGCTCCATCTTTGCCAACATTCAAGACCTGCTGCCCATGCACTGGAATTTGCTCAACGCGCTGCTGTCCTCGCTCGAAGCCGACCCTGCCGACCGCGCGATTGGTCGCATCTTTCTTGACCACCTAACTGCCGTCTCCAAGGAGTACGGAACTTATATTTCCAACCGCCACAATGCCGAGCGCGTTCTGCTTGCGCACAAGCGATCCAACAAGCAGTTTGCCGCATTTTTGGAGGTTTGTTTTTCAACGATCATGTGGGGGCGGGGGTTTTCAAATTTGGGCTGTTCGGTTTTTGGCGCCTCACACTCAATTCTCCTTTTCTTTTGTTTTTATCACCATTTTCTCTCTTTTCCTTGTCCCCGCGTACCTTTCCCCAATGACAGGAATGCCAATTGAACGCCAGTTGCCGCAAGTTGGCCTTGCAGTCGTTTTTGGCAGCACCCTTCCAGCGCATCACCCGGTACCCGCTGCTGCTGCGATTGTTGGTCAATACCACCAAAGCTGGACACCCGGACTTTCCCAATGTCCTTGCCGCCATCGATAGCTTTTCCCAGATTGTCTCTGCCACCGAGAGCAAAACCCAAAAGGCCGAGAGCATTCAGCGGTTAATGGAGGTGCATGCTGCGATTGACTGGCATTCCGTCCCCATTCCCAAGGTATGTCTGTTCTGATGCACCACCGAGTTATTGGGTCAACTTTTCGTTTTTTTTTTTTTTTTTTTTTTTTTTTTTTTTTTTTTTTTTTTTTTTTTTTTTTTTTTTTTTTTTTTTTGGTTTGGCCTCATTCTCTTTTTCGTTTTCTCTTGTTTCTCCTCCTTTTCGCTCGTGTTTTTTTTTCGCTAGGACTGGACATTAGTCACAGCAAGTCGGCGATTGCTATTCGAAGGCCCGTTGTTGCGTCGTCGCGAAGGCCGTAAACCGCAAGAAGTCACCGTTTTCTTGTTTAACGACGTGATAATCATCACTCGGCCACGGAAGGACAAGTTAGAGCTCGTTGCTGCCCCAATATCGCTTCGGGATGTTCTTGTGCATGACGGTTCGCGGCAAGGTAAGGAATCAACAAAGTTTTGTTTTTGTCGTGTTCCTCGACGACGAGTGCTGAGAGTTTGGTGACTGTCGCATGAACTCATTGTTGTTGTTTCCCCCCCCCCTCTCTCTCTCTCTCTCTCTGTCTCTCTGTTCACGTTTCGTTCCCATCTTCCCCTCCATTTCAAATCCATTTTCAGGCGGCACTTCCAGCGAGTTGCTTCCGAATGGCGGTCTAGTGTCTCAATCTTCCTCCACGTCGTTAAGCGCCTCTGCCACACCGTCGAGCGGTAGCCCAACCTCGTCGTCCACCAACAGCACCCCGCCTGCTTCACCAAAGACGGCGGCCGCCAAGATATCTGCGACCTTCCGAAGACACAGCTTCCGAAATTTCGTCAAGATGGGCGGAGGCGCCAGTGGCGGCACGGTGGGCCCTCAGACCATGCACAAGTCTCCTTCCAGGGATCGTGAGTTGGCGACAATCTTTACCGGGGCGACATCGAGCACGCTCAAGACCATCCATCGGCGATCGGCGGGCAGTCCTGTCGACCTCGCGCCGATCGCCCTCACTGCTGCCGAACAAGCTGACTTTGACGCGGCGATTGCGCCAGCCGATGCCGGCTCACCACAATCCGTCAGTCGGACCAGCAGCGTGGGGAATGGCGACTACCGCAAAACACGGAGCGACAGTACCGACAGCAGCGGCGCTGGGTCGCACAGCAAGGAGACGTCGACCTCCACGGAAAACATGGGTGATGAGCGATCGCCTGGGCTCTTGGGCCAGTCTGTCTCTGACCCGACAGGTTCCTGTGTGCCTCTGTCCACCGCGGCCAAGGCGTTGGTGCTGCCGTCGCTGAACGAGCAAACCGTGCTCTGCCTTGCTGGCAACACTCCGGACGAAGTGACGGCCATGTCCAACCAGGACCAGGGAGGCGATGACACGCCACCGCGCTTCCGAACCGAGTCGCTCCCCGAGAAGCGCAAGGGAGCGGTCAAGCGCTGGACGTCCGAGGTTTCGTCGCTCACCGCCAAGCCAACCCTTCGCCAACGGCTGCTTTCCAGCAACAAGCCCGCCCCAACAACGCGCGGTGTCTTCCAGTTGGTTCACGTTGGTTGCGCCATCCACGAGTTTGAGGCTGCGTCCGAGTTTGACAAGACCAACTGGATTAAGCACATTGAGGTCGCCTTCAATAGCATTTTTTCGCAACGCCGCCCCCAGTCCGGCTTTGACACCAGTCGCGCTCTGTCCGCCAGCCGCGAGTCTCTCAACCAATCGCTCGCATCCACCTCTGCGTCCACCCTGCCCGAGCTGCAGGATCAACCAGCCTCGCCCTCGAGCTCGACCGGGTCACATTCCGTGTCACACACGATGAAACCATCGCGAAGCGTTACCGGTCTGGCCCAGCACGCCACGTCCAACGATGCCGCGGACTCTCCTATCGGTCGTCGTGCGGCCTCCATTGACAACCTCGCTAGTTGAGTGGTAGAGTTTATTTCAGCATTTTCGGGACCCGATGATGGCTGATTGGTATTTTTTTTTTTTTTTCTGTTGCATTTTTTTTTTTTGGATTTTTTCTTTTCAGTTTTTTTGTGGTATTCCGCAGCGTGTCCTTCTTTCTTCTTCTTTTTCTTTTTCTTCTTTCTTTCCTGTCGTCTCGCATTTCGTCCTCCTGTCTGTCTGGTTTTGTTGTCTTCTTCTAGTGTTTCGTGTCTACGTTCTTGTATTTCTTGTCGTTCTGTTTGAGATTCAAAACCCAAAAATTTCTCCCCCCACATGACATTTTGACTTTGAGTGTTTTGATTGGTATGCTTTTTCCATTTTCCAGCTGTTCAGCATCAAAATTGGCTGTTTTCTGTTGCTTTGTGAATGTGTCCCCATTGGATGTGGGTCATGAGAGAGAGAGACAAAGACACAAAGACACAGACAGAAACGCGGAAAGCGAGCGAACGAGCGAAAGTCAAATCTCGAATCCTAAGCGAATCGAATCGAACAACACCTTTTTTTTTTTTCAACCATTCTTTTTTTTTTTTTTTTTTTTTTTTTTTTTCTTTCGCTCACCATGGTTTACCAACGGCAGCCGCTTCAACATGAGCAGCAGCCGCTGTTGGGGTCCTCCATGACGCACATGCCTCTGCCCGTGGTGTCTGTGAGCCATCCCATGTCGCACGCAGTTGGTCCGGTGTGGGGAGCAGCGTCCGATGGGCTGCTGGGCGCCGGCGATCAACAAGCAGCAGCAGCAGCGCCAAGCAACTTTACCATTTCAACTCCTCCTCCTGCTCCATTGCTGCTTCCAGTGAAGCGGAAAGTGGGCCGACCGCGCATCCACCCATTGAAGGAGCGTCCGACAGCATCATTACAGCCGCCGAGTCAGCACCAGCATCAGCATCAGCATCAGCAGAGCAGTAGCACGAGCAGCACGCAACGGAAGGAACTCGAACAACCAGCGATCAGCCGTGATCACCAACAGCAACCACCGTCCAACCCGCGCATCATCACCCAGCACCATCATCATCAACATCACCATCATCACCAACGACCATCATCATCATCCACTGCGACAAGCACGCGGCCGCAGCAGCAGAGGAAGCGCAGGCCGACGGTGATTGAGTTTCTAGAGTACATCCCCTCCAATCACCTCGCGAACGCAAACCGACCATCCTCATCTGCCATCGCAGCCGCAGCAGCAGCCGCAGCAGCAGCAGCATCAGCATCAGCATCACTATCAGCATCAGGATCAGCATCAGGGACGAGCGATGCGTTCCTGGGCTCGGTTTCAACGGCGCAACGGCGGCGGTGCGAGTCCTTCCCCGGTCTGCTTCCATCCACGCATCACTCACACGACCAACACCAACAACACCAACATCATCAACAACAACAACCACACCACCAGCAACATCTGCCGCTCCAGCCTGTTTTTGTGCCAATGCCAGCGCTGCCAAAGTTCCGCAAGATGGTCTCGAGCGACAATCCCGCAACCCCAACGTTCCAAGTCCAACCAACGCGGCACCCGCCACCACAAGCGCCGCCACCCAAGCAGCATCAGCAGCATCAGCAGCCTCCTCACGCAGTGGTGGCCGGACTGGATCAGCAGCAGCAGCAGCAGCGGTCGTCGTCGCTCGTTCTGCGGCTGTCAACCTCAACGGGCGCCGCAGCGAGCCGCAGACCTCCTCACACTCCTCCTGGCAACAGCGCCCAGAGCAGCGCCAGGCAGCCCAAGAAGACCGCCATGCATGGGAATGCACGCATCAACAACAACAGCACGGCAAACCCCCACCACCACCACCACCACCAACAGCAGATGCAGCCCCAGTCAACGGTTGCTAACGCGAGCAGCGGTACTGGTTTTGGATTTGGCGCATTCACAGTGACCAACCACAACTACCAACACCAATACGACCCGACAGCATCCAATACCCGTGCTAATAATGGCATGATGATGCCGATGCCGATGACGATGCCGACGATGATGACGATGAACGGAGCGACCGACGAGGCCAGCGAGGAGGACACTGAGAGCGAGTCCGACAGCGAGGACGACCAGGACGATGCCACCGAGGACCAAGCCATTGACGACGACGATGACCACGACGACGACGACGACCACGACAACCATGATGCAGAGGAAGCGGACGAGGAAGCAAATCAACCGCAAGACCTCAATCATCTGCCATTCATGCAGGCAGAATTGCTCTTTGCGAACAGCAACAACAACGACGATCGCAGTGGCGTCGATCTGAACACGTCAACTTGCTCCGTCGATCAAATCCTCAAGGACATTACCGTTGTTGACGAGGACGTGTGCACGCTCGATTCCATCATGGAAGACGTTGCCGAAGATTGTTGCAGCATGCCCCATCTCGCAAACGGCAAGACGCTATGGAATTCCTTTGCTGCTACTCAGCCTGCTGGCAACGCTCAACTACAACAGCTACAACAACAGCAACAACAACAACTACAGCCGACGCAGCACCACAAGCAGCACCAACGGGCTCGATCTTACTCAGTGTCCGCGTCTGCTTCGCCTTGGCTGCCTGCTGCTCCGCACCAACGGATGCCATTCATGGCATACGCCAATCCCGATACCCCGACCTCCATGCCACCGTCCGCATCACCCAGCCCTTCGCGCGCGACCGTTCGTCCGCCGTCCTCGGCGAGCACGCTGGTCCGGTCGCAATTTCCCTTGCAGCTGCCGCAAATCTCACAGCAGCATCAGCCACCGCAGACTGCTCAACCCACCCGCCGTCGTGCCGTCGGTGCCGTCGGGCAACCAGCCATGGGAAACATGTTTGACGTCGCGCCCCCCAACCCCGCCGACGGAGAGCCGGCCGATGGCTACCGCGCACTGGTGAGCTACTGTGCAATCAGTGCCATCAGCACCACCGCCTGCCAACAGCACCATCGACCAGCACCATCCACCACCACATCCAACTCAGCAGCGTCGGCCATCCTACCTCCCCGCGTGACGGCCAGCATTCAACGCAAGCGAAGAGCCTCGATGGTTGAATCGGATGCACGACCGATGCTCCGTCCACCAAAGCGAACGCGTTGCCAGAGCGTTGCGCCATGCATGGAGAATCTTGATCGATTTGTCGCTGACTTGCCACCGTTTTCGGCCGAAGGCTTGTTTGGGGATCTGAACGGCGACTTGTCCGACTTGTTCGGGAACAACGTCGCGCCGTACAATGTGTCATTGGCAACACCTCGCTCGCTGGCATCGTCGTTGCAGTCGTCCACAAGCTCCCCCACCGAAATAGTGTCGCCTCACGGCCAGATTAGCACGTCGATTGTCTCTGTGAGTGTTGCGAACGATATGGCCGACCTGACGACGACGGGCGACGACTTGCATTTGAACGATTCTTTTATTGCATCGTTGGACGTCAGCACCACCGCCGTCGACATTGGCGACCTGTCCAACTCGATTCCATGCGGCGCCACCGGCGTTTCCGCACCCAGCGCTGGCACCCCTGCCCCTGCCCCGTCGTCGTTCTGGGACAGCACTCAAGCCGACTGCGATATTTTCCCTGGCGCGTTGGGCATATCAGCCGATGCAAGCCACTCCGTGTTTGATTCTGGTCGAATGTGTGATCTTCCTTCCGAGTTGCTTTTCGCATGAAGAGGTGGCGGCTGGATTTCGTCAAAACAATTGGTTTTTGTTTTTGGCGCGTTTTGTTTCCCCGCTTCCGGTTCTCTTTGTCGCTATCCCTCCCTGTGGCTGTCTGTCTTTATTTCGATTTTTGGTATTCTTTGTGTTCTGTCATCTTCACTTGTTCTCATGCACCTTGGATGCCCAAAAAGCCAACCCAAACACCAAGATGATTCTGTAGCGCTTCACCTCGGCGTCTTCTTGTTATCGCCGTGACTGCTGATGAGCCCGCTGATGCGGTTGCCGAGTCAAGCACCCCTCAGTCCCTGAGTGGCCATCAGCTGCTGCCCGCTTGCCGTTTTTGCTTACTTTGGTGTTTTGTTGTTTTGTTTTTTGGTCTTTTTGTTTTTTTGTTTTTTGCTCAGCAATGAAGACTCGTTGAATTATTGAATTGGGCATTACAGTACAACAAGCACATTACATGTATTGGAGTGAACTGCACAACAATGGTAGAGCAAGAGGATGCGTGACAATGGCAGACACAAAACATCGAGCGAGGGGAAGGGGGACACACTGTGGTCGCGCTTGGCGCTATTTAGAAGGGATATCCGTTGATAGCCATAGGACCTTTCATTGTCTTGGAAACAAATCGCCGTATTGCATTCGCACCGATCTAAATCCCTAACATTGTCGTTCGATATACCCGACAGAAAGCGACGCAAATCGCACAAAACAGGAAGACTGACCGAATTGAACTTCAACCTCCCAACCCGCGCGCAGTTGGCGGATGACAGGATGGTCTGTTGGCGAAATTGTCACCAGCTGAATGTTCGAACCGACGACAGGCGCTTCTGCAGCCCATTTGTATCGAACAGCACCTAGCTCGTCTCGAACAATCAGATCGAAAGGGTCCGATTTGGCTTCGGACTGTCGTTCACGAAGGACTTGAATCGCTTTCACTCGGATTGAATTTCCATCGCTGCTTCGAGGCATTGTAAGTTTCAGAAACTCGAGCCGATTGTACCTAGACCACGCTTGGTGAATGTGCTGCACGCCTTGGAAGTACTCCGCTTCGTCCATAACGAGCTCGGCAATCTCGGCTGGTAGTGCAGGGAGAAGTGCGGGCTGATTCTCCAGCTCGTGTCGGCCTGTCAGCAGGTGAAACACGCTCTGCCAGTCTTCAGAGGTTGTCAATCGTGGAAGGAAGGAAAATGCAAGCGGGTTTATCTGTTCCTCGACGCTGTGCAATGAACAAGCAAAAGATAAAGGAACCATCAGGAGAGCCGTTTCCATTGAGTATTGGTTCAAGGAACATGGACGGAGCATCAATGGTTCTCATTGGCAAGAACAAGCAACCTACTCAAGCTCAGTCAGAATGCCGTTGACTTTGCGTGCCTTTTCAAGCGCTCGAATGCCAACTTTGCCAATGCAATTTCTCCCTAGACTGCCGTTCAAAGTGTGAGCAGGTTGACAACGTAGCAAGGTCTGAATGATGCTGGCTCAATGTCCCAGACGAGCAAGGCACCCAAGCACTTACGTCAGTTCAGTCAGCGTCTTGTTCACTCTGAGTGCTGCTGCAATCGCTTGTGCTCCAGCATCGCCAATCCGATTCAGTTTCAGACTGCCCATCCCCTCCATCAGTGAGCATTCGGAATTTTTATGAATCCCTCACATGCATCAGTAAACGTGAGATGACTTACTGGAGCCAAATCAGGTTCGTGTTCACTTTGAGAGCCTCAGCGATCGCCTGCGCTCCAGCATCGCCAATTTGATTGTGGTACAGACTGTCCGCACACCCTCCATCAGTGAGCACGCTGAATACCTTCTGCTAAAGTCACCCACCCACATTCATCAGTACAAGTGAGATGCCTTACTAGAGATATTTCAGCGTCGTGTTCACTTTGAGTGTCGCAGCAATCGCCCGCGCTCCAGCATCGCCAACCTGATTCGAGCTCAAGCTGTTCATCGCCTGCATCAGTGAGAACTTTGGATTTCCGCTGCTGAAATCACCCACTCATATACATCGGCAAAAGTGAGATGACTTACGTGAGCCACCTCAGGTTCGTGTTCACTTTGAGTGTCTCAGCAATCGACCGCGCTCCAGCATCGCCAATCTGATTCTGGCTCAGACTGCCCGCCCCTCTCCATCAGTGAGCACTCTCACTGTCATCTACTGCAATCACCACTCACATGCATCAGTTCAAACGAGACTCACGCAACCTCGACCACCGTCTTGTTCACTTTGAGTGTCTCGGCAATCGCGCGCGCTCCAACGGCGCCAATCTGATTCGCACGCATGCTGTCCACATCTCCTCCATCAATGAGCCGCTCTTGCTGTCTCTACTTGATCACCCACTCACATACATCAGGCAACGTGAGATGACTTACTCGATGGACACCAGCGTCCTGCTCACTTTGAGTGCCTCAGCAACCGCTTGTGCTCCAACATCGCCAATCTGATCCCGATCCAAACTGTTTCCTCCATTTCGTCAGCACACACACACACACACACACACACACACACAAACACACACACACACACACACACACACACACACACACACACACACACACACACACACACACACACACACACACACACACACACACACACACACACACACACACACACACACACACACACACACACACACACACACACACACACACACACACACACACACACACACACACACACACACACACACACACACACACACACACATACACACACACACACACGCACGCTGGCAGCATTGTGTTACAATCAACTTGGGCTTCTCTTACTCGATCCTTTGCTCATTCTTGACTTTGTCATACAGCTCGCGCTGGCTCTCAGACATACTCTGGTAAGTCAGCATTTACAAAAACCAAACCAAGACTGACTCGATGCTCCATTTTCGCTACTGCTCATCATCAAATCACCAATGGGCTCTGGAAAAACCACCTGTCTCGTTGAAACACTCAGACCGCTTTGAAGAGCGGCACAATGCAGCATCATCAGGAACGTCTTGGAAGAACAATGATACAAATCGAACGATGGTTTATTCAACTCATTATGGGTTGACAATGGATTGTCAAAGCTGAGAAAGATGACAGCGCAGTTTTTAGTTTTTTTTTTCTTTTCCCTGGTTTTATCCCGCAATGTCGGCGGCCCCAGCTGCGGCTCCAGCTGCGGCCCCGGATCAGCAGCAGCCAACTTTTCGGGGTGTGTTCGGTTTCATCGGCGGCGCGGTCGCCAACGCGGTCTCCACCACATTCATCGTTTTGGTTGTGGCGGCTTTTGTTGCTCAGCACGTGCTGGACGCCAAGAAGACAATTATGGACGCCAAGACCCACTCGCCCGAAGTCGTGCTAGCTCGCATGCTCGCACGCTTCGAGGCCGGCTCCGTCATCCCACGTTTCGAGAAATACCACGTCAGTCGTCCAGATGCTGTTGCTATGCTTCAAGGGGTGCTGCGCCCCTCGCTGTTGAAGGACTACACGGTCGTCATTGGCGAAGTAGGCTGCGGCAAGACCACCGCCGTCCACGACGCCATCCGAGCCAACAGCACTGGTATTGTCTACCACATCGTCAAAAGCGAGGTGTTAGTCTCGATGCCGGGTCTACTGGCACGGTCTCTCGCGTTTGAGCCCAACCAGTTCACCTTCACAGAAGGCTATTTGAAAGACCGTGGTGTTGAACTGGATGAAGTAACATCGGCAGCAGAACCCTTCAAGAGCTGGGTGTTGCTCAGTCTCATTCTGAGGGACGTTGCGCAACAGTTCAAGACCAAGCACGGTCACCCTGCCACGCTCGTCATCGACGCCGTGGACGAGATCGCTCAGCAGGGTCCAGCACTGTTGCATGCGATTCAAGATTTTGCCAAGGCGGCTGCTGACGAGCAGCTGCTCAATGTTGTTCTCGTCACCTGCGATGGTTCGAATCTGCCTGAGCTCAAGGCATCGTCAGCAATGACTCGTGCTCGCATTGCCGAAGTGAGTGATATCACCGACGAACAAGCTGTCGATTTTCTGCTGCATCGTGGCGTCAACGAGGATGCGGCAAAACGCGCGGTTGCTGAGATTGCCGGCGGGCGTTTTGTTCTGCTCAATCGGCTCACGAAACAGCTCGGCAGAGGACAACAAGTGAATCAGATCTTTGAAGAGTTTCGCGAGGATACGGCAGACTCCCTCCAGCGCCTGATTGACGATTTGGCACTGTACAACGCAACATCTGCCGTTCACAAGTCACTCTGCGATCTCACTCACGGCGCTCTGCACATTGACATCGTGCACCGCGCTCTGGGGAAAGACCTCACCAAAAAGCTCCTCGCCACCCACATCAACATTCTCGCGTACCATCCCAACGACACCTACACCCTTCACTCGCGCCACGTTCAGCGCTCCGTGGCTGCCCTGTTGAACTGCACGAGACCGTAGGGCCGTCCCTTGTTTCTGGCTTCTTGAGCCATCTTCAAGCGTTCACCCTCTGCCAACGCTCGCTTTCGTGTGTTGCAATGCGTTCTCAGCATCTGTATTGCATCTTGAAGACGTCGCTCTGAGAATAAAAAGCCAATTGTAAAGTTTATCGGCATTCTCGATGCTCGTTGAGCGGACGACTTGCTGTGCATGGTTGTGTGAGTGCATGAAGCCTGTGTCACCTTCTTGCTTTGATACCAAACGGCCACCCGACAACAACACACCGGACAACTTCTCACTCGTCCAAACTTCGTCAACTCTCCGATCGCCTCTCGGGGTATTTGGTTTGTCAATCATCCTGTGTGCACCTTCGTCTTTCTTTCCCCCCCCCCCTCTTTTTGGGTATTTATTGTCAAAACTCAGTCTCTCTTTTTTTTGTTTTCAACAACAACAATGAGCAACAACTCAGACTCGCCCGTTGTTCTGATCACTGGCGCCAATTCATATCGCGCTCACACGCTGCTCTTTGTCTTGTTGTGCTCGCTTGTTGGCTGTTGAACAATTGCCTGCTTGCCTTGACTTGGCTTGGCGTGACTTGCTTGATTCTCTCAGCTTGTCTGAGATTTGCATTGGATTTTTCAACTATTCTTCCTTGACACGTTATGTGATTGTTTGGGTGTGAATTTCGGTCGTTTGCTTCTCTTGTTTGTTTGTGCACAGGCGTCGGTCTCGCGCTCGCCAAGCGTCTCGTTGCTGACTTTGACGGCCACATTACGCTCGTCCTGGGCTGCCGCAACCCTGCCAGGGCGACCCAAGCGAGGGATGCCGTGCTGCTCGCCAGCGACGCCACTCCCGCTTCACCATCCTCGTCCTCGTCCTCGTCCTCGTCGTCTTTGCGCGGCCGCCCCGTCGTCGAGCTCCTCCAGATCGACGTCGCAAGCCCGCAGTCTATTCTCCAAGCAAGCCGCGAGTTCCAAGCAAGGTGAGCGACAAGCCGCTCGTTTTTTTTTTTTTTTTTTTTTTGGCTGAAGCAACACGCGAGATTCACGCGTTCCGCCATCACGCCACAAAATTGCTTGAATTACCGGTCGACCGATCGACAACCTGACCGACCGACCGACCGACCGACCGACCGACAAACTGATCGACCGACAACCGGCGACCTGCGAATCGAGTTGCGGGATTGCATCGTCAGTTGTGCGGTTTGGTGGAGCTCTTCGGGTCAACCGAAATCGGACACAAAACGCACCTGGATCGTCGTGCTCACAGTCACCGGACAACATGCACTCGAAACTCACTCACTCGATTTCGTCCCCTCTTTCTTTTCGTTGGAGGCAGATTCAAGCGCCTCGACTTGCTCTACCTGAACGCTGGCGTCATGCCCGTGAACGGCATCAATTGGGGCAACTTTATCGCGTCGCCAACTGTGCTGGCGCGTCGATTCGTCACTGGCGAAGGCTTCTTGAAGCAGAGCAACTTTGACACAGCGGATGGTCTTGCGGGTGTGTTTGCATCCAACGTCCTTGGCCACTTTATGCTTGCGCAAGAGCTGCTGCCAGTCCTGTCCAAGCAACCCAGCGCAAAGATTGTATGGACGTCCAGCGACGCTGCCAACCCGCGCTCCCTCGTGCTTTCCGACATTCAGCATCGCAAGGGGTAAACTTCTAGGTTTTTTGTTTGGTTGTTGTTGCTGCCTCGTTTCCAAATCTGATTCTCATTTCTGTTGGCTGTTATTTTTGTTTGGCATCTCATGGCAGTGTCGACCCGTATGGAGCTTCTAAAGCCGCAATCGATCTCGCCAGTCTGGGCATCAATCGCAAGCTTGCTCGTCAAAGCGCTGGCGTCAACGCTGGCGTCACTTCTTTTGTGACGTGCCCCGGCCTGGTTACGACCCAGATGACTGAGAGTTTCTTGCATCCGATCGTCTGGACCCTTCTCATCCCAATCTTGTTTTTGGTACGGGACGGCGTTTCGTTGTTGGGCGCCCCCACTTGTATTAGAGTCATTCGCCCCCCCCCCTTTTGAACCTTCTGGCTCACTCCGTGCTGTTGTTGTTGTTGTTGTTGCTGCTGCTGTCGTTGATGGACAGCTGCGCTCAATCCTGCACAACCTGACAACTGTGCCATTCAACGGAGCTGAGGCCCTGGTGTGGCTGTCCCACCAGAGCTCTGCGTCGCTGCCCCCGCAGACCGAGCAGCCCATCAAGTTCAAGAGCCGTTTCACCATCACAGGACGTCGCTATGTCGAGTTTGAAAAGCTAAAGCTGGATGGTTCTCAGGCAGATCAAATGTTTGACCAGCTGCAGACTTTGGCGACAACTTTCAAACAAGGCCGCCCCGCCTCTGCGAACAAGGCTTGAGATTTTGAGATGTTGCTTTGGCGTGCATATGATTAAACAAAGGTTGCTGCATTTCTAGAATCAGATCCGTGAACTTGAGAAGGAATGTATTGAAGATTGCATGCACAGAAAGAGTCCAAAACCAACACAAGAAGAACAAAAGAAGGCAGCCAGATACACACCTAGCAAAGACGACGAACAATCTAAATCGGGACGATTAACATGACGAAGGGAAGGCTTTCAAACAAAAGAAGAATGTAAAAAAACGCGCGAGTCAAGTAACGAAAACGCATTGACAAACTGAAAACCTTTGCAGACAAGCAGCGGGTGTGCTTGAAATGGCGGTCGCTCGAGCAAAAGTGTTTTTGGGGGTTTGATTTTACGAGGAGGCAGAAGAGGAGGAGGAGGAGAGCAGAAATAACAGACGTTGCCTTATGCAAGACGCAACAGGCCTTGTGCAGCGTCAAAGTGTTGCCCTGGTGCTTGCTGCAGTTGCTGCTGCTGTTGTTGTTGTTGCTGCTGTTGTGGCTGTTGTTGCTGTGATGATGGTTGTTGAGGTGGCAGCATTGGCTGAGGTGCGCGGTTTTGCATGTACATGGCCGAGTCTTGCATGACGTAGCCGAACGACTGGGCAGCCTGGGGCTGTTGGGAGAGGGTTTGCATGTAGGGCATTGGCTGCATCATCATCGGCTGCGACGGAGGGGCAGAGTACTGCATGCCTGGCATGGGCATCTGCATCATCGGCATGTATGCGTGATGCGGCTGGGCGTACATGGGCTGCATCATCTGCTGCGGAGCTTGCGGACCAGAAGGCTGCTGCATCATCAGCTGCTGAGGTGGTTGCTGCTGCTGTTGTTGCTGTTGTGGCTGCTGTTGTTGTTGTTGCTGGGGCTGAGCCTGGAACGGCATCATGGGGGACAGGTGTTGCGAAATGGGCATGCCCATCGCAGGCATGTGCTGGAGCAACTGCATCGGAGGTTGTTGTTGCTGCTGCTGCTGATGTTGTAGTTGTTGTTGTTGTTGCTGCTGCTGCTGCTGCTGCTGTTGTTGTTGTGGCTGCTGTTGAGGGCGTTGGGGCAACTGCGGCTGTGGTTGAGGTGTGAGTTGCTGCTGCTGCTGCTGCTGCGGCTGCGGCTGCTGTGCGTCGCCCTTGGGTTGGATTCGCGCAGGCGGCGGGGACACGACAATCTTCATGACTTGGACGGGCGACTCAGACCCTTGCGACTCGAGTTTGGCGGTCGTGGCAGCCGAAATCTCGGCCACCATGGTCGCAGGCTCGGGAGTGCCGCCCAGCTTGACGACTTGCTCGCGGAGAATGGCATTGTCCTTGACGAGGGCTTCCATGTACATGAGCACCTTGTCGAGCACGACGGCCTTGTGCAGCATGGCCGAGCCACCGCCAGCGCCGCCAGGAATCAAGTCCCGCAACGCTTGCAGACGCTCGTTGATCTTGGTCCGACGGCGGCGCTCAATGGCACGGTGGCTGACCTTCCGGACGATGGAAGCAGCCTCGCGTTGTTGCGCGCGGGTCAGAGGAGTGCCATTCGGCGCCATGTAATGCGTCATACTCGCAGGCCTGGGGATGGATCCTGTCGAGTCGCTCGATCCATCGCGCAGGAGCGGGTGTGGCAAGGCAGGGTGGGCCAGCTGCATTTGCTGCATTTGCTGCATTTGCTGCTGTGGTTGCTGCTGCTGTGGTTGTTGTGCTTGTGCTTGCTGTGCTTGTTGCTGCTTGCGCTTCTGGTTGGATTTGGGCTCGTCCGAGTCCTCTTCCGAGTCATCCAACGTGTCGTCCTCGTCAAAGTCCTCGTCTTCCGACTCTGCGTCTTCGTCCTGCGTTTTGATCAACGAGTTGAGTCAGCCAGGCAGGCAAAAACAAAAGTCAGCAACAAGAACAACAAACAAATACCATCCAACAACATCAACTGAAGGAATGTCGGGTTGAAGGTGCAATTGCAAAGCGACGTCTCATCAACACAGCCAAACAGGTCTAGATGCAACAAGCAAGACGACATGTTCATGATGATCGACCCGAACTTCATCATCGATGAGTCATTTCACTCGGCTGACAGTATCCCGTTTTGTGATTTTTTTTGTTTGTTTGTTTGGTTTGTTGGATTTTTTTTTTTTTTTTGTTTTTGTTTTTATGGGTTGTTTTTGGGTTGTTTTTCCAGTGTCGAATCGCTCATCACAAAAACAAACAAATGTTCGCTGGATGCAATGTGTGAATGTGCGGTGAGACACCATTATCAAGTTGATTTGTGGTTGTGTGTTTTTTTTTTTTTTTTTTTTGTTGCAGATGCGTGACTGCTGGTTTTTAGGAAAAATCGCATTGCAATGCGAAAAGCGAATGCCCCAAAATGTCAGTGCTGCAACCCCTCCCCCCACGCAATGCAGTTTGCCCTGCCCTCCCTCCCCCTTTCCAACAAAAACCCAACACCAGGGGCAGAGCAAGCAGAGCGGACGACAGACAAAAAACAGGGTCAAAACACAAAAGAGAAAAGAAAAGAACACACAAACCCTCAACCCGCAAAAAAACTCCTAAAAACCCTAAAAACCCTTCCTTCCGATCGATCGCTTTTTTTTTTTTTTTTTTTTTTTTTTTTTGGTTTCTGCCCAACAACAAGAAAATACATTTGGGCCTGGCCAGCGCTGCTCTTTTTTTTTTTTTTTTCGCTCGCCTTCGCTCTCTGTGCTACCATCTCACTGACAACGCATACACGCTCGCTCAATGCACGCATGTTGTACGTTTGACGTGTTGCGAAGGAGCGTCATCGCCATGCCTCCGTCATTTGTTGGAAGCTTCCGCAAAACCAAAAAAAAAAAAAAAAAAAAAACCCAAAAAATACCAACGAACGACCAGGCCTACTTTGCGGTGACCTGGTCCGTTTTCAAAGGGGCCATTTCCCAAGTCATTGAGTCAAACCAAGCAGGGTGGTCTCAACCCTCCCTCTTTCTCTCTTTCTGTAGTCATTCAGAAGCTCCGTTGCGTTGCTGTGACGGTTTTTTTTTTTTTCGCATTAGCAAACTTCTCCTTTTTTTTTTTTTTTTTTTTTTGAATGTGCATTTGCTGGCTCGTTTCTCGCTTCTCGCTGCTGTCGACAGCCTTGGGGGAAAAGCCACATTGCATCAGCACCACTCGGTCAAACAGAGGGGAAGGGGGCGGGGGCGCCCAGACACGGAGAGAGAGCGGGAGAGAAAGGGGAACAAAAAAATCAGGGCGAGGTCGTCGTGAAGGGGCAGCTTGTGGATCACACCCAGCCCCTTTTCCATTTTCCAGTTTTTTTTGGACGTCCCACTCGACGTCACCAGACGCTGCAGCTCGTAGCACCATGCACCACTGGATGACAAAACACCACGTCGACAGCACAGCGCCGAGAGTCATGGTGTGAGCGCGCTGGGAAGTGCGATGAACGACTTCGACCCTCGTCGCGTGATGGGGGTTTGAAAATGTCGCTCTTTTTTTTTTTTTTTTTTTTTTTAGATGTCGCAGGCAGTGCGAAAAGAAGCGAAAAACAAAAAACCAAAACGGACACAAACAACACTCGCGCCATGCGAGAAGGTGCAGAAGGAGATGGAAAAGAGTTTTGCAGAGTTGGAGGTCGTAAGCAAGCGGGGTTGGGGAGAGAGAGAGAGAGAGAGGACGAAAGAAAAAAAAAAAAAGAAAAAAAAAAAGGAACATGACCCAAGTTACAATGGATTGGACGATTAAAAAAAATAATAATAAAAATAATAAAAAAAAGAAAAAAAACGAAAAAAGAGAACCCAAAGCTGAACGGGGGGCTCACGTACCAGTCGCTGGCGCTTGCTGGTGGCGGTGCGGGACTCAGGAGCATGGTTGGCCGAGCGGGAGCCAGAGGGGCGGCCGCGCTGGGGGGACGAGCCGGTGGTGGTGGACGTCGTCACGCCTGCCTTGTCGGCTGCCGCTGTCACGGTGGTCGCAGTCAGGCTAGCAAAGGTGAACGGTATGCCTGCACGCATCTGCGCTTCCAAGGGGAGTTCCATGGCGAATTTTGTGTTGAGCTTGGAAGAAAAACAAAAAGGCTTGTTTTGTTCTGATGATGATAATCGTTGCGAGCAACAGAGCTGCCGACAATCAGGTGAACAAGGGGAAGGAAGAGAAGGGGAAAATAGTGAGGTGTCGCCTGCTCGAAAAAAAGAAAAAAGAAAAAAAAGGGGGGTCAAAGGACGAATGACGCGCCAAATTAGGATTCTGCGACTCAAAATGAGAGTAAATACGAGTCATGCGCAAAATGCATCTCATCGCAAGCAGCAAACATGGGGGTAGGAGAAAGGAGGTCGAGCGAGGTTGGCAGTGGATCATGTGAAGCGCGGACAAAATGAAGCGGTGAAAGACGCAAAAAAAAAGAAAAAAAAAAAGGAAAAAAAAAAAAACAGGACACGTTGATGCATTCACAGTAATAACAATCATTGGCGTTTTCGATCGATGCGAGTGATGCGTGAGTGAGTGAGTGAGTTTTTTTGTGTGTTTTTTTGAAAATAGCAGCGACGGCAGCTGCTTGGGTTTTATTTAGCGGCTGACTTGAGTTTGCATTTGGGGAAGGTCTCTGCAACGGTTTGGGGAAGGGGCGACGGCCTTTTCGCACCCCTTTTCGATGGCTTTGCCTTCATTTTGAAGCCATGTACATGAGGCATGCATGCAGTTGGCTGCGGTCTGGCGAACAACCCTCCCAAAAAAAAAAAAAAGCGCGAAAAAATAAACAATAAATAATAATAAATCACAAAATGATGAGGCCATCGAGCGCAACAAAACTCAAAATAACAACACGCGACATGGTGCAACTCTGGTCATGCGCCGATCAGAGACTCGAGTCGCAAGTGCTGCGGGGGAGTTTTGAGCATTGGTGACGGGTTCGTTTGCTGTGTTTGATGTTGCAGAGAGCGATTAAAGCGATAATGAAACGGACCACAATGAGAAAAAAAGCAAAAAGGAAAAAGTGCAAAAAAAAAAAAAAAAAAAAAAGCCGATGTGCGGCTGCTGCCTGAACCTAGATCTAGAATCACTACTGAAGCGTACGAAACGTATGCGGAAGTGTCGTTTGCTATGAATATAGTGAAGAATGAGGGGGAAGACCGATTAGGGATGGAGTGCAGTTCGTAACAGTGCCCTTGTGTGTGTTTGTGGCTGCGGTTCCGGATTGGATTAGGAAAAGCCACAAAAACACACCACGCCCCGCACTCTGCCCCGAGCCGTGGCTTTTTTTTCTGAGGGCGAGCAAATGTCACCCACATGTCAGGCCTTCAATTATCAGCGGACCATGCAAGCGGGGGTTTGGTGGTTTTTGCCAACTCGGGAAAGTTGGCCTTTTAATCAGGAGAGCCAAAAAAACCGGAAAAACACAAAAAACACAAAAAGTCGAAGGACAAACATGTGGGCCGGTTTCGCTCACGACGTGCTGCGGTTGGAGGTGGTCGTCGTCGCTCGTGCATAATTCGAGCCGCGATCGATGCCTCCAGCCGCAGCTCCGCGCCGTTTGGCAGCCTGCTGGGACGATGGCGTCGACGGAAATCTTGCAGTGTACTTTGCCACGTCAAACTTGCGCTGGCATCCTTTCAGGTTCATGAATCGAATCTTGCCAAAGATGGGCTATGGAAGTGTGAAAGGATTGTAGCGAAGAAGGGAAGTGCAACCACGAAAAAAAAACCCACAAAAGAGAGTCGTGATCAGTTCTCCAAACAGAAACAACGCGCAGTCTCGTGCATCAACCAACAAACAACCAGACGAAATCGATCGCACACGTACACGCTCTCCCCAGCCCTGGTCGTGGATGCCGCAGATGGACCACATGCAACCTGTAGAGATCAAGACAGCAAATGCAAAACATCGCACAAAAAACCCGCAAAGCGAAAAGTGAGGGTTTTTTTTTCCCCGCCCACTCTTCGAAACATTGAAAACATTGGCTGTGCGCCTCGTACCGACATAGCCGTTGGGATCCCGGCCATCCAGATTGTACTTGTCGTTTAGATGAATGGCAATGCGGAGGGCCTCGCTCGGACTCGCAGTCCACTCGAGGATTTTCTTGGCCCAGTACATGCGCATGAAACCGTGCATTTTGCCCTCGCGCACCATCTCGAGCTGCGCCGCATTCCAGAGCAAGTCGTGCGTCGTGGCCGACTCGAGCTCCTCTTCAGTGTAGACAAACTCACGGGCATCTCCAGCGTGTGCTTGCAGCGTTTCTTGCGCCCAAGCCGAAGCGCCTGCGATCGAGTCGTAGTTGGGGTTGTAAAAGCAAAAGTTGTCCGACAGCTCGCGACGGACGAGCGCTTCCTCGACAAACACATCAACCGACTCACGACATCGAGCATGGGCTGCATACGCAACGAGAATGGCGCGCTGCGGCGCAATCTGACCAAAGTGAAAGTAGGGCGACAGGTTGGACAGCACGCGCTCGTTTGGGTCGTTGCGGACTGCGCCAAAGTACCGCATTCGCTGCTCCACAAACGTGCGCAGCGTAGTCATGCCAGCCCGCGTGCCAGGGACAATGTCGGGCACAGCGGTAATGGTCCGGTTCACTTGGAGCGACGCACGCGCCGCGTCCCAATCAACCGGCGCAGACAGGCCCGATTGGAAGTGGGCGTTGCTGGAAGCAGCGGAACTGGCGCGAGCAGACTGTGGCGATGACGGTGATTGGCGAGCCGAACAGGGGTGAGCTGCAACCTCTGGAAACTCGGTGAGAAACTCACTCAACAGTTTGTGGAGCTTGGGGCGGATTGTCCTTGCTGCGTACTCGAGCTTGGGCGAAGCGTGCCAGCAAGGGACGACGTTGTGAGCATCGAGCTGGATGAGCGGAATTCCAGTATGTGACTGGGTGGCACCGGTGGTCGCGATTGTCGTTTGGGCCAAGCTATTCGCCAGCTCGGTGGTCCAGCGTTGGATGACTCGCACGGGCGAGAAATCCGTCACCACAGCGCCAAGTCGCTTTGATTCGACAAAGCCTGGCAGGTGCTCTGCCGCGGTTCCCGTAAAGAGGTGAAAGGAAATGTTCAAGCCACGCAGCGCCTGTTTGAAAGAAAGGCACAGAATACAATAAACAAGACCGGCTTTTCACCACCACATGTAAATCCCACACCCCCTCGGTGCTCGCTTACAGTTTCAACCTCACGCAATCCTTCCATCATAAAATCGTATTGTCGAATTGTAGCATCCAGAAAGTGTGGGACAAGACAGAATCCGACAAACAATGGAACTCGGTGCTGAATGGCGAGTTGCTGCGCGTAGATCAGCGCCCAGTTGTCTGCACACCAACAGACACGTGAAATAAGCTGCTGACACACACAACCTGCAGCCATGCATACTGACCTTGCACGCGCTGATCGCGACTCATCCAGTACAACACTCCATCGTGTCCGCTCGGAATCGGCATGGGAGGTGCTGAAGCGTCCGCTCCAGTTGGCAAAATTCGTCGGATGCGCCGTTCGTCCACCATCTTGGGTTTGGTCACGTATGGAGGTGCGTGCAGCAACGAGCCCAGCTGGAGCAACGGGTTGGACGATGGAGGCGAGGGATTTTGATCCGTGTCACCGTCCGCGTCGGACTCTTGTCTCGCGTGCTTGGGTTGGTCTGGATGATTGCAATAGACCATGTTCAACCAAAAAATGCACCCATCAAAGTGAGAAGCAAGCAAAATTTGTGGCAGACTGTGTGAGTAGTATCGCATCGCATTGCTTAAAGCCCAAGCAAGTGCACTACTCGGGCGCCTTCACCCGCCAGGGAGCCCAAACGACAAAAGCAACACCAACATAGTCGAAAAATAACAAACAGTGGAGCGCGCTTCGAAGGGAATGGCTACAGGAGCAAGAGAACGCTGGCTTACGGGAGGGTGAAGCATCGACGCTTGCCCTGCGCTTTGCCCTGGTGCCGACGGTCGCGCTTGCCTCGCTCGATGCTGGCGTCGCTGCAGCAGATGCTGCCTTGACCGCCGCTGCTTCCCCGACGGCAGTTGCGGCCGCGCGCACTGGAATCGACCAACGTGGCATGACGACAAACTCTTGAAAAAAGCCCGAACGAAAAAAATCGAAAAAAACAAAGTCGCACGAGTTCTTTTTGGGACGTTTGGCGTTTTGAGTTCTGAACAAGGAGAGTGGGGTGAACAAGAAAAGGTTGCTTATTGTGGTACAAACGAACAATTACTCACACATACACACACTCACAATCAGAGACGCTCACCCCACGAACAACCAAACAAACGAGTGGAACACACAAAAGAACAAACACTCAATAATCGATAAATGCATGGGCTTCAACCACTACACACTTGAAGCTCGAAGGACCGCCAGTCAAGGGCTCATTGTCGAAGGTTGTGCATCGCCCCGTGGTTCCGCTATTGAGCTCCGAGTCGAGGAAGATGGCATTGTCCGTGCCGCCGCCGCCAATGACCAGGTTTTCGTTGGTGGCGTGCAAAAAGTAGTCGTCGACCTTCATGTTGAGAGGAGCGCTGATGCCGACCCACGGGAACTTGCGAGCAGCCGGTCGCAGGGTGAAGACGAACGACTCGCCGCTTCCAAAGAAGGCGCGCGTGTTGTGGCGATCCGTCCAGGGATGCGAGGCGAACGCACCAAAGATGGCGCCCTCGGCCGTCTTGAAGACGAGAAGCGTCGGCGCTGCATCCTGACACTTGAGATAGAGGGTCTTGAGGCTGTAGCCGTCGGTCGCGGTCGTGTACAAACGCTCAAGGTTGGAAATACGGAAGCGCAACGGAATCCACGCCCAGAGCACCTGCATGTCATCGTCTGTCAGCAGCTCGTCAGAGACCAGTGCAGGCGGAGTCGAAAGCCCTCCTGGAAGTGGGCTCGGGGCCTGGATGGTCGGGCGTGGCTTGTGAGAGAACTCGCGCGCAAGGACTGCCTCTTCGCTCTCGCTGGTGGTCGATGCGCTGCGCGTGGCGCGTGCATGCACCACCTCAGTCGTGGCTGCCTGTTGCTGCTCCTTCTTTTGTTGTTGCTGCTGTTGTTGTTGCTGCTGCTGCTGTTGCTTTTGCACCTTGCCTTTGCTTTGCCTGTCCAGGAACTGTGCCGCTGCAGCTTCGACGTGCCTTCTCGACATGGACAAGCGAAAGCTCATGCGGACCAGCTGGTCGACACGCTGCAAATGTTTGACCGTGTCCGTGACTGTCTTGGCCAGGCCGGCCATGGTGGCAGACTCGTAGGCGCGCGATTCAGACGCGGCCAGAATGGCAATCGACACGCGATAGAGGATTTTCGGCCCTTCGTTGAGGTAGCAGTCAATGATGGCCGAAATCGCAGGGAAGGGCAAGAGCTCGGTAAACCAGAGAATCCACTTGTCGACCAGCATTTCAAAGCGCTCATTCTCAGAGTCAATGTGCCCAATGTAACGCGACAGATCGGGCAGGTACTTTTCGACGAGTTGGCCAATCGTGCCTCCGACCGTCTCGACTTGCTTGTGCGAGCTGAACAGGTTTTCAAACTTTTTCGAGTTCAGCAGCATCATCACACATGCGTATGTCTGCGCTTCGGAGGTAAAGTGCATAAACACGGCCACGAAAAGAGGCAGCATGGGGCAGTGCACGAGGTCGGGACGCGCATCGCCAATCACGCACAGAATGCGGCGCGCAATCAGCCTGCCCGACTGGTTGAGCCAAAACCGATCGATGGTCGCGGCGCTGGCCCCAAACAGCGGTGCGTTTTGGAGCAATGCCATGTGAAACTGCAGACGCACCGAGGCCGACTCGTTCAAGGGCACAGAGTACACGTGCTGCTGCGTGCCGTGGTGCAAGTTGTGATGGCCAGCGCCCGTCTTGGTACTTGTTGGGACGGGCTTTGAGGGTTCGCCAAACAGTCGCCAGGCGGTATTCAGGTACGCCTGCTCCACCGCCGCCAAGTCGGCGAGTGAAATGTTGAGCAACCTCGGCCAGACCCAGTGACGGTGCTCGTACGGGACGCCATGGCGGAGGATTTGCTTGGTCTTTTCCGGAGCCAGGCCAAACAGTCCGTTGTCTGCTGGCCAGACCGAGCGAGCGACCTGTGGAGGAATCAAGCGTGAAAATGACAAGTTTTGCAGGTCAGTCAAGTGCATGGTTTCATGATACCTGAAATTCCAACCATCACGATAAACAAGCAAACAACAACAGCAACAACAAGAACAAAAAAGACCAACCTGCTCAGCGCGGAGTGCGCACGCGCCCTTCAGGTGATCCGAAAATGCCTCTCGGTCAACCCAGGGCGAGCAAATGTCGTCAGGCAAGCGAATCTTGTCGGGCGCACCTTCCGAGAAGGACGGCAGCGACATGAGATTACCACTGCTTCGGTTTGGACGAATGGCCGCAGACCGCGACATTGCCTCTGAGCGTTTCTGCTCGCGCTGCTTGGCTGTAATCCAAAACGACCGAAGCGTGTCGCGCGCGCTCTTTGTGGAGCCGTCCTGCGCGGCGCCCATTGCCGCCAGTGCCTCGACTTCAAGAGGCGCCTGTGCTGGGTGGTGTCGGTGGAGCGGCCGTGGTTGTTGTTGCTGTTGTTGCTGATCCTGATCCTGAGCCTGATTCTGGGTGACCTCGTCCACCCGAGCCTCACGAATCAACCGCAACGACGGCTTCTGCGTCTGCGTCTGCGCTGCTGCGCCCACCGTGTTCAGTCCCGAGCCAACACTGCTGCTGCTGCTGGCTGTTGCAGACACTGGGCTGAGTGCGACGGGCGGGGCGGTGCGCGTCTCCGACCTGCTGCGCTGGCGCATCATTCCAAACTGCAGCCCAGCGCTGCTCGACCCTGCCGAGAGTGACGTCGGCAGCTCGCCGCTCGACGCCCGCGGCTTGCTCGCCATCGGGCTGCTGCTGGTGGTAGCTGTGGACGGGTCGCTGGTCCTGCCGCTGCTCGACTGCGCAGATGCGGTGGTTGGCGCTGCGGTTTCAACGACAATGACTGTCGGCGGCGACTGTGACGAGTGAGGCTGCTGCTGCTGCTGCTGCTGCTTGGTGGCTGGCAGACCTTTCGACGCCTGCTGCTGCTGCTGCTGCTGCTGCTGCTGCTGCTTGGCTGGGTCTGACGAGGCGCTCGAGCTGCTTGACTGACTGCTGTTGTTGTTGAGCAAACTGCCCAGCGACGAGTCGATAAAGCCAAACGCTTGCGCAAACCGAGACATTGCGCTCTGTGCCAGCGAAGGCGCAGCAGCCGCTGGAGGGGCGGCCGTGGGTGCTGAGGATGCTGGTACGTCCGTCGCGGGCGCCTGTGGACCCGAGCCAGAGCCAGAGCCAGAGCCAGTGCTAGACAGCGGCTGTTGGTGAGACATTGCGATGAAAACTGCCAAGAAACAGATCAAACAAAAAAAGATAAAAAAAAGTGGATTGAATTCAACGTTGAGAGTGCGAATCAACAACAGTCCTCACACGCTGGGCGGAATCATGGTCCTGCAAATCAAGATGGAGTGGAATGATCTAGAAGAAGCGGAAGGGGGCGGGGGATGTGCTGTAACTGCTCACAAAGACAAAAACACGAAAACACAAATCTCAACAGCAATCATCGCGCTTTCCAGAACATCAGACCCATGGCCGCAGTCAGCGTAAACCAGGTGAGTGCGTATTGCATGTGCTCGTTGCGGACAGTCACGCGGGTTTGTCCAGGAATCGGAAGCGTGCCAAATCGCCAGTTGTCTGGACAAAAACGATGGTGTTGGGTCAATTCGACGTGTTGCCATTGTGCATGCACTTTCAAAGCAGCATAACACGAAAGCAAGGCGGCACACGGAAGAACGTACCAGCCGTGACATCCAGCATGACAGGCTCTGTGTCAAGGATTTGTGCCATTCGAGGAATGTCTGCGACAATCATGCGCTTACTTCCGCTGCCGTCGAGTTTAATGAATTTGCTCTTCTGCAAGGGACAAGCAAGGAGCAAATGCGGAGAGCCGGGGGGGGGGGGTGTTGTGTAAATTGTCATGAGCCGAGAAACGAAACAAAAGTCGTTCGATTTGATTGGAAAGCTTGCCTTTTCAATTGGACGCAACACGGCGGTCATTTGTTGCTCGCCGACGATCTAAAGCAGTCAACGTGTCAAAGTGATCAAGCAAAGGTCAGTCGCCAGGCAACGCGAGCACACCCCCTTTTTTTTTCTCTTTGCAATTCGAGCAAGTCCAAAATCGCCCGCCTTACAAGTGTTTCTGGGCGCGCCTGAGGCAGCTCCTTCTCACGAGGAACCCAGCCTCGGTTGATAAGAACCCACTTGCCAGTGTCACTGCACAAACCAGGTGTGTTGGCCAAAGGCAAACAAGCAAAGTCCCTTGATCGTGAGCGACTTGAGATGGCACATCGCAATTCGCCCACCGGTGCAGCTCTCGAAGCAGCTAAACTACCTCGCCCGATCATCCACTCCATCATCCACACCTCACCTCATCTTAAACGCAGTGACGACTTGAAATCCGAGGTCGGATTGCGGCGGTGCGTTCGTTTCGCGCCTTGGTCCAATGTAAATCTCGCGCTCGTGATCGAACGATCCCTTCACGTTGAATCTTGAATATGCATACTGGTCGAGCGTGTCTTCTTGAGCAAGGCTGTGCGTCATTGACAAAGAGCAGCATCATTCATGTCAGCATGATTCTCAACCTTCGTCGCAAGAGCGATCTCAAACTGCAGCCAGCCACCACCGTCGCTCTCCCAGCCACGTTGAAATGATGAAGCACTCTTCTTGACTGATGAGACTCAAGAATGGCGCTCGTTTGCCTTGGGGTGAGCGAGCCGACGCGATCTGCTCGCTGGCACTCTCAATCTTAACCTAACTCGCTCTCACACTACTACTCTCTCTGCTCTCTGCTCTCCGCTCTCGCTGCTCACCTGAGGTCGAATGGCTGTGGCGTCGCCTGCTGCTTGGCCTCCATTTCAGCGACAATGCCTTCCTTCCACTTGAGCCGCTGGACTTGCCACACGCCGAGTCCGAATGTGATTGCCGGCAGCACCAGCACCACGCGCTTGACTTGCGACATGTCAATAACAACAAACTGGATGTCGATTGAGATTGGACTGAGCACAGCAAGCATTTATTGTAGATTTCTAAGATTTCTAAGATTTCTAAAATTGTTTGTTGATGCGTTTGGTGAAATCAAAGCAAACGAACAAACAAACAAAACGCGACATACGGAAAATGAACGGAACGGATCAGCACGGCGACGAAGCGGCCAAGTCCAGTCATATTTTGTTGTTTTGACAAACCAGAAACCACAGCCATGCCAGTCATTGAGCAAAACCAGCCGCACCTCGGTGGCGATGACGCGACGATCGACGAGGTCGAAACCGGCTCCGGCTACCAAATTCGCTCGCGCATGCCAAAGTTCGACAAGGCCAACGCCAGCAGCAACATCCCGCAAATGAACTCTACCAGTGCCTCGGAAATTGATGTCCAGAAGCTGCTGGAAGAAGCCGACACCATTACGCGACGTGCCGCAATCGGCAAGCGGGCTGCGCTCGAGGCGGCGCAAATCCACAAAGACCTGAGGTTCCAGGCCGAGCAGATGCGCGACAGCACCGTCCTGCTAGAGCAGGTGAGTGCATTCGAAATGCGGGTGCAGAGGGGGGGGTGCCAACAATGTTGGTCTGATCGACGCGACGGGAGCGCAACGGAGGCGAAACGGAAGGGAAGCGGAGCGTTCATCTTGACCTGTATTTTCACGGCGATCTGAGACGAATGCACCAAAACGCATGTGCGAACATGTCGAATTCTTTTCATAGAACAGACTTGCTTGCCTGCATTCTGAGTAATCCACTCAGCAACCAAAGCAAAACAACTCTCACAGCCAGTTTCACAAACAAACAAAACAAACAAAAAAACGCAACCTGCACATTTTAAGACCTTTGCTCCTCACCTGTGCCAACGACAACACTCACTGCTATAGGAAGCTCAAGCCAAGGAAAAGGAGTTGCTCGACGAGCGCGAAAAGCTCCGGACTGAAGAGCAAGAGCTCGAACGCCAGCGTTCGCTCAAGCACAACGACGTTCTGCAGAAGGAGGCGCTGCGCGCGCAAGCGAAAGCAGACGTGCTCTTGCAGCAAAAGAAGCGCGAGTATGCGCTGCAACTCATCCAGCGCCACCAGGAGGGCACAGATCTCGCCGCCGCCGAGATGCAACGCCTGGAGCTCGAGGTGCAGGAGGCCGATCTGCTTCGCCAGCGCGCCGAGCTGGTCAAGGCAAGAAAGCCCATTGCGTCGTGGATTCCCACCGAGATCAAGCCCATCAAGGTGATGGTGAATGTGCTCCCAGAGGACATTCCCGAGGCGCGCGTCGTGACTGAGAATGTTGCCAAGGGCGCTTCGGCTGGCTCGATCATTGGCACGCGCATGATCACCCCGAAGCCTCCGCCGGTGCATACGTCTACCGTCAAATCCACCAGCACGAAAACTTCCAAAACAGTCGCCGAGTCCAAGTCGCACCACATGGCCGGGCTTTGGAGGCCTCACAAGGAGTTTGACATGTCCAACATCCAGCTCGAGGAGCCGATCATCCAGAACAAGTGGGGTCCCGAGGACTTTCGTCAGTCGTCGGTTTGAGGACGGCGTGCACGACTAGCGACACTCTCTGAAGCGCAGTCAATCAGTCACCCTAGTACACGACAGTATTTTGCTGCAAAGCAGTTTGAAAACAACATGTTTTTTGTCTTTGGCGTTTTAAGTTGCTGCTTGTCCTTGTTCGTTCTTCCCCTTGCTTTTTGAAAGTTCACATCCATCTCTGCAACAACCCAACACTAACATCTTCGAGAAACGAACAATTGTAAAATATAGCACGTTGTGTTTTTTTGTCACGGAAGAGAGTACATGAAACGACAATCACAATTTCGAGCAAATAACAGCAGCCCCCATTATCAACTTGAGTAGTCGAGAATGACAGTGTATAGCGAGTATACAAAACATCCAAACGTCACTACCATGATGCCGATGGCGTATCCGTCGTGCGAAAAGTGCCAAGAATACGGTGTCTTTTCTGCTGCCGGGCCAAACTGAATTGCACAAGGATGTTGGAGTGAGAACGCACAAAGCAAAAGCCATTCGAGTTCTCCAAAGGCGATCGCAAAAACAGCAGCATCTTCTTACTCTTCGGATGCACACACGCTTGGAGAAGTATTGCAACAGACATGGCGCAAAGAAGGCCAAAACAAACCCGAACAGGCCTTCAAACTCGAGCACTAGGAGGAGGACGAAAACCAGTTAGCGCACAATGCCACAGCCCCCCCCCCCAAAAAAAAAAAAGCCGAAACAGAAACGCAACAGCTACAACAAACATCCTCACCTTTGCTCACGTCTCGGACCAACGCGGCACCGCCAATGGCCAGCAGCGCGAGACTAATGCGCAAAACATAGTTGAGCTTCTTGCGGGAAATCTTTTGCAGGAGGGATGCTGGTGCAGCGTTCGCCAGGGACTCGGCGAGGGAAATCGCATACAGCGGGAAGGCGGCACTGACGGTGATGGTCGGGAAGAGCACAATGAGGTAGGAGACGACCTGCGCCCACACTGGGGTCGACTCACCAGTCGAGGCTTCGCCAGAGTAGGTCTTCCAGTTTAGGGTCACAACGCTTTGCACACTGTCGGAAAAGTACATGGCGCAGAGTGCCGACAGGAGAGCGTAAAACAGGAAGGTGGAGCTCAACGCGGCGCCAAAGATGCGGCGCGTCTTCATCTTATCGCGGACGAGCACAACAAAGCCAGGCGCACCTGGGTGAGCGACCTGCGCGACAATGGCCGTCGTGAAAATCTTGCCAAATCCGCTAATCTCAAACAATCGAGACGTGTCAAAGTACGGGGCCGAAGTGCTGACGTTGGGCAGGGCGGTCGAGTAGGGCGCGTGGTCCACAGCGACGAGCACCGTAATGATCATGACAATCATGCAAAAGAAAGCGAACAGAGTCAGAGACATTTGCAGCTTGCGCTGGGCCGTGAGGTCGAGACACACAATCGGAATCATGATGGTGGCATAGAGGGCAAGGAAAAAGTAGTATGCGTGGACGCAGTACGCGTCGGCGCCCGAGGACGTGACCGTCTGGCAGACAGTGCCGATATCAGGCTGGACGGAATGGTAGCCCGAAAGGAACGTGAGCGGAATGACCACCGAAAGCGCCGAGGCAAAGATGGAGCTGTACAGCCACATTGCGCCGCAGTTGTACAAAAAGATGGAGAGCTCGTAAAAGCGCCGGACGGGGTGGATGAAGCCGTTTGCATCGGCAAAGCGAGCCCACCACGAGCTCGGCTCGACGTAGATGGCCAAGAACAGCCCACACAGCTCGCTGACCTCAAACTTGCGACCAGAGTAGCCGATCGTCATGCGCTCTTGCACCATGGCGAGCTCTTCTGCCGCCTGCGCGGACGACACTGCGGAATTGGACGCGGCGAGTCTGGCAGAGTAGGATGAGCTGAACGTGCCGTGCGACGACAGGCGGTTAGTTGCCGACGACGCGGCAGGCCTGACGAGCGCAGCGTGCTCGCTGTCATTGCGATCGTTGATTGCCATTGGCTCGGCAAACCCATCGAGGGTGTCCGCGAACGCCTCCGCGCGTGCACATGCCTCGATCAGAAAGCACAGCGTGACAAAGCACAGGAAGCTGGCAATGAACAGCAGGATGATGCTCAGCACCACGCCACCGTTGTAGAATGCGAACGGCAACCCGAGAATGCCTGTTTTTTTTGTTCCAAAACACAAAACAACCCGAATGAAGTTGATTGTGAGTTTCAGGATAGTTTCAGACCTGTGGTGTGGTTGGTTGGCTTGATGCGCATTTGTGGCATGGAAGGGCATTCGCCCCTCGCAGCGACGTCCCGGTATCAAGGGTGCCGGTTTGGAGTCGTGGTTGGCTTCCGACGGGCAGTGATATTGAAACCTGGCTTGATCGAATGGACGAAAGGGGGGGGGGGTCGAGCGACGTATGGTGGGTGGAGTGTGTAGTAGAGGTGAGGAGCTGCTTACCTGCGCCAATGATCATGTTGACGGTGAATGCGTAGGCGACCATTGGACTGTAGCCTGCGAGCCAAAGTGATGATACATCGCCAGTGAGTGAAAGAGCGAGGACGGAGGGTGGGTTTTCGCACTGTGGACTGTGGTGGAAGACAGAGCGCCCCAATGCAATGCAAATTCAAACAGGACGCGCATGTATGCAAGTCCAGCTCAATCCATCCACCGCCGTCAACATGAATCATCATCAATCGTGCTATCGTGAGGCGAATGACAAGGAAGGAAGAGGCCAGAATGAAGAAGACGGAAGACGGAAGACGGAAGACGGAAGACGGAAGACGCTGGGCTCAAATGCAACAACAGTGGGAAAAGTACAAACCGTTGGCTCGTGCGCCAGACTTGGAAAGACCCTCGTGGCCGCCGTTGACACCGCCGTCAAGCAGCGATCGTTGCTCGTCGCTCATTCAAGTCTGAAGATGGAAGAAGGAAGAAAGAAGAAGAAAAACTCCAGCGGTGGTCAAACTGAAAGGAAGCCGACGAAGAGGAACAAAAGAGGACTGACTGCAACTCAGTTTTCAACACTTCCATTTGGCGTGTACATTGAAACAAGCACACATTCAGCTCATGCAGGACCACAGAGAACCTCAATTACTTGCTCAACGGCCGATTGAAGCCCTCGTGCTCGGATGAGCTGCTGGAATTCGTCGGGAAGGGCGTCGAGCGAGACCTTGTCGGCTTTGGTCACTGAAGGAGCCGTGGACCAACAGGCATCATCGTGAAGAGGTACAAATGTTAGCAACTGCAGCCTGCGAGTGCCCGACGCTCAATTGGGCGCGAGAATCACAACCAACGCGCAAGCATTCTTACACTCATCGGTCTTGCGCGCCCGTAAATGAATTGTGCATCGTACGTGCCCACTCGGAAGCACAGTCATAATCCAAATCAACGAAACAGCAAACCTGCAGAGGTAAAACAGCAAACCGGTGAGCAGTGGCAGCGACGGGCAATTCCCTAAAATCATCAAACAACGCAACGCAACATTTTACTTGAATGCTGGAAACGGCTTGATATTCAATACTGGACCACATCGAACTCCATGTGGTAGGGTGATTTGTGCTGGATAGCGCTCGTACATTGCATAAAACAAGACCTGGCGCTGCGCATTCCACTCGGCGTACTGAACAAATCCGTGGAAGAACGCCTGCAGCGACCTTTCTTTTTCGACTCTGCGATTCGTAGGAGGGAAGGGCAGTGAGAAGAGAGCATGTCTAGAGCGCCGCGATACAATGTCCTAGCACAGCGCCAATGCACCAGCTCAAAAATCACATGAACAACGTACGAATCGAGAAAATCTCGCAACTCTATACGCGCCTCCTCCGGCACATCGACCGCCAGGTCGCTAATCACCATGTCTGGCTCGAGAACTCGGAACGTCAAGTCAAAGCTAAGATCATGGCAAGTGCCTCGCAGAGAGTATGTTCGGCACCACTCTGGAAAAGAGGAAACGCACAGATCAGTTTGAGCGTGCAACATTCACTCAACGTCTCAACAACACCAAAAAAGCGGCCCTACTATTTGGCTCTGTGTCTGGCTCGACGACACTCGATGCTTGCTGGAACGTGATTCCCGTGAACGTCGCGAGCGCCTTCAACTGGGCATGGATGCAATGAAAAACAAAAAAAAAGCAAAGGAACAACAACCATGTCAGTGTCGGGGGAATTTTACAAATACATCGCCCCCAAACGAGCTCAACAAGCTTCGGCACCGAGTGTTGTCGTTGACAAGCTCCATCTTGACATGCATGAGCAATGCCCCGACAGAGTGAATCCTCGAGCATTCAATTTCAATTTTGGCGCCAAAACAAACCCCCTCGCAAACTGACCTGTCCCAGTCCAAGCACTGACGCAGAGCCAGCTTCGCCGCTTCCGTCGTGGCCAGTATCTCGCCGTTGTGCTGCTGCACTGATCTCGGCAGTGAGTTCACGCTGCAGCTGGTGGTTGCTCGAGCGGAGGAGCTGCTGCCTGAAACACAAAGTGAGCGGAAGCGTTTTCGTCCAACCCCTCACTCCAAGCCCCACGCACCCCACACCACACCACACACACACACACAATGCTTTTGCATACATGACTGCTTCGATGTTGCTCTGGCGATCGCGCTCGGCAGCGTCGTCCTGGTCGAGCAGCACTCGCTCCATTCCGGCAATCTCGCGGCGCAGCTGGGCAATCTCTGCCTCGAGCGCCGCGCGTTCGTCGGCCGCCGCGTGCGACGGAGCAGCAGCGACTGCAGTGGTGCCTGCTCTGGCCAGCTGGCGGTCGCGCGCGGCCTCGCGCTCCATCGCTGTGGTGACGTGGTCGACCTGCACTGCCGCTGCATTGACGATCGCTGCTGCGTCTGATCTCGGCATGAGTGATTGGTCTCAAAAATCAGCAGTGTAGAAGGGGCTAGGGGTTGATGAAGATCAAGTGATGCTAGGGGAGGAGTGGGGTTTTGCTTTTGCTGCTGATCCATTGTGGTGGATTTCAATGATCCTCCATTGCCAAAATGCATGACGCTTGAATGTCACTCTTCTTCTTGAATCCATTCATCCGCTCCATACAAATGCTTGCTTCGTCTGCGCTACGCCTCGTCCTCGCTCCCTCGCTCTGTCAGTTGCATTGCACACACTCCCCTCCATTTTTCACTCTTGCCCCCCCCCCCTGCTCCCTCCCTCCACTTCCAACCCCCTCCCAACCCCTGATCGCTCTGATCGCTCTGATCGCTCTTTGCTGTGTTGCTGTTGATTGATTGATTGATGGATGAATTGATCGACGTGGCGTGTTTTTTTATTTTTATCTTTTTATTTATTTTTATTTCCAGCGTTTTTTTCCAATGGCAAAGACCAATACTCTGATCATCATCATCACTGCGGTTTGCTTTGTGATGATCCCAATCCATGCGCACGAACGCGTCCTGTGTCTGTGCCTCAGCTCGCTCGCTCGTTTGAGACATTGACAAAGCGCGACCCTTTTGCTTCCAACTGTTTTTCCCTCATTGGTCGCCCGCACTCACTCTCACTCTCACTCTCACTACACTCACCTACCTCACTCAACTCTTACTCAACTCTTACTACACTCACTCACTACGCTCACTTCACTACACTCTGCCCTCTGCACTCGGCACGTCAACTTGCACTCTGCTTCTGATACATGCGACGTGTCCTCACTCTCACGCTCACTCTCACTCTCACTCTCACTCTCACTTTCACTCTCACTCTCACTCACTCGATGCTTACCTCTGTTCTTTTTCGTCGTCTTTTTGTGGGGTTAGGCAACGCTGTTGCAAACAACGCCATCCGCGCCGCGTCCACCTCGGCTTCAGCCTCCAAGCCAAAGGTAACTGTAAAAATCCATCACCACCACTTTCCATTGCACATCCAGCCCAATGCAAATCAACAAAGGACTCACGACGTGATCATGTCACACCTTTTGGCAGAAAACCACCCAGCTCAAGCAGATGCTCACCTCCAACAACCTCGAGTTCCTTATGGAGGCCCACAACGGCCTCAGTGCCAAGATTGTCGAGGAAGCAGGTATGTACAACAAAACGTCATTGGATCCCGCTGATGATGCACTACTTCCAACTCACTCCAATTCTCATTCCCCAAAAAACCCAACCATCAACAAACGAATAGGCTTCAAGGGCATCTGGGGCTCGGGCCTCTCCATCTCGGCATCGCTGGGCGTTCGCGACTCGAACGAGGCGTCGTACACTCAGGTCTTGGAGGTGCTCGAGTACATGTCGGACGCAACCACCATCCCGATTCTGCTCGACGGTGACACTGGCTACGGCAACTTTAACAACGCCCGCCGCCTCGTCACCAAGCTCGAGCAGCGTGGCGTCGCTGGCGTCTGCATGGAGGACAAGACCTTCCCCAAGACCAACTCGCTCCTCGACGGCCGTGCCCAGCCCCTGGCCGACATTGAAGAGTTCTCGGGCAAGATCCGCGCCTGCAAGGACACCCAGAAGGACGCCGACTTTTGCGTCGTCGCCCGCGTCGAGGCTTTCATTGCCGGCTGGCCGCTTGAGGAGGCGCTGCGTCGCGCCGAGGCCTACCACAAGGCCGGCGCCGACGCCGTGCTCATCCACAGCAAAAAGAAGGACCCCTCCGACATTGAGGCCTTCATGAAGGCCTGGAACAACCGCGCTCCCGTCGTCATTGTGCCCACCAACTACTACACCACCCCGACCGACCGATTCCGCGAGCTCGGCATCTCGACCATCATCTGGGCCAACCACAACATGCGCACCGCCATCTCGTCCATGCAGGCCACCACCAAGCAGATCTTCCAGGACCAGTCCCTCAAGAACGTCGAGACCAAGATTGCCACCGTCAAGGAGGTCTTCAGGCTGCAGAACGACCAGGAGCTGACCAAGGCCGAGGACAAGTACCTGCCAAAGGAGAAGTAAAAAAAAGCAAAAGCTGAAAATTGAAGTACAAAAGGGGTTGATGACCGATTTTTGTGTTGTTTTTGGTAACAAAAAAAAAATGCTTGAACGTGCTTCATTCTCCCGTGCTTTTTGTTTGTTTGATTGTTTGTAGTACTAGTAGTAGTTTGTAGTTGTAGTAGTCGCAGTAGTAGTTCAACAACCAAAAACAAACACTCCCTCTTTGCAAAGAAATGCGTCGAGCTTGTTTATGCTATATTTACATGTTATCATTTTTTTTTTCGTTTCGTTACAGGTGGCTCCGAAGGTGCTGTTCATTGGGCAGCGGGGCTGAATGATCGGCCATGGCCCACACTTTCTCGAGCAGAGGATTGCGCGGATAGGCGTCGGTGAGCCGAGCGTTGATGGCCATCCATTCTGTGATTGGAATGGACGAACTGCTCGCGCCATACGTTCGATGGAACAAGCCAGCCTCGGCAAATATGGGCTCAAGCAACGCGCACGGAATCGTAAAGTTAATACGAGGCAGAGTTAGCCCGTCGTCGAGCTTGCCCAGACTTGCTGCCAGTCCAAGCATTCTGCCAGTGACACCATCAAACAGGGCGCCGCCGCTCCCGCCTTTATGCAACGGAGCCGACGATTGAATGAGAGCAGGGACAACGTTGGACGGAGTAGCAGGCTCTGTCTCGTCCGTCGGCGTTGATGAGGTGGTGGCAGCAAAGGCTGGCAGCTTGACCACGTTCGATAACATGCCAATGGTAGCCGAAGGAGCAAGCTCTGCTCGAGGTCCGAGAAGAGAATGTCCAAGTACAAGCACGGTAGCTCCTACAGAAGGAGATGTGTCAGTGGATTCAAGCTGGATCGGACACACGTGCGGCGGCAAGGAGCGCCGACGAGAAGGGCTCCATTGGATGGCCAGGAGCGCAACATCTGGATGGTGATTGCACACAAACACCGGGAATGCTGGGTACCATTCAAACAAGGATGTCTGGTTTCTTGGCAGGCTCACTCGCACGCGCAACTCTACATTTCGCATCAGCTTTGGCAGCGGCTTTGAGGTAGCGCGACCTGGCCATTGGTGAAAGGTTGAGTCAGGCTCGCGACTTTTGGTCAGGTATGGCTGGACTGCATGCGCGTTCGTGAGAACGAGACCACTGGATGATAGCACAACGCCAGTAGCCCACATTGAGCCAACGTGAATCAAGACGATGGATTTTTCTCGCTGTTCGACCAGCTCTGGGAGGAGTGGAGGCAAACAGAGATTCCATTGTTGCTCGGGTCGAGCACCGGCAGAGGCAGAGGCAGTGACAGCAGCAGCGGCCCAACAGCGAGAAATCCGGCCAAACCAGCCCACCGACGGAGAAGCCGTCTGCGGCGCTTTTCGTGGCGCCTCGGCCACCAGACATTGGGAGGTAGATTGCGCTGTAGCAGAGCCTCCGAGTCGTTGATGACCGCTTGCCTCGAGTAAATGCCAGCACCGCATCACGCTGGGCAGCGGCAAAATCAAATTCAAGTCCCCCAGCAGTCCTGCGGCATCCTGAGCGAGGGATCCAGCGACCAACCCCAGCAGATGGCCGCTCGCAGCACGCACAGCCATGGCGCCTTCCATGCCTTCCAGGCAGCGTGCATCAGTGACATACAAGGCCGGAGGAGGAGAAGCAGCGGTAGCAGCAGCAGCAGTAGAGAAAGCCACATCTTTCGCGACTGCTTGCTCCGACCCAGCATGCACAACGTTGCTGATCACGCCGTTGCTCATACTGTTGAAAAATGCCGCAGGACTGAGGAATCCGTACGGCGCACCAATCAGCACAAGGGACTCGCCTTTCCGGCCTGGAGCATTCCGATATGCAGCTGATTCACGTACCCAACGACTGAGTGGTGGAAGCAAAGAAGGCTGCTGCTGCTGCATGCTTGTTGCGACGATGCTGGGATCTCGCGCTACTCGAACAAACAAAATCGAAATGGCTAAATGCTGGAGCTCGTGGCAGTTGCTATCGTGGTTCAAAACGTGCGTGTTTCCTGGGGCGTCTTGCTGCGATTGCGCACTGAGCGCCTGAGACGCCCCGCTCGAGCCTTTCACGAGCGGAGTCTTTGGACGCGCAAACGAACGCAGCAATCGCGATCCAGCGACCGAATCTAGGCAAATGCGCCCCAATGCCTCCACTGCATCGGCCATATCTGCGTCCGTGGAGGCACGTGAGGCGGTTGTCTGAGTTTCTGAGGAAACCCGACCACAAGTGACAATTGCGATGGCCGTTGCTCTCAGCCACTGCACAGGCGGGACTGTCGCTTGGCTACCACCACCACCACCACCACCACCGGTGGCGCCTGGGCGTAGTTGTGCTTGAGCCTTGTCATGTAGCTTGACATCCATCACGAGCTCTGGAACGAGATGCACGACATCCGTCGGCTCAGACTGCTGGTTGGGCGGTGAGTTGTTGGACCAGTCCCACCGCGGAACCGTCAGACTACCGCTGTCATTGAGCCCGTCGTCGTCATCGTGTGCATTTCTTGCGATGCCGGCCGGTGCATTGGGACGGGCGGTGCGACGATGGCTCGATCTCGTTACGACCGGCCAGAGCAGCCCGCCAGACGTCGCCACCACAGCCTCGCCACCACGCCGCGGGTCGGTCAGCAGCACGCCAGACCCGCTGTGGAATGGGATGACGGTCGATGTCGGCGTGCGCGGATCGGCAGTCACCGCGAGTCGCACGATCGCTCCGTGCGCTTGAGCCAACTCCATTGTCTTGTCTGAATGGTCAGCAACGGCTCTCGTCTCGCAGAGTGGTCGGTCTACAAACTTAAATCGAATAGAATGACTGTGGGACTGGATCTATTGGTCAGGCTGAGCTGTCTCTATAGAACCCGGTTTGTTGTACTTTGTTCAAATTGCTCAGAAAGTGCACCGCGCCGATGATTTATTGCTACGATTCTGCCTGGCATAATCTCATCTCCCTAGCTGTTTGACACGCTGGGAAATGGGCGCAAGTCGGGAGCGACAATGGTTGTTTTGGCGTCAGGCTGGGCCAAGCACTCGTAGCTGTAGAAGCGAAACACAAAGCTGGGGTCGGTAAGATGAGCATGGAGTGCCAGGAAGCTGTCGAAGCTTTCTAACGCAGCAGAGTGGCCGTCTACGGAGCTGTCCAAGGCTGGTTGTGCGGTCGAGGCGCCCTGGGAATCAACTTCTTCGGCGTCTTCCAGTGGAAGAGCTGGGATTTCGGCCGATGCGTGCAACCGTGATCTTTCAAAGGATTCGCGGAAGAGCACAGCGTAAGCAGCCTCCAAGGTTGCGTGTGGGCACACACTTGGGGACGCGGAACCCAGGAGCACATCTTTTTGCCGCCCTTGCTCCCAGAGTTGGCGCAATCGCTGCGTGTGGTGTGCGAGTGTCCATTGGTGATTGATGGCACGCGAAATGAGTGTGCATGCGACATTATCACTGGCCGGGATGCTAAATTGACGATCGACGTAAACGAGGCCCCGAGCAGCGAGCAAGTCTTCCTCGGCTGCAGCTGCTGCCGCGGTCTTCTCTGGTGCACCAGAGTAGGACTCGACCACGCGCATCATCCAGAGAGAATGATCTCCGACGTCGATGGTAGCATGCACGGCGCATTCGATGGTCGCAAGACATCCATCCAGCATTGGGGTGCCAAATTCGGTTGTTGAGTGTTTGACCCGCTTCCACAGGTTTCTGCTCTCGCACCACCAGTACCGGGAGGGACGGTGAGTTGGAGGCAATGCCAGACAACAGCAACAACAAACACAATCCTGAGCATAATGGCAACAAGCGTCACTTACTGCGCCGTCTCCACGTCGTCCACATTATAAGCAAATAAGGCTGCCAGAGGTGTCTGTGTCGCCGACAGTACGTTGACAACACAGCGACCTGTTCGAGATATCATTTCGCTCATGGATGATCCGCGCCGAATGCTGAACGCAACGATCGGAGGTTGCAACGAGACGCTCGTGAGCGATCCGCACGTCAGTCCGCGGTAGATTGGGGTCTATGAGACGCACATTTCCCACAACAACAACAACAACAACAACAAAAATTCACAGGCATGTCAACCATGTTAGCACAATATCGACCTGATTTGGGTGAGCTGTCTGTCTGAGATTTTTGGGCTTTACTTTAGCTCGCCTGTTGCCGGCTGTGAGGACGACGACTGGCGATGCGACCGAGCGCATTGCCGCCCTGAATGCGGCAGGCGTGTCTGCACCGGCAGCATTCGCATGCTGCATTGATGGATTTGCAGCAGCAGGTGGAGGTGACTGCATGGCGCAGGTGGCTGCCGATGACAGGCTCCGACAGTGGGACCGTCCAGCGATCGCAGCTGCTCCATGCACTGGTCCTGTTGGTACTACTGCGCTTGCAGAGGAGCTTGAGATGCAGACGGGCGACGAAGCGAGCGACAGCAGACTCGGACGAGCACCGGCGACGCGACAGCTGCAACGCTGCACCACTGCGATCAGCATTTGGAAGGGTTGGCGGGGGGGGGGAGAGAGAGAGAAGGTCTGCAGAATCGCAATGATAAGAGTGCAAGAGTGCAAGAGTGAGAGAGAGTGAGAGAGAGAGTGAGAGAGAGTAGAATAAGAAAATAAGATCAAACAAACAAAAGCAGACTGACAAACAAAAGCTGCTCAGAAATAGCTGCTCAGAAGTTGCTCAGATTTCGCTTTTTGCTTCCAATCCAAGCTCAGTTCAGTCCAGTCCCGTCGCTCAATCTCAGATTCTGTCCTTCTCTCGCTCTCTCTCATCTTTTTCTCTCTGATCTTGCTCTCTCTCTCTCTCTCTCTCTCTCTCTCTCTTCGCTCGCTCTCGCTGACTCTCACTTTTTGAATGAGCGACACGGCGACACAGCTCGACGGGTACTACCGCGCCGTCAAAGCGCTGATTCTGTCGCGGCAGAGCCCGACGACAGGCCTGTTTCCGCGCAATCCGCTGCGGCAGGACGCCTGGGTGCGCGACAATGTGTTTGTCGTGATGCCGGTCGTAGCGCTGGCAGTGGCCTACCGCGCAGTGGACCACGACGGCGGCAGACGGCACGAGCTCGAGCACTCGGCCATCAAGTGCATGCGCGGTCTCTTGTTCAGCATGATGAGCCAGGCTGCCAAGGTCGAGGAGTTTAAGCGCACGCAGTCCACCAAGAGCGCCCTCAACGCCAGGTACAATGCCGTGGCAGGCGACGCGTCCTCATACACGGCTGCTCCGTGGGCTCCATGGCCAAGCGAATCGCAAGGATCAAATGGCGGCGGATCGAGAGGAAGTGGCGCCGGACCATCATCATCCTCCTCCTCCAGTGGTGGTGCATCCAACCGATCGTCAACGGGAGGTAGTGCTAGTGCTGCGGCTGCTGCTGCTGCTGCTGCTGCGGCGGCGGCGGCTGCTCCTGCTCCAGCGACAAACCACCTCCAGTTGGACGCAACGTCGCTCTTCCTGCTGCAGCTGTCGCAGATGATTCTGCTCGGTCTGCGCGTCATTTACACATCGGACGAGGCTGCGTTCGTGCAGAACGTCGTATTCTACGTGGAGCGCGCGTACCGGACGCCCGATTTCGGAATGTGGGAGCGCGGCACCAAGGCGAACGTTGGCAGACCAGAGCTCAACGCCAGCTCGATTGCCATGGCCAAGGCCGCGCTGGAGGCCATCAACGGCATTGATCTCTTTTGTCTCAGCGCAGGTGCGGCGCAGTCCACCATGCACGTCGATCCCGACGCACACAACCGCAACCGAACAATCCTCGCGTCCCTGCTGCCGCGTGAATCGAGCTCCAAAGAGACAGACGCAGCCCTGCTGGCCGTGCTCGGGTTTCCGGCATTCGCTGTGGACGACGTGCAGCTTCGCGTCACGACGCAAAACCAGGTGCTAAGCACGCTGTCTGGGCGCTACGGCTTGAAGCGCTTCCAGCGCGACGGCTACGGCTCTGTGCTGGAAGATGCCAATCACCCATTCTACTACGAGTCGACAGACTTGAAGAAATTCGACGGCATCGAGTGTCAATGGCCGCACTTGTTTGTCCTGCTGATGCTCGACGCGCAATTCACGGGCAAGCAAGCCCAGTTTGTCAAGTACCGCGACCTGCTCGAGCCGCTGCTCATCAATCCCGAGGACCTGTCGCACCTTGTTGAACAGCAGCAGACCAGCGCACACTCGCGGCAGGCCAGTCCATCGCAGCTGAGCGTTCTGCTTCCGCAAACCACCGCTGGCCCGCCCAAGGCCACTCCTGCCCAAGCCTTGCCTGGCGGAGGCAAAGTTGACTATGCCACACTATCGCCAGCAATGTTGGACGCAATCAAGTACGCCAAGGCAGCTCCGTCGTCGCACACTGGTGCCACGGCCGGCTGGAAACGTGCCATCAAGCTCATTCCTGCCTTTTACTGGCTTCCTCGCGACAGCATTCTGCGCGAACGAGAGCAGCCTGGATCGCAAGAATACCTGCCATCCCTCACGTCCGGACATGCGCCTCTGCTCTATGGCCAAGCCCTGTACCTCCTGAGCTGCTTGATCGAGGACGGCTTGGTCAACGTGTCGGACATTGACCCCGTCGGTCGGCATTTGCCCCCGGTTGTTCGCCCGCGTCGCAACCTCCGTCATTCGGCATTCGCCAGCATCAACTCTCGTCAAAATTTGGTCGTTCAGGTCGCCCTCATTGCCGAGACCGAGCAACTCCAGTCCGACCTCGCTACCTACGGCATCACCACCCAGACGCCACAAGAAATCGATCCCATCTCAGTCCGTCCGCCATCTGTCCTGGTGGATGTCTTTCGACGGCTCGGCGTCAACAGCAAGCTTGGCCTGAGCGGTCGTCCTCTCCGACCCATGGGTGCTCTAGCGACTTCCAAGCTTTATCGCATCGGAGACCACATTTTCGTCTTTTATCCCATCATCCTGGATAAGAGCGATTTTTACATGTCCATGGACGATTTGTTCCTGATTGACGCCATCAAAACGCAGCTGTCTTTTGTGTGCAAGAACTGGAACATGGTGGGTCGTCCGACGGTGACGCTGCTCATCCGCGAGCGAAGCATCAAGAGTCGACATTTCCAAAGTTTGCTCGAGTTCCTTGCCACCCTTCGTGATGGCATGTGTAATGGCGTGCACGTCATGCTTGGCCAGCTGCAGCAGTTCATGTCGACTTCTTGTGTCGAATACGTCGATTTTGCGCGCACTTCTGCCCCTCCCATCAATCAGGAGCTCACACTCGATGCCAGCGCGTCGGCTGCCATATCCGTTCCCTCCTCTGCTTCCCATCCTCAGTTGGGCGAGCCGTTCAACATTCTTGACATGCAGTTCCAGCTACGGCCGCCGACCCCTGCATCCCTACCGCCTGGCAGCCACCACCACCACCACCAGCAACAGCAACAGCAACAGCAACACCACCACCATGGATCAAGGCTCCCTCCTGGTGGGGTGCAGCGCTCCATCACCGGCCTTTCCAACACTGCGTCGTCTGCCACTTCGACTCCACTTCAAGACCATACCGAGTCGCAGTTTTCGCAGCCAATCGAACCTCCAGCAGCGACTCCCCAGCCATTCGCGCGCACCACGGCACCCTTTATCATCCCACCGCTGTCTCCTGCTGCACGGATCTATGCAGACATGCGCGTGCGACAACAAAGCTCCCTCGGCCTTGACTTTGAGGACGAGCTTGCGCCCACCCGAGTGTTGGAGAGCGATGATGCGATTTGCACGGCCGATACCGAAGATGATGTTGCCGTGGAAGATGATGCCGTCTGCACGCAACCAACGCGCGGTGCCACGCACGACCTTGTGGCGCAACTGCAGGTATGTTGTTCAATCGCTGGTGGTTTTTTTTGTTTGTTTGTTCGTTTGTTTGTTCGTTTGTTAGTTGAGAGCACTTCCTCCCCCCCCCCGGACTGACGTGATTTGACGCATTTCACACTTATTAGACATCGCGGAAGATCAGCGAGCAGGTTGCCATCTTGCTCACATTGCTCCACAATGAAGGCAAAATGTTTGCTCTCACTGTTCAGGACAAGTCGACGACTGTCGGTGCTTTGCTCGACGAGTTGTACGAGCGCGCTGCCTTCCTTCTGCGTTGGTATGGACATTGCATGCCCTTGTGTTCCGTATGAGGTTGAGCGGGGTGCCTCACTTTTAGTTTGTTTTGAACTGTTTTTTTTTTTTTCGTGCTTTTCTTTTGTTCTGCTTGTTCTGTTTTTTCGTTCATCGTTTCCTGGGGCAGGTCGCTCGTCCGACAAATCGCTGCCAGCCTTGGCAAGGTGGTCGACAGTTTGGCACCCTCAATCACGGAAATGCTCGTCCGCGGCAAGGTCGTCTCGCTCAGCTGCGCGGGTCACGACGAATTTATGATCAGCGACCCCATCACTCCCGCCGAGATTCGGGTACGGTTGGACGACTTTGGGGGGCTGGCTGCTCGTTTGGTTTTTTTTTTTCTTTCTTGTTTTTTTTTTTTTTTTTTTTTTGCTTCTCACACGATTCCTGCTTTTTTCTTCATCAAATGATCCTTAGGACGCAATCTACAAGTTTGCAACTCGGCATGACAAACGCGAGGTGGTCTTGCTGCAAGAAATGATCATTTACCTGGCCAGCTTCGTCTCTGCAGACCCTCACATCTTCCATGGCATGCTTCGTGTTCGTGTCGGGTAAAGCTCATTGAATATTGCCGAGTGTTGCCTATCCAAAATGCTGTCCCAGTGCTCATCTGATTGGTGTCCGCAGCTGGATTATCGAGGCCATGAAAACCGAATTAGCGCGGAGCTTCAACGTGAGCTCTCACAAGTGGGTGACTGCCAAGGTAAGACCGAATTCACCGCAGCTGTTCGTTGTCCACGACAAGAACAAGAACCAACTCAAAGACAACAAAAAACACATGTCCACGTTTCGATTTTTTCTTGTTTTTCCTCGGACAGCTGATGAGCCTCAGTCCTTTCGAAATGAAGTCTTGGACCTTCCAAGTCCTCAGTCTGAACGACGAAGAGCTTGCACGATCAAGAAGCAGTTCTGTCAGTTCGGTTGGTTCAGACAGCAGTTCCTCCGACCAAGAGAAGTCTCGGAATCTCGAAAGCTCGCCAACCTCGCCGACGCCCTTTGATGTTCTCCGAGGCATGCATGCCTTCCGCGCTTTGCGCATCCGCGGTCGCTGGCTCCGTCGCCGCCATCTGAATGGCGCGTTGAATCGCATGCCGGACGATTTCTATCCGCGCGGTAAGGCTCTTGGAAGCTCTGCTATATTGTTGTGTTTGTGCTATGAGCTGCATACCTCATGTTTCATCGATTTTGCTCGGCTTTGGTTGGTGAAATCAGTTTGGCTCGTGCTTTCACGAACGCCTGGCATATCCTTTTCTGGTCACATTTTGCCGCAAATCCCAATCATCAACGACATGACAGCCGGTGAACGTAACTTTGCCTTCAAGGTCGAGTCGCTGCTGAACAACATCATCGTGCCAGAGTATCGAGCCGTCGTTGTGGAGGTACAGGAAACAGCGTGAGAGGGTTGGATTGGCCACATTGTCTTTCTGATTTTGTCACTCACTCGTCGTCTGCCCTTTTGCAAACCCTGCCCCCGCCTCCTCCCACATACAGCTTCTCGTTGTACTCGCAATGATTCTTGAGCGCAATCCTGAACTGCGCTTTGCCCAAGTCATCCAGCTCGAAAAGGTTAGCGTGGGGAAGAAAAACGAACTGTGACCTTCTGTCTGGTCAATGCCTTTGCTCATTCTCCGTGCGTTCTGCATTCATACACTTTTTTGCATTCTTCAGCTCATTTACGAAGCAGTCGATTTGTTCTATGCGGAACACAACAATCCAAACTCTACCGCGCCCGCTGCCATGCTCGATCTCGATGATTCGATCGACGTCACTGGCGATCCCACACTTACGGGCAAACCTCGGAACAAGGCCATGCTTGCATTCTTCAACACTCCTCCGTACGGCCCATTTGGAACGACCAACTACCTGGCCAAAGTCGTTGTCAATGTCGTTCAATGGTCTTCCATAACGGTGGAGAATTCCTCCTGCTGCATTTCCTGAGGCGCGTTTGTTTGTTTTGCTTGCTTGTTGTTTTTGCTTGCTTGTTGTTTTGCTTTTGTGAATATGAGAGTTCAGTTGGCCTTCTTTTATCATGCAGGTGCAACCGGAATCAGAGTGCTTGATTTTTATGAGCGGTTATTCAATGCTGTGCCCTTTTTCCCCCGATACTACAGCGTGCTTTGTAGAAAATTCACTTGATCCATACTTTACACAAAAAAAATTTGACTGGATTGTGTTGTACACGAGGCACTGTCAACCAGGACAGCGCGTTCATGACAAGAATTCACACACGACAGAAAGATTCAACTAATTACGGAAAACAAATAGCAGGGGGGGGGGTGAAACTCAGTGGCCCGGTTCATTGGAACGGAGTTGGAGCCGGAAGAAAGCTTAAGACGCAACAATTAGGAAGGTAATAGATGGGGGGGTGGTTGGAACTTGGTCCTCCAAGCTCAATTTCGCTTGCGAATCACAGCGTTCTCACAACCAGTGGGACGAACTTCCCGTTCCCAGTCGTGGGGATAGTGATACTTGAGCACCTGGATGCCATCGTGGGTGCTTGTCATCTGCAGACGGCCAAACTTGTACTCGGGCAGAGGGTCGCGAACCAGAGCTGCGGGGAAGATGTGGTACGTCCAGTAGTTGATAAAGAAGAGCCACGACTCGATGCCCATGCGATTCATCCATCCGTTCCCCCAGTAGTCGGTAAACAGCATGAGATCGGATCGAGAGCGGTCGTTCTCGATGCGGAAAAATCCGCCCCAGCCGCGGTAGTCAACCCTCAAGCCTTCTGCCCTGCATGCCGCAAAGAAGGCATCGGGATAGTGCGGCTTGAGGGTTTCCCACTCAATGCCGAGATCAATGTCCGTGTCCCATGGAATGGGCCCCTGGTATCGGAGAGCGCCAATGTGCGAGCCGTAGACGAGCCAGTACTTGATGTGCAACTTGTCAAAAATGCGAATCAGGCGCTCGCCCATGTCCATCAGTGATTCGTAGTCTTCATCCGTCATGTCGCAGACAATCTGAGTATTTGGTTCGACGTGATTGTACCAGGCCCATGACCGTGTGCTCAGCAAGTAGTAAATGACAAACAGGATGATGGCGACAACGGCGGTCAGCAATGACCGGGATCGTCGTAGGCGAGCAAAGGTAAAGCCTTGCATGTGTTGTTTTGTTGATGTTGTGTTTTTTTTTTTGAGTCGAGCGCGCCTTGAAGTTTTTGTTTTGGGTTGTATGAGCAACCTTCCTTCTTCTTGAGTGTGGGTTGTTTTAGTCCAACGACGGCAACCACAAACGTAAAAGACAACAGAAAAACCTGTCAATCAAATCAATTGCATCAGAAAAAGTTAGCAACAAGAATGAGACTTTGAGAGAAAAGGGCAAACGTTCATGACACGAGGAGGAGCTGAGACGAGCAGCGCAACAAAAAGGAACTTGTATCAAAAGGAGAAAAAATCAAAGTGACAAACGAACGGAGTGAAAATACAAAAAAAAACCTGAAAAGCTCAGAAAACGATACAAAAATATAAAAAAATAAAGAACGAAACGTGTCAACGTGTCCTGTCGCTGCAATTCGTGCTGGTTTTTGCCGAGCAGCGCGATCTGCGCATCTCTGCGCCGTTGGCAAGTGACCAGAGCGGACTCTGACGCAGACCATCGCAACAACGCACGGGGAGGGGGGGGTCGCTGGGGACGGTGGCAGAACGCCAAACGCGAACGGTGGATGTGTGGAAGCGGTTCGATGAGAGGGCTCTGCATCCCCCTAACCCCACTCCACGCTCGCGCTCTCGGACGGTGCGCAACACGACTGTGCGTTGTGTGCACTACTGCGTGGCCATTCGGTAACTGAGACGACGCCGCGGCGGAGTCGGGAGAGAAGACCGTTGCAAAAGGCGAAAGAGTTCGGCCAAAGAAGCACTTCCAAAAAAAAAAAAAAAAAAAAAAAAAAAAAAAGATGCGTGCGTGGCTTACAGTGAAAAAAAAAAAAAGGAGGACTGGAAAAGCTCAATCTGGGCGGCTTCTTTGCTCAGTGAAACGCGGAAAGGACAGCGAAAGAGCGGGTCGACCAACAGGCAAATTGAATGGAGAGCGCACAACAACAACAACTGGAAGAGCGTGGTTGCACAAAGAAAACCAACAAACAAAAAGGAAAAAAACAACAACAACAACAAAAAAAAAAAAAAAAAGCGCGCACTCAAGCTGCAATGCCAGTTCTACCCAAAAAGTCGCGGGCTGTTGAATCAAAAAGAAAATATACTGTATTGCAATGCTGCGTTCAGTGAAGAGAGGGTTGGGGTGCAACTGCCAACGAGTTGTCCAGCATGGAGAGCGTTCGCGAGTGACCCAGAACTTGGAGCGTCTTGCCAAGCGGGGCACCAGACTGTCGTTGAAACAGCAAGCAGCAGCGTACCAAACACACACAGCGAGCAAGAGTGAGTACCAACCTCATTTGATATTGACGAGAGGCCGTGATGCTGTGGGCGCATTGGCGAGGTAGGACAGAAAAAAAAAAAACAGAAAAAAAAAAAAAAAAAAAAGAGAACGCCAGTGTCGACACGGTCGAGCACCCGACAAAAAAGGGGATGGCATCGGGTGACGTAGATCGTTTGTTTGGTTGTGGTTTTTGTTTTGCATCGTGACGCCATTGCTGCAAAAAGCCCCGAATCTCAAGATCTGGTGGCGTGGAGCAAAGCCGACGCCATTTGCTCCAAGACGTTTGCTAAAGCCCTGGTTCCTTCTGTGATTCACTACCCACCTTAGCGCCAGTGACGGCCATGCGCAGGGCTTTCAGAGCCCCGTTCAGCTGGTCCTCGCGCGGCAGCTGCGCCTTGATCGTGGCAATGATTCGATCTTCAGTAAACTCGGCAGCCGATAGATTCTCGGCAAACGCCCGTCGCACAGCGTGGAGCAAAGCGCCTGGTCGAAATAAAGGGGGCAGCATCCAGGAGACGTGGTTCAGTGTTTTGCAACGAACGCTGGGGCAATGGATGGGAAGTTGACCAACAAAAAGTCGTACCGAACGGTCCAGAACTCGCTTGCGTGTCTGGCGCGGCATCAACCCAGAAATATGACGCGTATGAAGCAATCTCTGGAACAAGGCTTACTCGATCCTATGCAAATCCGGCGGCCCCGACGCTCGCAGTCAGTACACATGGCGTCAAAAAGTTAAATCATCGCATTTTGCTCTCAACTGGCCGCCGCACCTTCATCGTGAAAACGACAGCGTGCAAATACGCATCAGTGAGCCGATCTGCGGGGATTCTGAGAACGCGGCAAAACAATAAGCACACGCGAACAAAAAAAACAAAACAAAAACAAAACCATTTGGAACACGAGCCAACCGCCTCGAAAGAAAACCTTACTGGTTTGCACCGTTGGATGATACTTGAGTGGAAATGGCAGCACGCAGCGCGTCAAGGCCTTCGCGTTGAGCAGGAGTCAGCCGCTCAAACTCTGCTGGCCATTCAATCAAGAAGGCCTTGCTCAACGAACGCAACTTGACGGTATCGACAATAGCTCCTCCGCGATGCACGCGAGAAATGTCAAACTGTGTAGGTTTACGGTGTAGAGGAGTTGGAGTGCACACTGTGAGGGAAAGCGAAAGGAGCAAAAGGCCAGAAGCGCTAGCCCTGCAAAATGCCGCCTTACAGCCGGTATCAACTGCTCCATGGTCATCTTGTCATGCACATGCTCTGGGCCCCAGCCGAGCAGCGCGACAAACGAAACAAGGGCCTGGGCTGTAAAGCCGGCATCGCGGAACTGCTCGACGAAAACATCGCCCTGGCGTTTGGACAACTTTGTCCTATCCTTGTTCAGCAACAGAGGCAAATGGGCAAACTTTGGTGCGCGCCACCCAAACCGATTGTACAGGATGATGTGCTTGGGCGTTGACGACAGCCATTCCTAGGACAATACAGAAATCACAGTTGTGGTCAGCAAACTAAAACTGTTCTTTTTGACAAATCAATCATGTTTCTTGCTTTGCTTACTTCTCCTCGCATCACATGAGAAATGTCCATCAAGTGGTCGTCAACGACGTTCGCAAGGTGGTACGTGGGAAACCCGTCCGACTTTAGCAAAACTTGGTCATCAATCACTGCGTTTGGGTACGACACGGATCCATAGACCATGTCGTCCACCACGGTGGCACCAGAAGTCGGAACGTTGAGGCGAACGACATGCGTCTCCTTGGCGTCGGCGCGTCGCTGGCGCTCTTCGCGCGTCATCGAAGTGAGGCAATGCTTGTCATACTTGACTGGCAGTCCAGTCTTTTGCTGTGTTAGTCGCATAATATCGAGTCGTTCTGCTGAACAAAAGCATTGATAGGCCGAATCCGTCTGATTCAAGCAAGTGTCGGGCATGGTGAGCCAACCACGACACACAAAAATGAACGACAAGCGTCAAGTCAAAAAAAAAAAAAAAAAAAAAAAAGGAAGAAAAAACAAACTGCCGACCTCAAGGAGTTTCTTGACGTGGCTGTGATAAATGGGCAATCGCTGCGACTGCGTCGCAAGACAACGGACGGTATGCAATGTTAGCAAATTGGCCTGCAATCAGACAATTGGACAAACGGAAGCTCCCTTACCTGGTGATAGGGTCCATAGTTGCCTCCACGAGTCGGACCTGGAAGCAAGGACGAAACACACACGCACACACATGAATCACGCAACCAGCATTCATGGATTGCCAAATCTAACCGAGGATTTGCCAAACAAGTGCACACGAACTCCAGCATCTTACTTTCGTCAAACTCAATACCGGTCCATCGCAGAATGTTTTCAATGCTCAATGCGGCTCCCTTCACCTCGCGTGTCTAAGTTGAATTCGTTCGTGGAAATCGCAACATGAGAGACAGCTCCATCTTAACCGGTGCGATCCTGCCAAGTGTCGCTACGATGCGAATCGCTTTGACCCACCTGATCCGTGTCTTCGATCCGCAGCACCGTAGTACCGCCTGCCTTCTTGGCAAACAAGTGGTTGTACAGCGCGGTTCGGAGTCCGCCGAGATGCAGAAAGCCAGTCGGACTCGGTGCAAAGCGCACGCGGACGGGCGATGCAGTCGAGTGGCCCTGAGACGCATCCGACGATGCCGATCGAGCGTGCAATGAAAAGCGCAGAATCGGATGGCTTCGTCCTGTGGTCGTTGGAGCGCAGACGGCAGCAGCAGCAGCAGCAGCAGCAGCAGCGACGCGAGTCGGTCGGGCGTGGCTGAGCGATGTCCTCAGTCGCAACCCCAGCAGCACTGCAACACACAACGGAAGAGGCAGCATTCAGAATATTAGACAACGCGATCTATTGATACTGTGAATGCATTGAAAGGCAGTTGCAGAGACTGTACTGAGTTTGGGGAGACTTGACTGAGAGTTTGCGTCAACGAGAAGAAGACTGGAACTCGAATTCTCATCTCACCGACTCGGTACAAGCACACCACCAAAGGGGATGAGACAGACGATAAAGATGATACAGCACAGTAGAATCTGGCAGTGGTGGCTTGTTGCGGTACTGCACATTGTGCTGGATTCGAAAAGGATTCGTCCAAATGCAAAAGAACGAGCAAAATTGAAGATCGTTTTTGATCAATCCAGTCCTCCTTGTTGCAATATCAGCGGTGTGGTTTGAGTAGTGTTGCTCTTTGTTGTTGTTGTGGACGATTGCTACGCGGCCAATTAATCAACGCCCTTGTGCAAAATCGAGCAAAACCCGCCAAACCACTCGCGGATTCGGCGCGCTGTCCGTTGCTCCCCTCGCCTCTATTCGTCGAGAGAGGGCTGTTCATTGTAAGGCGTCCAGAGATGAGCTGTAGTTGCTATGTTTGGCTGTTTGTTGTCGCGAGTGGTTTTTCCCTTCGCAAAAGCCAGAATGGGGGGGGTTCGGTCGGTTTCGGTTTCGGTTTCAATCAAAATCTCACGTTTAAGCGTTGATCTCCGACCTTTGATGCATTTTTCCCGCTTTCCTCGGCACAGGCACACGCTTCCATTGTCATTGCTGAGACAGAAGTCTGCTCTCGTTCGAGTAGCATCCGAAAACTGACTGACTGGCTGACTTGCAGAAAAAAACTCGGTCCAAGCCTGCCAAACATTGGACCAAATGCGGTTTGATCACCCAAACAACCTGCTCCTCAGATACCATCCATCGCCCATTCATACCGTACTCGCCTCGGCCATCGTCATTCTACCACATCCGTCGGAGCATTCTGCGAGCAGCGCGCGCAGCAGCATGACGAGTCGCATTGTCGCAGCAGCATCCGTGCCGCCCGAAACGGTGGAGTTGCTGCACGAGAGCCTTGCACACGGTGCCGATGTCAACGCCACCGACCAGTATGGTGTGAGCCCGCTACATCTCGCATGCTGCTCAGACTCGTTCCTAGAGATTTTAAGCCTCCTGCTGGAGCGAGGAGCCAACATTGCCGCGCGAACGTCCTTCTCGTCAACACCCTTGCATTGGGCTGCACGGCATGCATCGCTGCAAACGGCACAACGGCTGGTCGAGGCTGGCGCAGACATTCTTGCTCGTGATCGCCACGGCTGGCTGCCACTCCACGATGCCGCTGCTGCTGGCAGTGGAGAGATGGTGCGGTTTCTGCTCGAGCAGCTGCGGTTGCAACATGCCGCAGTGGTCGTCAACGGTTTGGTTGGCCAGCTCAAGAACAACACGAGCGGTAATGTTGTTGCTTGCATGCCATCGCGTGAAGAGGAACTCGCACATCTGGCTCCAGGGCTGGATCCATCTGTGCTGAAACCCGAGCCGGACGAGGACGTGGTGCGCAGCCGTCTGGAATTGGAGCGGAGCGAATCCCAGCAGCAACTTCCAGAGTGCTGTTTGGATGCCCAGAAGGCGCTGCCCGTTGTGCACTCAATTCGCGAGTTTTGCCGATGCGTTGGGCGGACCATTTCGGATCCGATGCTGGGCAATCCCTGCTGCGGCGGCGGCGACTCGCGTTCCGAGCAAGGCCCTCTCACCGCTCGTACCAGCCCCGTACCACATGTAGACGACAGAGACATGTATGGCTCGACGCCTCTCCATGTTGCAGCTGCTTTCGACAAGATTGCAACAGTCCGGGAACTGGTGTATTCGGGCGGCGCCGATGTACACGCCCTCAACCACGACGGACTGACGCCCTTGCACAAGGCAGTCATTGCTGCTCCCGTCGTCAACTCTGAGGCAAGCATTCTGGTTGCACGGGAGCTGCTTTTGGCGGGTGCATGTGCGCACGCTCGCAAACTCAAAAAGCCTCCGCTGGGTGGTCAAGCGCCATCGTCTGCCTCCGCAAACATTATTGAAGCTGGAAGTGGCGGTTGTGCTGTGGCTCAAACATCGCCATGCGAACCATCCGGAACGCTCAACTTTGCAGGACCTTCGTGTCTGCACATTGCAGCAATGCAGGGCAATGTGTGGATGTGCCGCTTACTGCTCGAGTGCAAAGTCAACCCCGATGTTACATTTGTCGGCACGCACCGAGGTTTGAATGCAAGTTGAAGTGAAAAGGTTTGATATGCTGTTGTAAAAGTGACAAGACAAAACAAAAAAGACATTCGAAAATTTAGCTGACATTGAGAATCATGAGGACAGAAACAGAGAAATGCAAAAAAAAAAAGAAAAGAGTTGAAAAAGAATCGTCCAAACGCCACATCATCACCAAAACTTTGTCCAAACAAACAAAACAATAGGTTGCGGTTGACGACCCAGCTGTTTGCGGGTTGTTATCAATCAAGTAAGAAGAATCGACTCCAGGTCATGTTCTTGGGGCATCGTTTACTTGGCCGACTGCAAGACGGAGACAGTGGAAGTCTTGCTACGGTCGCTGACGAGGGTAAGCGAGGCACGAACGTCGCCTTGAGCGGCATCGACATCAACAGTCAGCTCAATGCGAGCCTGGCCCTTGGGGCCGGCGGGGACGTCGCGCAAGACAACCGAGGCGAGCTGGCGGTCCTGGTCGGCGTTCTCGGCCTTGGCCGGTCGCTCGACGAGCTTGAGGCTCACGCTGGTCTGGTTATCGTCGCTAGTCGAAAGAACGGTGGTGAATCGCACGGGCAGAGGGGTGCCAGCAGCAATCAGTTGGAAGTAGCCGGCGCCAGGGGTCGCGACACCGATCGCCGATGTGGTGGCCTTGGCAGAGGTTTGCTTCTCGTTCTCGGCAGCCTCCTCGGGGTGGAAGAGGAGGGCAGATTGAACGGCCGCACCGACGGCAAAGACTTCCTCGGGCAAGATCGAGGACAGGGGCTCCTTGCCCTCGAAAAGCTCGGCAATCAGGCGCTGGAGCTTGGGGATGCGGGAGCAGCCGCCGGCCAGAATAACCTCGTCGACGTCCTTGGGCTCAAGACCAGCGGCGGTCAGGGCGTTCTGGAGAGTCTCGACGGCCTGCTTGAGCAGGGGACCGCTGATAATTTCAAAGCGGCCGCGGTTGACGTTGCCGTTAAGATCCATGCCTTCGTACAAGGATTCGACCGAGCAGATGGCAGTCGAGCTGGAGCTAAGAGTGTGCTTGACCTGTGGTTGGAAGGGAACAAGATGGTGAACACAAAGAGTAAGCCAAGGTGATTCAACCAAGCCGAACGCGAACACAGAAAACAATTAAAAAAAAACGAAAGATCGACGCAAGCAACCACGACGTACGGGCTCAACAGCGGCACGCAGCTTGGCGACCGACTTTCGGCTCTCGGTGATGTCGACCTTGTTCTTCTTGGCGAACTCGGCAGCGAAATGCTTGACCTGTTGTTTAGGAGCAACAACAAAGTGCATGAGAACCACAGTTTGGCAAACAAAACCAAAAAAAAAACTGTCCAGAACCGGACGACGTACCAGCACTTCGTCGAGGGCAGCACCGCTGATGGCATCGGTGCGAGTGTGGTGAGCAACTTGGAAGAGGCCACCGACAACCTTGAGGACGGTGATGTCGAGCGAATGAGCGCCGAAATCAAAAACCTGGTCACAAGGGGAGAGAAGAGGGAGGGCAATGGTCAGTGTTTTGAGCAGAGCAAATGACAAGCAAGCGACGCGTTGTGGCCAAAAAAACCCACAAAAACAAACACACAAAAAAAAAATCCGTACAGCAAGAGTCTTGTTGGCGGTGCGCTCAACGTCAAAGCCGTAGGCAATGGCAGCAGCAACGGGCTCGCTAATCACGCGCTGGACGGTGATGCCGGCCTTGGTGGCGGCATCCTTAACAGTGGCACGACGAGCCTCGTCGAACTCGATCGGGACGGTGATAACGGCGTGCTGGACTTGGTTGCCGAGGAAGGCGTCTGCAATCTCGCGCATCTTGCGGTAGACGCGGGTGCTGACATCTCGCGGCGAGTGGTGCTCAATCTTGCCGTCCAAGTCAATCTGCAAACAAAAAACAAGAAAAAAAGTGGTGAGCATGGAAATGGTTTGTTACAAAGCACAGAATCTCTCATGCACTATACCTCATAGTATGCCTCGCCATCACGCTCGACAATCTTGACGTTGGAGCGGCTCGAGTGCTTCTTGACCGACTCGTGCTCGACGGGCAGACCGGCAATGTGCTTGGGACCGGTGACGACGTGCGCGGGGAAGCGGAGCGCGGCGGCCTTTGCGGACGATCCGACAACTGGGTCCTGCTCGTCGTTGGTTCGATCCAAGTTTTGACAGTGAATGAGTGAGAGTGAGTGAAGCAGTGAAGAGTGAGTGAGCGTTTGCGAGGTTCTCTTTCCATCCATCGCCCACCCTCTCTCTCTCTCTTTCTCTCTCGTTCTCTCGCTCTCACTTCCTCCCTCATCTCCTGTGAAAGCACACCCCCCCACACACACACACACACGCCCTCCCCCATCCCCATGGCCCTTCTTCATCGGCAATCACAGACACAAACGTTCCCATGTGCTGTGCTGGTTGGTGTCTTCACCATGTGGGACTTCTTTTTTTTTTTTTTTTTTTTTTTTTTTGTTGCTTTTTTTTTTTTTTGCTTTTGCTTGCATGGAGTTGTTGCTGCTCACCTGGCCGATGGGGAAGTGGACAAAGGCAGGGGTGGTGCGGTCGCCGGCATCGGAGGCAATGACGTCGACGTTGGGGCGGCCGGTGGTTGTGTTGATCTCGTTGCGGCTGGCAGCGACGCATGCGTTCGACGAGCCCACGGCAATGCCAAAGCCAGGGCCAGCAATGACTGCGGACGGCGCTGGCGATGTCGCGGCTGTGGTGGCAGACGAGCCAGCAGCAGCAGCAGCAGCAGTACCAGCGGCTGAAGCGCGGGTGGGCGACGTGGAGCGCGGGGTTGCGCTGGCAGAGGACGAAGCGGACGCGTTGTTGGAGCGAGCCATGTGTGTATGTGTGTGTCTGAGAATGAGGTCTGAGCCAAAAAATAAACAAAATGGGAAAACACGAAACACACAAAAGAAGTGATTACGGTAATCCGACAATCGGAGGGGGGTCAGAGATGGAAGGCGGGGAGGGGGGTGGGCAATGGGATTGGTGCAGTAAGCGAGCAGCGCGTCACAGTGTTCCATTCAGTCATTCAGTCGTTCAGTCATTCGTCGTACACTTGTTGCCATTTCCTTGTTTTTGTTTGTCTGTCCAGTCCTTTGTTGCCTTTCTGATTTTTTTCCATTCATCAGGTAACAGCAGGAAGGAGAGAACGACAACGCGTGCCCCGTTGCTTTGCTTGTCCTCTATTCGCTGCGAATGGCCATTCGAGCTTCCCTTCCCTTCCCATCATTCCTTACACATTGTCTATAAAGCCTCATTCATGCTGCTCACTTGTGTGTGTCTGTGGCAGAGAAGCTCCACAAAGCACGATTCTCAAGCCAAACCCCATTTCCAATTTCAATACCAAGCGAGTCCAGCCACCGCCCGCCACAAACACACCGCCCGACTCGCACTTGGACGAGCTGAAAAACCCAGTCGTGCAACCGAGTTGTCAAAGTCGACCCGAGGAGGGAAGGGGGCCGCGCGTACCGCTGTGCAATGGCGTCGTCATCGTCCCGCCGAAGCTCGAGCTCGCCACCGCGCTCCATCCCATCGACCGCCTCGACAAACAGCTTTGAGGCTGCGATGCATCGATCAAGCGACAATCTCATGCTGCCAGACGCCCGTCCTCTGGCATCGCAACCCGCCACCACAGCTCCTCCAATACACGCCCCGATGCCGCTCAGTGACTACCGCCTGGGCAGTGCGGCGCCAGACTTTATGGTCCCTTTGGCGGCACCAAGCACACATCGCGCATCCATCCGCAATAGTATTACGAATGACAGCCGGCCTGTAAGTTATATCGTCCAACCGTTGCAATGGACTTTTCTTGCTTCATTCATTTTGTGCCAACATGCCATCATCTTGCGACG